TTGGCTAATAGATAAATACTCCAACTAAAATGTTATAAAGAGCGGACTGTGTAAAGGAGACAAAAACACCCCCCCCCCCTCCCACACACACACACACACACACACACACACACACACACACACACACACACACACACACACACACACACACACATTTAAATGTTCTTGTCTGCTTCCTGTGACGGACTGCCCTCTAGTGGATTTGTACTTAATTAAAAACTGGTGTTTGAACCCACAGTTACCAGCCAGCTGCTGCAGCTAACCACAGCTCTGCCACAGGGTGTGACAGCAGGACCCAGATGGAGTGAGTGGCAAGCAGAAGAAAAGATGGAGGCAGCTTTCTGTGGGCAGCTCAGGGGGGTCTGCCACAGTCCCCTATCTCCCCACCACAGTAGCCACCGAGCCCCGGAGAGAGAACGCCAGAGTACCACATCTTTACAAGGGCTAAAATAAACAATGCAAGCTCACAACATCCACCCTGACTGGTTGACTGCAGGCGCTGGAGCAGAGCTGATAAGCTGCTGATGCTAGGTGGTCGAGTCTATGCAGTGACTGATGGGGGGGGGGGGGGGGGGGGGTGGATCACAGGCATAAAATCATAAAATCAATCTAGAAACATTTTAGGGAAATTTTTAAATCTATGTTGTGAAAAAATGCAAATGAAGTGATTTAATTCTTTAAAATCCACCATTTTAGCATTTCTTAAAGGTTTTTTTGCACTTTCTTCACCACATAAATCCAAACATTGATATTTATTGCATCTGAAAGCCAGATTTATTTCTTAGACATTCTCAAATTTCAGGTTCTTACTTTTTTCCTTCAACCTCGAGGTTTTATAAACACAAAAGTAACTTACCAGCACAGAAAATCCCCTTTGCTGCTGCCGTAGGAGACACTGAATGTGACGGGTCAGTGACAGCTTGTGTGACTTTTGGCAGAGAAACACACACACACACACACACCTTGCAGAACGAGCAGCACCTGGAGATTTGACGCGGGCTGCCAGCATATTTTCTGAATAAAGCTCCAACCCTGCTGAAGATGTGAGGTGCAGATAAAGTGCGTGGAAAGCATTATGCCATGTGGGCTGTTAGGCCTCACTACTTTAGTCTGAATGCCTGAATTTCACCGCTGGCCAACAACAACACTGTGGTTTGTGCCAAAGCTGCACCAACGCCAGATGTCTGCCTCTGATTGGCTCCTTTAGCTGGTTACAAATGATCTAGTCGCATCTCTGAGTGTGAAACAAGCTCCTTCTCTGTCTCCTTCTAAAAACTTGATCTACATTTCTCTTTTTTATGAAGACAGGTGGAACTAATTAGAGTAATTACTGCTGTGCCTGATTTATTTTTCTGATATCATTCATTTGCAAATTTTATCAACAGATTACGGTTTTAAGTGGAAAGGAATAAGCTCACGTGGGTGGCTTTAGTGGTTCTTTAGCCAGAAACAACTTTTACGAGATCATACTTGAGGCTATTGGCTCCTAAAACAGCTGCAAACGTCCTTCTTTTGGGCTAAGCCATGGGATTTTTGTTTTTTAGAAACTCAAGTGAACTCGCAAACAGCAGCTTTGCTCCAATGACCTTCTTTGAAATAAAAATAAATATACTAATCTCCTGTTTCTTTGGACTATTGGCAGGTAATTAAGTTGCTCAACAAATTTCATGATTTCTTTATAAAATGATCCACATCTATGTTAGTAGACTCCTATAATATAATATGAGAAAAACATCAACAAAGGCAATAAAACCTTTAAAAATCCATTTAAATGGGACAAATTAAATATATTTTTATTAAAAAACTAACATTATTTGTTTATTTTCTTATCAATTTGAAATAATTTAAATAATAGGTTCAATAGATTTAAATGTGTTATTACCTTTTCACGTAAAATTGATTTATTTTGTGTATTCAACATAAAGAAATACTAAGACTTAAAATTTATGTCACCTAGTTTTAGCTGGGAGGAGCACATACAATTTAATTATACTTCTAACATTTAATATTGTTTTTGTTTCTATTTAAATGAAAAAATTAATGAACTTGACTGCAATTTTTGATTTAAATGACTGATATTTTTCCTGCGAGGGAATAAAAGCCAATAAACTCAGACATGAATATTTGTACAACCTGTTTTTGGGGAGTTTAGTGTGCCGTCTGTCGCATATGATAAAAAAAAACATTCATAATCTGAAACTTAGACCCGTTAGTGGCTTAAATGTGGATTCAGCCAGCAGACGGTGCCTGTTGTTTCCCCTGAAGAGGCTTTAAAACTCTCGTGACAGAGGCCGGACAATGTGTCTCAGTAACAGATTATGTGCGTGGAAATGATCGATAATCCTTCTGGGAGCGTCCGAGTGGGATTGCTGCCCGTATGCAGGCATGCACGCTGTCAGTCAGCGGCCTAAACCAGACACAAGCAGACGCATGACCACATCAAATGTCAGGTGCACAGAGTCCAAATGAAAAGGAGGTTTTTCACACGTTGTAGGCCCAAAACCCAGTTGGGATATCACTGTGTACCCCTGAGCGGGCTACTTTACCAGAGTAAATATTTAGTCAGCTGTGCAAATGGGTGTTGTGTAAAAACCTGCAAAAGCGACCCGGCGGTGGAGGCATGGACTCGACGCCAAAAAGGAACGGCTGCACTTGTGAAAAATACATAAAGGATTAAATTACAGGTTAAAAGAAACGAGCCTAGAGGCTAAAATGGGGAGTGTGTAAAAAGAGTGTGTGACATAAACCCTCAAACCAGCCTTTGGTCAATTTGGAGGTGTGAGGTGGCCATAATGTCATCAGTCCATTCAGGTCTGAAATTTACACACACACACCCACACACACGGTCTGCCCTCACCTACATTACCCAATTACACTCTGCTGCTTGTAATGAGTGTGGTCTGAAAGATAACCAGGCTTTTGTGTTGTTTTTAACACACACACACACACACACACACACACACACACACACAGAGTCTGGGAGGGTTTCCTCCCAGTGAGTAACAAGTGAAGACAGTGTCTCGGTAAGCAGGGTGAGGAGAACGTCTGAGGCAGAAACACGACACTTTAATGATCTGGAAAGTTTCCAGAACTCTTCGCCCACACACCTTTTTTCTCCTTTCTCTCTTGTGAAACTCTGGCTGGAGTCAGCCCTGCAGAATAGACTTGTTTGTGTGCAGGAACAGTGAAGACTTGGCTGAGAAACATCACCCAGCTTACAGTAAGAGGGTGTCTTGGGGCGGAGGTGGAAGCCACAGCGGGTGGACACCCACACGAGACATTCCTCACAGACGGAGAGCTGGAAACAAACTGGATTTGGTTCTGGGGCTCCTCTGCTTTTCTAACACACTAAAGAAAGGAATCCTTCAGATTAGATGTATAGATGAGGGGAGCAACAACCGCTATCATGACCTTTGACTTTCTCTTAAGCACTTAAACGAGAATGCAAATGATTATTTTGTATTCGTTTGTGGTGGAGCTCAATGAGAAATGTCCCCGGGGCTATTTGTGGGGACTTGAACGTTCCCTCAGAGGCTTGTTTTTAAAGACAGGTTAACAAACACGTTTACTTTCAGTTCCTGCAAACCGTCCGCAAGGATGTACACGAAGTTACTCTATTTTCTAAACTGAAAGACTTTTTGTTTTGGGAGAAAAGTAATCACACTTACTTGATTATTTTGAGTTAGAAAAGTCAGAGGTTACAGACAATACGATCATCTGTTCAAAATGTTCTGCAAGGGTTTCTTGTTTTTGCTTTATGGTCATTTAAATGTGAACAAGTTGTAATATCAAACAAAGATATTTGTTAAATGTGAGGAAAGCAATCCAAAACAACCTAGTTCCATGTCAAAACTGATTAATTGTGTTATATAGAAAGTGAAGCCTCACCCAGGCCTGATCCCTGCCAGAATAAAGAAGCTGGAAGTAGGCTAAACAATCTCAAAAAGCAACACATCATGCTCTGAAAGGAAAATAAACGGAAGGAAATATACATAATAACAACCAGGTTAGAAAAAGCCAGTCGCTTCTACATCACAGACGAAATTTGCATTATTGGCCCCGCCCATCTTGTTTTCTGACTGCTTAGGACTGTACTGACTTTGCAGCCAGGAGAGAGCAGAGCTCGTCTCAGTTGGTAGAAGCTAACCATTAGCATTAGCGGCACCACAATATGCCAGATTGTGTTCATGCTTGTGTTGTTTGTGGAGACAAAATATCAACGTTGCATTTTTTACCCAAAAAAAGAGCGAACGAAGGCAGCGGAAGAGTATTCTTGCTGTTAGACATTTGCATGTAATGAATATTAATGAGTAAAACACAAAATCCTGTCATTTTCATCACTTCTATTTACTCCCTGAACCAGAAGCATCAGAGCTTTTTCCCCACAGAAAATGAGTCACAAGACAACCTTTCAAATTAAGAGACCACAGCAGATGTATAAAGAAAAGAAAAAAAACAAGTAAATGAGGCCTTTGAATGAGATACTATCTACATTTTTCATAGTTTTAAATAATTTTTTGAGCCAGTACTTGCTAAAAATGACCCTTTACGGGATAAAAGAGACCCCCATCGCCCCCGTGTCCAGAATACCTCATTTGCAACTTCAGTGTCGGTCAGGTCCCTATTGGACTTAGTAAAATGAAGCCGACATGCCTGGCCTGGTAGTTTGCTTCCAGCATGCGGATATGTTGGATTTAGTGATGAGCCTCTCTTGTAGAAACTAAAGGAGGATGGGAAGACATTCCAGCAGTTAGATTAAGGTGTGCAAGATGTTGTTTCACTAAACAGACACTAGGGGGTGCTAAAAGCATGCCAAAACTGCCTAGCCTCCTTTTAAATAGGTAGAAATAGGTTTTGCAGCATGTTTTGATAAACTGTCACGACTGCTTTCATCTGTGTTCGTTCCTTGGTGATCTGAAGACGATTATAATTTTGAATTGAGAAAGTAAAGGGACAAAAAGCAAAGACAACCAGTCAGACAACACAACCAAACCCACCAGTCCAAGTGCTAATAAGAACTTTATTTAAATTCAGTCAATATTATTAAAAAAAAAAAGAAGCCATGAAATACGTTGGATATTTTCTTTGTACAAACACCACCTTAGATGCAATGAAATGATCTTTTAAAAAATTCCTTCCTGCAGAACATCAAAGTAAGGCAAACCGGAAATGTTTTCTTTTTAAATCTAGAATCCGAGCAGGTGAAAAACAGCTCGTTTTCCCCTCCGGAATTCTGAAGATATGCAAAAGACTCACACTATGAAATCTGAGTAATGCAAAAATATTTACAATTCTTTTTTTAATTCAGTTTCATTACATAACAAAAGTCTGAAACTCGACTAAAGCACTTCTTTGAGCTACTGTGTGTAAACGCATACAATCGCTACCTCGGATCAGGCTACACGCTGAAAAAAAAAAGTGAAATTAGAACAATTAACTTCAAGGCTCCTCACTTCATTTAGTCATAAATATCTTTAGTGTTGCTTTTATGATCCCTTCACTCTGCTGCTGAAGAAATGTGGTTTCTCTCATTTTTCCTTCGACTTCACTAGTTTACATCTACAGTGAGACCAGAGCTATTTTTGGTTAAAGATGTATATTTTACTGCAGTCAGCATGAAAATGAAGATGCTCCATTTCTATTCAAATGGAAAAACCAAAATAAACCTTCGTCTGTTAGCTACATATGGTTGGATCCTTATAGACCTCCTAAGTCCTGAGTTTGTATCCTTCTGCAGCCGGGACGAGAAAAGTCCTTCAGTTCTACTGTGCTGAGCTACTCTTCACCTAAATGAGACACAAGCGGAGAAAATCGGAGCACATAGAAACTGTAATTGGAATTATTCAGACTGATTCTTACGATAAAGCAGGTTGGGATTTCCTTCCGCTCCTACGGAACCGTGTCAAATACTGAAGGCAGAAACACTGAAGCTAGAACACTGTTCGCCTCTCTTCACGAGCCGACACACCAAAAATAAAGATTTTCAGTGTTCTTTTAGATTAAATCAGAACAAAATTACTATTTCTAACTTCAACAGGAAAACAACAGCTTGTGACTTTTCCCCTTCACAATAAAAGTCAACTGGAAGGTCACTTCTCAGGTTGGTTCTCTCTAGGAGCACTGATACACACATCTGGCTGCTTCTTACGCATTCATCCAAAGTGATTGGTGACAAAGGTGGAACAATAGTGGCCTCTGCTGGTTCCACTACATAAAACAGATACCTTCATAAAACCGGAGGAGGAAAAAAAAAGGTGTTTGTTGCAGATGAGGAGAGAAGGAAAAGAAGTCCAGAGTATTTTCTTTCTCATGAATGAGCACTTCAGTCCAGAGGAGGGAGATCTTAATTCACCAGCCTCTTGGCCACGTCTGCATAAGCGATTTCTATCTCTTTGTCGCTGGGGCAGGTGTTGGTGAACTCTTCGCGTGTGTAAGCATTGTTCAGGTACTTCCAGATGGCCGTCATCTCTCTGGGGATGTCGAAGCCTCGATACTTCTTAGTCACAACCTGGTTAAAAGCACAAAGTTAGATACTGAACAAGAAAAAAACACCTTTTTAGCACTTGGAAAACATTTACAGTTATTAATATATATATATATTTTTATACAATATTCACTTTAATCATTCAAATATACATCTAGGTAGACATCAATAAGCTGCCCTGAAACCAGACTGAACTGGTTTGCATATTTTGAATTTCAAACAAAAAAGGTTAACTCGTTTATGTCCAACGTTTGGACATAAACGGGTTATTTAAGAGTAAGTTCCTGCTGGAAAGGCGCTTACCTTAACTATGTGCAGTTTGGGCAGCAGGTTACAGTCTGCCAGCGTCATTTCTTCTCCATCCAAGAACCTGCGGTTGGACACCTTGACGTCCTCTATGCTGTTGTGGTCGATCTCATCGGGAAGCGGGGAGCGAAGATACTCATCCAGCTTCTGCAGAGTCTTCAGCAGGCCACGCTCCAGACCTGGAGATTTTCATTATTACAGCTGGTTATGTTGGTCACCACAAGGGGGCAGCATTTAACCAGGTAAGAAACACAGGTCCAACAGGACCATTTCACCTCCTCTTTCACAACCAGCAGCATTGATGATAAGAGTTTTAGCACAATGGTCTGCGTTCCTGTGAGGTTATGTACAGGTCCTTATATTTACACAGTAGTTAGTGGGAAGAGATGTCATTGTTAGAAAATATGACATGAATGTAAATTTGTGAAAGTTTCTCAATGATCCAAAAGGTTTGGCTTCGAACTGTTGACACGGTTTTGACTTTCACCCCATGATTCAATATTGTCCCAGGGTGGAGAACACCTTCGACTAAAACATTTGGTATTCCATCATGATTCTTCCAAGGAATGTTTTTCCTAAACAATTATTCCAAAGTAAAATGGACTATATTGTAATCAGTAAAGTCACGGAGGTGGCCTTTAATCTGTAGGATGTGTGCAAATAAAAAACAGACAGTTTTCAGGAAGGCTTCAGGTGAGGAGGACGGCGCAGAACAAAAGCTCTGTGTTCCCCTTTCTGACTAAACCACCAATCAGGGCAGAGCTACCAGGGTCGCCTAGCAACTGGAGCACTCCCTTCACAGCCCACAGACTTCTGCAGATCAGCTGTAGTCCAGCACACCTAGCCTGTTGGTGCCAAAGACAGAAATAAGTGACGTACCCTCATTTGCGTCCGGCTTGGAGTTCTTGATGTACGCAGAAAACTTGGCGAAGATGTCCATCCCTGTAGTGTTGGACTCGGGGTGTTTTGCACCCAGCTTGACGTACCTGAACAAGACAAATACAGATGAGCAAACTCTGTAGCTTTACTAGAACCATAACAAATACTGAAATAAAGAATATACTGTTTTAAACCAAACACACAGGCTTTGTGCAGCTTTGGTCCCTGATTTTATAAAAACAATGTAATTCAGTGCATTCACAGACGCTGCCATCAAATAAACAAGCAGCTGAATTCATATTGTGTGATAATGAAAAATTCACTGCTTTTTTATTTCCAATAAGAAAAATAATGAAGACTCAAGAAACATATTTTCTGTGTGATGAAGACGCCCGGTTTTAAGATTTTTGCATTGCTTTGCTTTGGCTGTGTAGGTGCGGCGGCCATCTATACCACGCATCAGAACGCACTCACTTGGGCGGGCAGAGGACATCCTCGAGAAACTCCTCGATCTTGTTGACGTCGGTTTTCACCTCGCCGTTAAACGTGATGAAGGGAGGGTGTGTGCCAGGGGCCAGGTTCTGAAGGTCCGCGGGCTTCCTGTTAAATAAAGTAAAAAGACATGTTGGAATTATTGAGAAAATCTAAGTGCTTCATGGAATTGTCTACTTCTTTCCTCCAATGGCAGCTGTTATGTCTTAACTGTGTGTGTGTGTGTGTGTGTGTGTGTGTGTGTGTGTGTGTGTGTGTGTGTGTGTGTGTGTGTGTGTGTGTGTGTGTGTGTGTGTTGCGGCCTTCAGACCAGCACATTCTGTACCAGCTGGCAGGCAGATGCGCTGCTGCCACACAAGCAAAAATGAGCATGTGTTGAATGAGTGGTGTGAACACAACTGAGTAGGAAAAACACACAAACAGCCTCTTAAAAGAAAAAAATAAAACACACACACACACACACCAGTGAGTCAGCAGCTTGTCCGAGTGAGTCGGCAGCAGTGATACTAAAGTGACGGGCAGCAACGCTCGTTTGGGACCAACATGGCTGAACTTTGAGAATTAAGGCCAAAAAAATAAAAAATAAAGGAAATGACTTCATCTCCTTGGCATGTTAATGGGGCGTGGTGCAGTCCCTGAGAGAGTTCACTGAGGAGTGGGCAAGTAGGCACTTAGACCCAAACCAGTCACACTGAACAACGGACAAAAATACCCAAGAGAAAGGTTTAATAGTTAAAAATGTGCAGTAGGCGATATTTTTCTGCATATCTTTTCACCATATTTGCTTATAATAATCTTCACATACCGACGGCAGCCAATTAAAAGTTTTGTCACAAAGTAATAATTGTAATCGCCTCTTAAAAGTACAATCCTGGAAAAACTTCAATCATTGTGAGCATCCTGTTTTTAAAGGCCTACTATGCAAATTTCTTAGATGTAATCATCCTGAGCTAGTTTGTGCTAAAAAGAAAAAAAAAAGGGCATTGTACCTAGGGCTGGGCGATATGGCAAAAATAGAATATCACGATTTTTCCAATATTTTATCACGATTTTTTATCCATGAATAGCATAACTTCAATTGCGTATTAAAGAAGAGAAACATTGAATAAATAAACATTTATTCATATTAGGGATAATCAGCACAGTGCTAACACACTTATATTTTAAACTCACACCAGAGATGATAAAAGCCCTGAGAGAAACAATTACAAAAATCAGTTTCTCTCATTTTTCAAGTAACTTCACATAAATTTAAATCGTAAACATATTTAAAGTGCAAACATGTCAATTGCAAACGTATTGTGCAAACATTAACTTGTTCAAAATACTATGTAGCTCCCAGTTGCTCATGTAGTGGATAGTTAAGCTCAAATACGGCTCTGATGTGCGGCTGGACCAGAGATCGCTTGTGGTAGCAAAAAACTGTGCATTCTGAATATTTTCTGCCACACGTCTCTAAATAAAGTAAAATTTTCCAGTGCAGATTGGAGACAACCCATAGAAGCACTGATTTGATCTCATTTCAGAGAAAAATAGAACAGGTTAGATGCACCTAATAAATAAAATTACTAACAAACTCAGGAATCTTTCTTTGCTTCCCTGTTCTGGTGCTGAGAATATCACTAATGCGGATCAAAGGAGATACACAGATGAATTATTTGGAGATTTATTATTTGGAGACTACATTTACTGCAGCTGGCAGAGATCGTTTCTATTGATACACGGAGTTTACAGAATCATTTTAAATTTTAATAGGGGAAGACTGCAGGAGGGAACGGTAAAATACAGGGGTCCCCAGCGAAAACAAGAAACTTTACGAGTCTGATGAAACCCGCTGGTTTTCCATCAGGCAGTCACGGGGCAGCTCCAACGACCCAGTGACCGAGCTCAGTCCGGCTCGGCAGAGGGTGAACGAGCCGAGGCGAGGTCGTGCTCTGCTTAAGAAGAAGTGTTATTTTCCTGCTTCAGAAGAAGCGTCCAACGTGTTTTTACGCTTTCTCCGAGACATGTCACGTCGCTAAGTTGTTAGCGTAGCGCGTTAAGGAAACCCTGCGTTCCTCTTCGGAACGAAAACCTCGTTGTCGCTCTCAGCCGCGGCCGAAGCATGTTTGTTCACAAACAGGCGAAAACAAGCGGGGCACTAATATATTACTATGACTCACTCTGATTGGTTAAGGGTCAAACAAAGGCGTGTCATTCGCCTGGGGTAAGTTCCCTTTTCATTCAGAGGCAGAAATTCAACAGCAGAGCTGTGCATCGTGATAAAAAGGTCTCAAAAATGACAGACCGTCAGATGTGCAGATCGTAAAACGGTCTAAAATCGTCATATCGCCCAGCCCTAATTGTACCTTTGTTACTTTTCGGAAATCAGCTTGCTACAACAGCTTTTTCTAAGAACACCCAGTCCACCTTTAATGTTGGTACTCATGTGCTTCCACAGGAACATGATTTACATGCCTAGCTCTTCCTGTCAAATTTGACAGTAAACGCGCCGTAAAGTAAGCACACACCATAATGTGCTGCAGACTTTTATTGTTGACTCAAGATAAAATAAACCAAATAGCACAGAAAACAAACACAGCACATGTCCCTCTAGGAAACTACAGTTAAACTTGGATGAGGTTTAGCTGGAGAAAGACACACTAAAGGGAAACACTGGCTCCTTTAAACGGTCTGCTTCTACACCTTCTTTAACAGGAGGGGGTAAGGGAAATGTATGCAAATATATCTAAATCTTCACACTAGCGGTTAAGAAAATACACACAGTTCAATAGAACTGTTCACCAACAGAAGAGCTAAAACGTAACTCCTGGTTGTATCTCCATTCCTGCTGATGCTCAGTGACGTTCCTGTTGTTGTAAAGACAAAATAAAGCGTTGGTTACCTTGAAAGACACTTAAAACAGGAGTTTATCTTAAATATGAAAACAAACTAGCCGGTTGTTGCACAGAACTGTGAAAGTGGGTCTTTTGTTTTTGCTTTTGTTCGTTTTCAGATCAGTAAATACATTTTAATGAACGTTTATTAAGACAAAACAACTCTAAACCAACCCGGGCCCGTGCAAGAAAGGCATTACTCTAAATTTGTCTCTTTTTCATTTTTAAACTGTATTTTCTGTCCCGTCGATTTTGATGTTCTTGCTAATGGAAAGCACATTAATTTGTCTCTGCATGAAATGTGCTATAAAAAAAAAGCTGTCATACGTTGCCTAAATGTAATAACTGACTGTTGAGCCCTGGTAGCAGCGACCACAGTCGGGCACGTGTAAAAACTGGTAATGAACCTCTAACATCACTCTTGTTTGCAGAATTGTTTTAAGTCAGCCAGTTCGGAAGGTTTCCCAGCATGAACAGCTTGTTTAAAGTCAAAAGTCTGACATTATTCAAGATTCTCTGCAAGAGAGACACAACAGTTCTTAATGAAATAATGATAATTTAAATATTTTAACAGGATAAGACTTTCCAGAAAAAGCTCCACTTTGTCATTGATTTCTACAGAAAAAGTCTCAGGGAAATTAAAGTGATTTTTGGCAAACGTGGGATGGGCCTTTGTCTTCTTTTTGGGCCCAACAATCACTAAGCGAGGCCTGCAGCACTTTCTACAGAACTTATTAAAGTGACAGTGTGTAGTTTTTACCACAAATCTCTGGAAATATCCACTGAAATGTTGTAAATGAATTATAAGATGCCCAGTTGTAAAAATTTTGGCAGTTTCACAACATATAACCATAAAAATCTGGTCTAAGTTACATGGGAGTGGGTCTAAGTCTGTGGGCGACGCCCTATTGGATGCCATGTTTCAATCTACGGAAGCCCGTGAGGACAAAACACATTTACTGATTTGTAACAAATAACAAACATTGTTGTTTTACACATTTACCTCCACTCATTTCCAGTGATGAAAGTGAATTTGATGCGCTTGTCCCTTTGCTGGAAGTTGCACTCCCAGGGACTTTTGACCCTAATGGCTATCCGTTGGTAAGGTCTTATTTAAACACAAAATAATGCTTGCAATGATTTGGTATGTACTACCCCCATCACCAGGGAAAATACACACTGCCACTTTAAGAATGGGGTATGATGAGAAGCCTTTTAAAGGGTCTTTTTAGCATAAAAGACCACGTTACCCTTTTTTAAAAGTGTTCTCTAATATAAATGAATGCCTTGTGAGTCAATATCTGCTCTTGTGCCTCAATATCAGGAAGTAGAATTTAGCTAGGGGAGCAGAAAATGGCAGGTTTTGGAGTTTTATTTCCTGATATTCAGACACATTGCCTCTAGGGATGTAAGAAAACATCGATATGGCAATATATCGATATTTTTCATGCAATATTAGATTGATATTCAAAAGCCTGTATCTAATTTTTGGAAGAATTTACATGCAAACATTTGTGTATTTTCTTTTCTTTTGGTGTAATTTGAACACCAACCGCTAGCTGGCAGCAGTGTGCAGTGGGTTCTGTTCCCACCACTGAAATGTAAATCCCTTTATTGTGGTACAGATACCTCATGTTAAACATGTTAAGTATCAGTTTGGACGGTTTACTGACTATTCCTACAATAAATTCAGTCAACAAAATAAACCGCTAATAACGTCAGAATGTATTGCAATATATGGTGATATATTGAATCATCTCCCCTGTATAGTGATATGTATCGTATCGCCAGAATGTCACCAATACACATCCCTACTTGCCTCTGATTGGGTAACAACAACATGGCTCTACCACTAATGCAAACGGTTAGCTTCTACAAGCTGAGACATGTTCTGCTCTCTTCTGGACGTTAACTCAACAACAGCCTTCCCCATCGGGAGCCCAGATGGGCGAGTCCATGAATGCTAACTTTTGACATTATGACGTGCTAATATCACAGGCTTTCTAATTGCCCGTCTGTTTTCCATTGGCGCTAATGCAGGAAACGTGGACTATTTTCATGTTGAGCTTGCATGTGAAAGGGTCACATTTCAAAACGTGAACTTGCTCTTTAAGGAGTAAATCAGGTCTCTACTGATATGATTTCTCAATTTTACAGGTCTGCCAACAATCAGGGCTGGGTAAAGCTGGTGAATTTTAACTCTGTTTTAATAAATAATGTGGTTAACCACAATTATTTAATGATTTAATGGGGAAAGAGCAACTTTTTGCCCCACAAGATCAGACGGATTTTAAACTAAACTTTGATAAACGTGTAACAACAAAGCAAAAAAACAAGACATTTTAAAGGAGGTAATTATTATTGTGACTGCACTGCAGAAGAAGCTAACAGACTAAACAGATTCAAAGTTTGCAGTTTAGGTGGAGCAGAATCCACACATGAAAGCAAATATCACCACAGCTGCAAGGAAAAACAAAACAGCAGACGATCACCGAGTTCCAGTGGGTAAAAAAATAGGGATGTGAATCTTAGAGCAAGTCACGATTTGATTCCGATTCTCTGGGTGTCGATTCGATTCAGAATCGATTCTCGATTCTCAATTTAAATCGATTCACAATCAGTATTAACAAAGAGCGTCCGCTCCAGGATGAACTACTACTTTGTTGTACAAGTTAGTTAAAGCTATGGGACATTTTTATTTGACTTTAAACTGGTCATGCTCAAAAAATGCAAATTTACAAGGTTAAATCAAGTGATTCTAAAAAGGCAACATTTATTTTTGCTTACCTTGTAAAATATAACAAATCTGTAGTTACCCAACAGTAGCTTTGAAAGTAATATGGTCAAATACTTTTCAAGTATGTGTAGAAACAAGTTACATGAGTAATCCTGAGTACTCACCAACTTAGAAAATAAATATGAGAATATCTCAAATTAATGAGTATGGAAAAAATGACATTCAAGTGCCCTCTTATCAGCAGATTCAATTATAAATCATCTCAATTTATGGGACCACAAAAGTAAACGGAGTACTGACTCTCCTAACAAAGATAAAAAACAGACAAAAGTGCATCTCGGACCTGTAACATGCTAAACATTTGAGTTCTTGGGATCGATTCTGAACCTTTGTGAATCGATTCTGAATCGTTATAAATAAGAATCCCAATTCAGACTTGAATCAATTTTTTTCAGCACCTAGTAAAAAACACATTTCACCACCAACTTCTAGGCAGGAAGTTAGTGGAGTCGAGGACCTTAAAATAGCTTCTACAGAGTCTGTGTGTTTATCCTTTTCTGGTCTGGGAAGGGGTCATGGGAAAACCAAATAAGCAGCAGGGAAGCAGCGAGCGTGTTAAAAGGTGGGGCTGAAATCTTGGTGGAAACGCCCAGGAGAGCTGCAGGACGCCATCAAAAGGAGGGAAACGTACAAGGATGAAAACTACAGCGGATAGTTACTAAAAACAGAGGTCAGGTACCTTTTAAGGTCCACCGTGGTGACGTTGAAGACAACTCCTTTAAGCCACAGAATCATGAACAGCCGTTGAGAAAAGGGGCAGTTCCCAATGCTCTCTCCATCGCTGCCCGCCTTAAACAGAAAGGGAACTGGATTATTGTTTAAATCAGGTTTCAGAACTTGGTGCAAAACAAACGGTGAAAACATGTCAGTTAATCATTGCAAACGCTAATTAAGGGACACAAGTTTCTGTAACTGATAAGGCGACATTTAGACTCGGGCTGAAACCAGAGGAGGTCAAAATCGCCACAGTAAAAAGATCGTATCTCTGCTTCTCAACCTTTACAAGTTTCAGGGCGTTTCACTGCACTTCCCCACAGAGGGTCCGATACAAATAATGACAAAAAAAAGTAGGAGGGAAATTGTGGAGAACCAAGTCTTTTTTCTTAAAGACCTCAGCACATTTCCCCTTCATTAGTCTGCAGAACCACTTTAAAGAGTAACGAGAGCCTTAAAGAGGCTATAGGGCTTGTTTTTCTCCTAAGACTGAACACTCTGAGCTGAGGGAGATAAAGTGATCAAACAAGAAGAATGCTGATTTAACAGGTAGAAGATAAAACAGGGAAAAGGGAGAAAATGTTATACAAAACAAAAAGAAAGCAGTGATTTCCTCTCTCTCTCTCTCACACACACACAAAGTAGTAATTACAAACGCTATTTGAGGACACAGCAAACCGTCAGAGATGTCTCCTCCTCTCCCTGCATCCCTGCATCCTCTCCTTTGTTTTTCCAACCCTTTAAATTACACATCAGCTCCCGGCCATGACGGCTTCATCTCGATTCCACATCAGGAGGCAGAATAAGCTTTTCGTTTTCATTACCTTCGTTTCCTAAAGTATCTTAATAAAATCTACAGACAGTTAAGTCCTCTCCAAGGCATGCCTGATTATTTCATATAAACCACTTCGTAAAGATGAGAGCCACAGCTGTGAGAAAAGATCAGATCAGATGGTGCACTAGCAAAAATGTCACTTCCAATTTATTTCATGCTTAGCGCCCATTTGTTGCGAGTCAGGACGACATGTCTCACCTCTCAGGTAACGCAAAGCGATAAAAGATATCAAATCAGCTTATTTGAAACATTCTAGATAAATGTTTGCGTGCCAACACAGATGTAGGTTTTGATCGTTTCTCAATGGAGGACTTTGTTCCAGAGAGTTCAGTCGGTCCAGCAGCTCCGTGCTCGTGTGGACAAGCTTGCTGCTGTGTGACGCTCTGATCCGTCTGCTGACTCCAACTGTCCTGCAACTGTCTTCTCCCCCCTTTTTCTTTTCAACTGAAAATCTAAAACACTTGAATTAAATCACACGGCCTTTGTTCGGTAGATAAAACGTCTCTTTTCTCACTTTTACAGACTCTGCACGAGAATAAAGCCCTGGCCTCGAGGCCATCGCGGTTTGTGGCTGAAACGAGGCTGGACTCGTCCTTACAGGATCACAAAGACATCAATGGGATGATTAAACCACAGTGCAGCACCTACAGCGGACCATTCAAGGTCCGGATCAAGGGTGGAAACGCAACACAGCAACCGTTCCCATGGCAACACACGACATGGAGAGGAGAGCTAGCATGTGGCAAGGAATAACCAGAACTGTAAGAAGCGAGTTCTCATTTTGCTTGTGATAGAAAACATGTAAAACATAATTTGCAAATCAAAAGAGGATTAGTGTATTTCTAAGTAGCAGCTTTTAAATACAGTTGAACTGAGTCGGTGTATCAAATGACCAAGAAAGGCCTGAGAGAGGAACGGCACACTTTTCCTTCTGCCTTCGCCTGTTCTGAGAATGGCGGCGTGGCCGGAGCCTCTTGAGTCTGCAGCAGAGCAGACTGCAGCTCTCTGCCAAAGACAAAGCAGCTGCAGCACAATGAGAGGCTGGGATGTTACAGGAAGCAGGGAAGAAACAGGATTGTGCGTTCTTGTAAAAGGGGAACGGGCGGTAATAATAGATGGTTTAACTGAGAAGTAAAGAAAGGAGGATGGATACGTCGTACAGGAGGTGTGATTTTTTTCTTCCTCCTCTTCCCTCTTTACGACTGCCCTTAACCTGGGCCCCTCTGTGGAGTGTGTGTGTGGGGGGTGGGGGTGGGATCTGAGAAAGGAGGGGGAAACTATTCCAGAAATGTCCTGTTACCTCCATTCAAAGAGGATGCCTGCCTTAATTTAAGAGATTAGGCTGCTGGAGCTGCATTTCCGTTTTACATTCAATAAATATCTGGGCTGCATTTCCCAACGTCGTGTAACAAAGGAAGCATTCCTGGAATCAGAATACCAAAAACATGAAAATAAGTGACATAAAAACAGCTGTAAAGGTTTTAGAACAGCCACTCAAACCCGTCCTCCTCAGAAGGCGACCGTTAAACTGACATTTAAGGAAAAGGGCTTCTGGAGAAGCTCATGGAAAAGCACAAAGCACTTCTTGTTTGGCATGTTTTACATTAGCCAGGGCGAAGAAAACACAACCCAATACAAACACATGAACAAGGGGCTACATTATACAGGAGGAAGACCTTTTAGGGCAAAACACCTCCATGTTTAATATTCTAAATAAAAATACAGACGAGAATTTGTCAGTAGGACCACATGCGCCTGCCTATTTCTGCCCACATTTAAGGACACCATATTTCCATTCATCTAATACACGTTTGTCACAAATAGGCTAAAATAACCGAACCAGAGTCAGCGACTGTTTTGACATCAGTGGAGGCTGGGAGTCATGTTCGAGTCCAGACGTTATCTAGGAGCTTGTATCCTGGACACAGAGACCCAACAACAGGACAACCAGACTCAGAAAAGACGCCACGCCACAGTCTCTCGTCTAACACGATGAGGTCATGCCTCTCATTACTTCCTCTGTAACCTCTGTAGTCTGATGTAATGGCCATTATCAGCTATAACAATAAACTCAAGCACTGAAACTGGGCCACACACACCCTTAATAACATTTGATTAGAGTAAATATCATCCTAAATTCAGCTCATCCATAAGAGTCTTTTAGCTTCTTCTTTTTCCCGTTTGGACTCATTTGCTTTATTTTAGACCAGCGATGTCACGATATAGGCAATCAGGACAGCGAATCGTGTTCATGCAGGTCACCATGCTCCCAGTCTTTGCTAAGGAACTAATTTTAGTAACATGGTGGCCTGTGTGTATGTGTGTGTGTGTGTGTGTGTGTGTGTGTGTGTGTGTGTGTGTGTGTGTGTGTGTGTGTGTGTGTGTGTGTGTGTGTGTGTGTGTGTGTGCGTGTGCGTGTGTGTCCTTCCCTAACACACACTCCACTTTCTAAAGTAGCTCAGAAAGTTCAAGCCACACTTGACTGAATAAGGAACTAAAGATGTAACAGGAGCCGCTGCAGCTTTCCCACCTCCTGCTCTGACACAGAGCAGAAACATCCTTGAGAGCGGGCAGTCATGGTAACGTTGTGGCAACACCTCACTGTGTTTGCTGGAGTGCCGGCCTGTTTGGGGGTGAAAACGGAACAAATGTGCGTGGTGATGGATCTATTAGAATACAGGATCTGAGGTTTGGTTGTTTTTGACAGATGGTGACCAAAAAAAAAAAAAAAAAGGTCTAGAGGTGTGGCCCGATGACTGAATGACTCAGGTCGGACTGGGTGGGTACTGGGAGTTCTAACCACTGTAAGAAAGATGTGTACAAGTAGTCACAATCTGCTGAAACGTGGAAACACCAACACACACGTGTGTGGCTCTGACTCAAGCAGGCAGTGGAAACCTGACAACTTCCAGTCAGACATGACTACTGTGCTGGATCGAAAACACACGTCTGTGGAAAGTTGGATTCAGCTAGTAAAACAGGAGAAATGAGTATACCAGCATAGATTAGATGGCATAACTAGAGTAGCTCTGGATGCAGGATGAAACTACCAAATCAAACAAATATATTCAGATCCCACAAAACCTACTAATGAACAGAGCAAAGAGCTAAACTTAAGAAAAAACTTTTATCATGTGAGAAATGCATGAAATGACCCCAAGAAATGGACAGTAAGCCAGAGGAATGTCCTCAGTGGTAGCGTTCAAATGATCGCAAAAGCTAAAATGATGAAGTCATTTTCAGCTTTGCTAGCTTGATCTTATCTTTCAGACAATGAATCTTTTCCTCGTCATCCAAAAGCTAAACTGATGCTTCTCGTGGTGTCATTTATTAAAAAAAATAAAGATGGCAGACCAAGGGCAAAACACACTGACAGCATGTGCAACAAAAATACACCATTGTTATTTTCTGCTGTGACTTCCACACCCTTCATTGTGGGAATCTAGTGATATTTTCCTTAGATGTTTCTATAGAACTGCAGTAAAGACACTGACCAGAAGAATCAGGCTAGATTAAAAAGTTTAAATATTAACAGGGCTGTGTACCAAAACGCAACACCAAACAAAAACATTTGCTAGATATTAGTATCAAGGAACAAAATGTATATTTTTGTAAGATACATTTGATACTTTCCCACTGAGCCACACAGCTCCTTATGTTGTTGATCGTTAGTGACTAATACTGCTGTCACACACAAAGCCCAGCCTTTCGTTTACTACAATTCTCTGAGTTCGCTGACCAAAGATTGCTGAAAACATCAGAGGTTTGGCTGAATTTTATTGCATAAACAGCAACAGAGCTAAATGTAACCTCTGGGATCAGATTTGTGTTCCTAAAAATGGAAATTCCAGCTATTTAATGAAGCTCCTCATCGTTTACGGCATCGATTTGTGAGCCAAAGGATAAAAACAAAAAGCTAACCCTCTAATAATCTCATATTTATACTGTGTGTTTACTTGTAATTTGTTTATTTAGGATCTAAATTTTTTATTTTAGGCTTTTATAGTAGTTGTTTCATATTTGTCGCACAAAGAACAGATTTGTACTTTATCTTCATACTGTTAACTTTTGTTTTGCACTGAAGGGTAAATGCCACCGCTTTACTTTTATATAGAAATTAGTGTCTTACTCTTGCTCTAAAAATAAAGACGTAAGTTTGCTTAGTTTAATAAACACACTAAAACATTTACATTACCTTGTGCCTCTTAAAATTAGACAAAATTAAAAGGTAGCAAAAAATATTGTTCATGTACTGAAAACCAGGTCTCATTAAGGTTCTGGTAAACTTTCACAGACGGTGTGCATTAAGCGGAGCAGGACTAGTGTCTTGACTTTTGTGGTGAAAGAAATAAAACTAAATTCATGCTTCTTCCTTTAGTTCATTCTGTGTTGTTTTTCTGATTCCTTTTCCTGATTCTTAAGTGTAAACAGAGCAGTAAAAAGCCCACGGTGACAGGAGAATCATCGGTAACACCTGAGGACTCTGACGAAGGCGACTGAAAGGAACCGAAACTCGGCAAAGGTAGATAAACAGCTACTCTGTGTACGCCTAAGAATCAGAAACAAGAACTAAATGGATGCTCTCCCGCACCAACAATTATCCCCTTTCATAGGCTCAGTATAGGTAGTCTGATCTTCTTTTCACATTTTCATCCGTTTGGCTGAGATTTCTACCGTATCCCCATCAACCCTCTCCAATAGGATCCATTTATTCCTCCTTAATGATTAGGCCACCAGCTTCCTGGACAAGCTATGTAAACAAGACAAGCCCCTCCTCATCATATTGGGCTGTTTGTTTGTACAGTGATCCCTCGCTACTTCGCGGTTCGTTTGTCGCGGATTCACGACTTCGCGGATTTTTTCTTTGGAGCCTTATTCAAGGGAAATTTGCAGATTCGCGGTATTTTTCTATGCGAAATATCAAGAAATTCCTGTTTTTTCCTCATCAATTTCATCATAAAATGCACTTTTTGTAATAAAACTATAAAAAAAAACAAGTAAAAAAAAAATTTTCTTGAGTTTTACCCACAAAAAGAGAATGTGATCATACGATAATTCAATATAGTACTGTACTGTAAATATGGTGTCCCTACTTCGCGGATTTTCACCTATCGCAGCCAGGTCTGGAACGCATCTACCGCGATAAACGAGGGATCACTGTAGTTTTTAAAACCGGTACAATGAAAAAGATAAACATCACTGTAACTAAATGAAATGGTGAATAATGGCTGTAGGCTAAAACCGGTACAAACTTGGTACAAATTTACTTCCGTTACATAAAAATTAAAGAGTTGATGGAAAAAAAATTCCAATGTCAAATTGGTGTAATAACACACTTCCAGTTCGATTAGGCCTCACTCAACCAGACAAAGCAGCAGCGGTGACGAGCCAGGTGCTGCAGAAGCTAATTCACTGAGCATCAATAACAACACAGCAAAAAGCCTTGCACTTTACTAGAGAGACCAATCATTAATCCTTGTCCTCTACCTCATAATGCTGACTCTAGCACGGCTATATAATTAGGAGAATATAAACTGCTCTATTGATTTTTCAATTAAAATGCAGCAGACAGAATACCACCCAGAGAGGGAGGAATGGTTTAAACCAAGTAGATGGAATGGTGTGTAAATAAACAGATTTAAGACTTGTTATTAAAAACAGAACATTCTTTCTAAGAGATTACACCTTTATTGTAGCCTACTGGAGCTAGACGCATAAATATGACATCACAAGACAGGTTTGACCATCTGATGACCATCAAGACAGAACAAACACGTCTTAAAGGAAAATAAAATCAAAAATAAAATACAAGTTCTTGCATTGAAGCAAGACATGACAGGTAAAGCTCAAAGGGCATCTAGGTGTGTACTGAGCATGCTCCATCCTCTTCGAATGCAGAAGTGCTCCATTGTTGACAGCTCCCGTTGGCAGTAGGCTTCCATTTAAATGGTTCCCATGGGGCAGTCTTTAAGGACAAACACAGATGGGTTCTTGTGTCATCCAGACTTAAAAGCACTTCTTTAACATGTTTACTGGCTCTGTTATCATTGCTGGCAGGAGGAGGGAAATCTGGAGGCAGCAGAAGGCTTTGCAACCCGTTGTGTGACCCTGGCACAGTTTTCAGTCTGCATATGAGGGGAGATAAAGCCGGCCTGTTTCTCGACTCATCTGTATTCTGTTGATTACTATTCAATCGGGTCAGATGCTGGTGAGGAATGCCTCTCCAGCACGAATTTCTCAAATAAACTCAGGGAAGTAACGTCATAAACAGTCAACCAATTTGAACATTGACTGATTTTAAAAACAGAAAAAGAGGTTTCTATAAAAAGTAAGGCACAATAACATTCAGGTTAGCTACTTTAGCCTTTTAAATGTGGCAGTGCTAAAGGAACAGCCATGGGTGGGTGCAGTAAAGTCAACTTCCATGAGATCGTCCTCAAAAATGTTATCTAATCTCTAGTTGATGAGGTCAAGGGTCAGTCCTCCCACTTAGAAGTCATAATGCCATACCCATGAGCAGTTGTGAGCTATAAAAGCAAGTGGTGATGAGCAGGGTGTCAGGCGTTCCCATAGTAATGTGACAACTGCTATAAACACCGCAGGCAGAAAGAATGCTAGATCAAAGTTTCTCAAAAATGGGACTGTCAGCTACTTTTAAAGTTTAAATGAGTTTTATGGATGCCAAGCTGTACAGAAAGACTGCAGCAGCTCATTGTCTGCAGAAATAATTAGATTAGTTTCAAATAGTAGCAGAGGTGGCAAAGAGCCTAGTTTGTTATCAGCTGTTTGTAAAGGCTCAGCTCAAAGCATTGTGCCTATGGCAACATGCATGCCTGCCACTGTCTCATGACTGTGTTTAATGCAGCAAAGTGAGAACATCGTCATAATAGATGTGGACACACCAGCACATGACAGAGACATGGAAATAGACATTGCACCTTCCACGTGGAGAAAAGTTTTATAAGAGACCCAAAAAGTTGGCAGCATAGACCAACAACAGAAATCTAGAATAGTGTAACCCAGGGGTGTCAAACTCATTTTAGCTCAGGGCCACATTGAGGGAAGCCTAGTCCCAAGTGGGCCGGACCGGTAAATAAATAAAAAAAACTCAGATTGTTTTCTTTGTTTTAATACAATCAATATAAAACACGACTGGAGCCTGAGGACAGTGTAGTACAAGTACAACACCTGAAGTGTACTTGAAAATTTGAAAAAAATAAAAAAATCAATAAATAAAAAAAAACATTCCTTAGTGATTCAAAGAGTTTACAGATCACATGGCAAGATCAGTTTCATGCATCACTTAAAGTATATTTGACTCATTTTACTTTACATCTTTTAGCTTTCACCAGCACATCAATATCAGAAGTCACATCCTGAGTGGCAGCCAACTTCAGGATGGGATTCAAGTTCTTGTGTGAGCCTTGAGCGCAGCTTTGTTTTATTTATACTCATTACAGAGAAAACTTGCTCACAAAGATAAGTTTATTTTCACTCTACATTGTAAAGTATGAAAATAAAGTTTACACAACCATCTCGCGGGCCGGATGTTTGACCCAGAGATGATGCAACCTCTCCTGTAGGAAGTGAAACATGGCTAAAAAATGGCTGGCTGTTCCCCTGTTCTGCCAGAATAAAAAAAAAAAACTCACATGAAGAACTTAAAGATGTTTTCTTTTCCAGGCCTGCAACTTTCCATTGAGGCCGTTACCCTTAAATCATGTTCTGCTCTGCTCCAACCAACAACTTCTCTTTCAATGCAGGACCCCCTGCCCCCATGTTTCAGCTAGTATCCGTCCCACTTTTTCTCCCCCACTTCACCAGTTTCCCGCCCTGGACAGAAAAACCCACGCTGCAGTAAGAAAACACCCATTCACAACCATCACCCTGGCCAGTAGAGATGCATGATGTCTATAAAGACAGAGGACCTAACCTGAGCTAGTATGGCTCATTAACTTCATAGAAAACAGTTGTTTTTGCTCATAAAGGCAACGTTTATTGCATTAATTTGGTTAAATACAACATATTAGATCTTTTTATAGTATTTGTCGAGGGAACGCCCCCCAAAAAAGAGCAATTAAATTTTAACAGTGAAAATACGATTTTATTGCGAACTTTGCATTGTCAAATCTGCTCTGACAGATCAGATTTCCTCTGCGGCAGAGAAAAGCTGCACCCGCCCTGCTTGTGACACCGCAGACAAGGACACAACTGTGCGTTTAAACCTTAAGAATATGCCTAAAACAACAAAAATGTCCTCTAAAGGTTTTGTCTGGACCGCTATTTCGAACAAAGCACGTCAAGGCTACTAGCATACGTTATTTTGGCTACAAAACAACGGTATGCTTGTATTTGTAGAATGGCTTTGTAGCTTTCTGCTGCATAAAAATACATAAATAACTAAAAAGTTTGCCAATACTTGTGATTTAACATGTTTTTACAAATAAAAACACAACCATGCAAACTGAACAGCAGTCTTACCTTAACAAAAAGCTCGATAACGGGTTCGCCATCCCCCTTTAGTCCGTTCTGTGGTACCGACAGCGACATTTTGGCCACTTGGAAGTTTTTGACTAAAGATGAGTTTTCTTTTTTCTTCTTACTACCACGCCCGACTTAGACCGTCTATTTTCTGCACCACCTCCTTTTTATTTTAGCTCAGAAACCTCGTGGCTACCCCTTTTTCACTCCGAGGAGGAGGAGACAAAGCGGACAAGGAGGAGGCAGCGGGGTCTTCCAGACAAACGTTGAGCTTTCCCACTGCTAGCTAGGCTACAGAAGCGTTGCTGAGGCGCGCGCGCGCGCTCCTCTTATCTCCTCGTGCTAGGATGACGCCGACGCCGGGAAGAGTCCACGGGAATATTTAACAGCGTGATGTCATCGGGAGAACATTCAGAAATGTGGGGAGGGATTGAGGGAATATTCTAGTAGCGGATCTCACAGAGCCACATGGCGGCTCCTAAGTTTTTAGGAATGACATCGATTTTTCCTGGTTGTTGAAACAACTTCAGACATTTAAAGACGCCTAATATGAGAATCCGGGACTTTTAACTTTACCCCGTAGACACATCAATGTCTAATTTACTTTCGGGTGACTCGTACTTTTAAAAGGTTCGCACCATTTAAACACCGGCGTAGACTTGTCGGAGTTCGCATACAGCTCATAGCGGACTAGCGCCTGTCACAACCCCAGCATGAAAATTAGTTCAGAATGATCAAAATAATATATTTGTTGTTCTTAAACTATATATGTATTTGTTTTTCATAGAGACGCCTCACACTCCCTTCGTGTCTTGCAGCTGGGCCATGCGCCGGCAAACGCGGAAGAGGTGAACCCACAAGCTGTTTACGGAGTTTCTGGAATTCTATGATCAAGCACCTTCACGTGAAAATATCAGCAACTGCATGCTAACCAATTCACCATTGGTAGACAAACAACCACATGAATACAAAATTTAAACACGGATCCTAAAAAAGTTTTAATTCTGAAAGGATGACGTGACAGGAACCAGGTTACTAAATACAAACCATACACTATAGCAGTCCCACAGAAATTAGCTCAATACAGGGGTTTTTAACAAAAATTGCATATCAATCAGTTTAGAAAAAAATTAAAACATGTTTCATCCTTAAGATAGATTTAATCTTCAAACAAGACAATTTCAAAGTTGGAGAAAAAAGCAGGTTAAATGATGCCCATCTCTAAAACCGGACGTTTTGTTACTGCCTTGACGGACTCACAGTAGTGACTTGGTTTCCACTAGTAAAAGGCGTTAGTAACAGCAGATTACTTGATGGCGTTCTCACCAGTCAATGGTTCATGCACATCGGAGACAATGCACGTGCTATCATTTCTCTATGGAATCTACTGTACACAGACAAATATACCATTAACCTGCCCTACTCAAACCTCTGAAATGTAACGTTCTTCTTGCTTAACAAATTCAAAATATTAACACAAGTTTCTTTACAGTTTAGATAATAATCTATCCCACAAATCAAGTGAAGGAAAAACTCTCCAGAATGTACCAAACCAATTAAAAAAAAAAACAAGAATCGACAATTTGTACATTCTAAAGCTGAACCAGGTTGATGAGAAACATCAAAATAGGAAAACTCAGAACTTTCTTGTTCTCATGACATTTGTGATGGAGACATCTGGGCCTTCCTCATCGAGCGCAGGGCCTTCTCTCGAAGATGTTTTTCCAGATCGTCCAAGCCGTCGTCGGCGTCACTGTCTGAGTCCTGAATAAAAAGAATGTCAGACCTTTAACTAAAGTTTAGCTGCCTGAATACACACGGATTCGATGTTGATGTTTAACATGTGGTCCCACCGAAACGATGAAGAGATGAACTAAAACAACAGAACAAACGTTACCTTTCTTGATTCTCCATCCTCCTCCACACCGCGATTCTCCGCTACGTCTCCCGGAACAGCACCCCCGCTGCTTTTCTCCTTCTTGTGTTTCTTGTGTTTTTTGTGTTTCTTCTCCTTCTTGTGTTTCTTTTCCTTCTTCTTCTTCTTTTTCTTTCCGCCACCTTCAACATCTGATATCTGAAAACAAACATTATTTAAAAACACTTTTAAACAGTTTGTTTTCAAAAAAGAATGTTGTGTCATATTTAAGAGTAAATTCGAACCTTGCTTGGAGACGGGCTGCCTGAAGCACTACTGGGTTTTTTGACTGGAGGAGGTGGGGGAGACCCACTGACTGAGCGAGAAGGAGATGGGGAGGCGGAAGCAGGAGCTGGACCTTTCTGCGGAGCTGGCAGGGGGGAGACTGACCTCGATCTGGATGATGCTCTCCTCATTTGCTTAGGACTTGGTGAAGTTCTGTTAAAGCAATAAAAGTTGTGTAAAGAAAACTTTCAAAAGACTTACGGATTGCGTCGAACCATTCCTTGCATCTCGTTTACCTCTTCCTGTGTGGTTCTGGAGTGCGGGACACCCTGCGAATGAGCTTGCTGCTGCGTGAAGGGGACGGCTGTCGCCTCTGGTTAGATGGAGATGTACTAGAAGAAGCAAAGCGTCCCTGGGGACTCGTGGATCGTCTGACAGCCCGACTGCGGTTTGCAGGTGATGGGGACAGGCGTCTGGCAGACGCAACAGGGGATCGTGTGTCCCTGCCTGGCCTGGCTGGCATGGGGCTCCTTTTGTGACGGGGTGGAGATGTGGACGAAGGAGGAGAGCGCCGTCTAGGACCAGGAGAGCTTCTGCGTTTAGGAGACCTAGAGAAACGTCGCTTGGAACCTGGAGAGGAGCGTCTCAGGGGTGAGCTAGACAACTTCCTCTTTGCTGGAGGCAAAGGTGAGGGGCTGTAGCGGCGCTGGATGGGAGGAGAGTAACGTCTGGGGGACATAGATCTACGACGTGGTGGCGGTGAAGGAGACCTGGAAAGAAAAAAAGAAAAATTGTTGAAAATCAATACTAATGAAAGTTTTTTTAATCCTACCCAGTAAATCCATATAAAAAGATCATTGTTACTAGCCTGCGTCTAGGAGAGGGAGATCTGCGGCGGCGTGGGGGAGATGGAGAGCGACGTCTACGTCCAGGAGATGGAGAACGTCTTCTTCTGAAGGAATAATAACAAATAAAAACATTTGTTCAAGAACAAATGGAAACATAAAACCTTAACAGACGTCAGATCATCCAGATACTGAGGAGATAAGCGTCTGACCTTGGGGAGGCGTCCCGATGCCGCCTACGAGGTGATGGTGTGCGGCTACGCCTCCTCCTCACTTCACCGTTTCTGGCTCCTGGCCCTGTAGCTGACCTCTTAGGTCCCTCATCCTCTGATGATGAAGATCCTGAATCTGAAACCACATGAAACAAATAAAAACTTTTTAATGGCCTTTTACTGTATGCAGTAAAGGAAAAACACCAAAATCTAGGGTTAGGACGAACGAGGCTGGGCACAGACCTGAAGAAGATTGCTGATTCTGCCTGCGATACTGACGTCTCTGCTGCACCGAGTCGGCTGTTGCCCCTTTTTCATTTTTGTCCTCCTCTGAAAAGCAAAGCATCGGTTGTCTGATCAGTGTTCGTACCACTCTACAAAAGCATCATGTAAAAGTGACAACCAATGCTTCTGTCTTACCAATAAGACCTGTTATGCTGTGTTTAAATGTAACGGAAGGAAAGTTTACAAAAGGAAGCATTCTTAAAAAAATCGTTGAGCAGGACTTTAAGCTGTTATTTTTGTCGAAGAGGAAAACATTTTAAAAAACACCTGGAATAATTTAGTCTAAGCGATTAGCTAATCTGGATCAGTAATGACCCTCGGGTGATGGCACCTATTTTATGGAGACTTGCTGTATAAACGAAGTACGATCTGAGCTTCATTAGGCCGAGGATTTGACTTACCAGAGTCAGACCCATCAGAAGCTCGTGCTTTTGCATTAGCAGGTGGAGAATCATCCATTCTTCTTTGTTTTTGCTTTAAACCTAAAACCAAAACATTCAGTTTTAGATGCATTTATTGTAACCAAGTTAATTTAAAGATCACGTCACCTCCAAATCAACTTTTTTTTCTGATAAACTATATAAATGTGTGTCTAATCGTGCTGCAGACACGTGTAGTCAATAGTTTTGCACTTAAGTGCATTTTAGTTAAAATTTAAATTTTCTGCCTAAAACTGTCAGTGTTGTGCCGTTGTCAGGTAAAAACTCTGCACTGCAGTTGAATTTAAATCTGCCATCGCTATTGGCTAAGAGGTACCCTAGAACGTTAGCTGGTACCATAGGATGTCACAATGCTTTTGTGAGCGTGTGTATTTGTTAGCGGCTCCGCCCTCTCGGTCTGCTAGGCAACAGCATTTGTTGCATTTTTCAAACAGGAAGTGGGAGTGGAGTAAGTTTCTTGTAAAGATCAAGTCACCCCCTACAAGAAACTTACTCCACTCCATGTTTGAAAAATGCCACAAATGCTGTTGCATAGCAAATCGAAAGGCCGGAGCCGCTAACAAATACACACACACACACACGCGCTCACAAAAGCATTGTGACATCATTATGTACCTGCTAACGTCATTGTGTACCTCTTAGCTAACAGTGATGGCAGATTTAAATTGAACTGTAGTGCAGAGATTTTACTTGACAGTTTGTCAGAATATTTAAATTTTAACTAAGAAGCATTAAAGTGCCAAATTACTGACTACACGTGTCTACAGCACGATTCGACTAATTTATGTGGTTTATCAGCAAAAAAAGTTGATTTGGGGGAGACTTGCTCTTTAACAATGGTTACATTTAACAAGTAGAATTACAGGGAAGGGTTTGTCTTTTCTTATAACTTATAAATCTAAGTTTCATTTAGATATTTTATCAATCAACATTAAAAATGAAACAGCTAGGAGGCTAAAGCTAACGTGTCGAGTCATACCCAATGACATGAGAGGGGAAGGAGACCTCCGGCCTCTTCTTGCTCGTGGAGACAGCGATCGCTTGTCCTTTGGTGCGGGACTGATAGACGTGTCAAAACGGCGGACTTGTTTACGGGGGGGCGTGGGGGATATTCTCTTCACAGGCTTTTTGGGTGAACGTGAACCAGAGGAGCTGCTGCCAGAAAACGAGGCAGAACGAGAGCGTCTCCTAACAAGGAAATGCGAAAAATTAGAAAGACATTATTAAAGCATCTGTCGTCATGAGATTCAGGTACAATCTGTAAAAGCTGCCCTGCACTGACCTGCGGACTGGGGAACGCCTATGTCGATGTCTAGAGCCAGCCGGGCCGCGTCTAGGAGGACTCCATCGTCGAGGAGACATTCTCCTTCTGGGACTTTGTCTTCTACGAGGGGAGTACGACCTGATACAGAAGAGAGGAAAACGATCAACTTAAAAAACAAATACCTTTTTTTGTACAGAGTAAAATGATATTTTAATAAAGACCTTGAGCGAGAGCGTCGTCTGTGAGAGCGGGAATGAGACGGGGAGGGTGAACGATGGTGAGGTCTCTCCTTCCTCACGTCCTTTTCACGAGATCTCGGCCTCTCCTCTTTCTTGTGAGACTTTTCTGGGGATGTTTCTTTGACCTCAGAAACTGAGTCAGCTTTTACCAACTCCACCACTGCATCACTAGAAAAGAAAAGCATTTATTTTTGTCATTACATGTTACAATCCAAATCCTACAGGTAGGACACACAGAGACACAAACCCAGTAGAAGAAGCTTCTTGGATAACCGGCTCAGTCGGCTCTTTCTCTGAAGTATCAGCTTCAACAAGCTGCTGTGAGGCTCTAGTGGAAGACTGCATCAGAGGTGGGGCGGGTGAGTTTGCACTGAGCGGACTGGGTTTGCGTCTTGGGGAGCGTGACGGGCTGCGTTTTCTTTCCCGTTTGGCAGGCGACCTTCGTCGTGGTGATGGTGACCTGGTTTTCCTCCTGACCAAAGGAACAGAACAGACGTTAATATGAACGGATGTTTCCCAGTGATCGTGATCAAACAATAATTAGTTCCAAACATGTTATACCTTTGGGATAATCTATGTCACTATAGTAAATTTAACAACAGAAGAAGTTTGATTCACATTTAAAACAAAAACCTCCCACCTTCTTGGGCTCTTGGACTGAGCCCTCTCTCTGGTGTCTTTATCCTTCTTGTCCTCATCCACCTTTCTCAGGGAAGCCAGTTTCTCTTGTTCAATCTGTCAAATATTAAACTATAGCTGAATAATACACTAACAAACATGGACAACTCGGACTAAGCTGCCGTTTTCAAAATAAAATGTACCTCAAGTGTAAAATTTTGTGTTTTCCAAAACGTTCTCCATCAGGATTAAAACGTATTATTTACCTGATTAATTACATTGTCAACGTTGTATAGGGGTGGCAATAAATACATTTTATTGAATAAGATGAATTTGTTTTTTATGAAGATTTTATTTTGGATACAATAAAATTTTACATGCATTCTTTTTACTCCATTTATAGTGTCTGTTTATCCCGTAAAGTCTGAGGAAGTGCACTTTCATATAAAGTTCTGAGGTTCTAAAGACGCATCACCTGTCTCTGTCGGATTTCCTCCTTCTTCTGTTCCAGGAAAGCAGACGGGATGCCAGCAATGTTCTCCTGGGCACTCAGCAGCAGGGGCCACAGGTCTCCCATGAACTCACGGGCGTTCTTGCCATTCAGAAACCCTGTCAGGTTGATCTGCATCATCTTACTATCAGGATGCTGCAACATACACAATAAAGGGGGAAAGAAAAAGAGACAAAGCCGTTGAAATAATAGAAAACATAAAAAGGAGGCAGGGTCCCACACATGGGGCTTCCCACCATCTATCCCTGTCTAGACTAAACCTGGGATAATCTAGCTAACCAGATCTAAATCATACACAATGCCGTCTACAATACTGGACTCAGAAACTTTTAATTAATTATTTACTCAGTCTGTACTGAACTCTTGAAACTGAGAATGCAAGTTAGCTGAGGGGAGACATTTCTAGCAATGTAAACAAAAAACTGCATGCAATAATTCTGTTGTAAATCCCTAAATAATTTTAAAATAATCAGCATTTTGTGATCATATTTGTACTACTGCTCTACTTTTTACCCCGCCCCATTTGCCCCAGTCTCCCCACAGTCTACACTTCAGGGGTTAAACAAATAACCACAATACAGAGTGCATCAAAACCCAACACTGCAAGTACAGTTCCGGTGTCTTCAGTGAGTCCCGTGGGATCAGTGGGCACGGAGCTCCATTGGCTTGCTTCCGCCTCCCTACTGCTTGAGACTCAACCACCATGAGCTTAATGTTATATCATTTATCTAAATTGCAAGAGACGAACAAGCAATAATGAGTACAGTTACACACAAACTTTATTTTTTATTAAAACAAGTGTTAAAACTAGCCAAACTGTAATCTCTATTCTATCACAAAATCCACTTCACCCCAGTTAGCTTTAAGAACTAGGAAAAAACAAAAATAGAATAGAAATTATGTAAACATCATACTAGTATCATTTATACACAATTACATTTCTATTAGCAGAAAAGAGCCAAAGTTCAAAAGAAGGCCAGTTTGAATAGATGCCAAAACTTGCAATCAGGTACTTTGGGAACTTAAGTATTCTGACGTTATTCCTCAGGCTGATTTAGCAAAAGAACAAAAAATGTTATATTTGCAAGTTATTGGTCACTATGCAGAGGTCTCACATGCTTAAGAGGTTACCACTGGATCATAAAAGTTTTTAAAAAGTCTAAAACTAGAAAGTATTTAAAAATAAAATAACATACATGGTAAAGAAGAGACATAAATGAATATTCTGAAATGATTACAAATCAGGTTTTATAGCAATAAGCTGAAAAGTATTGTTTCTGTAGAAAATCTCGTTCGTGCTGACCTCCTGTGGTTGAAGTTCTCTACTTGCAATAGTAATGCACTCTGCTCGCCTTCAACACAGACCATAAACGGTTTCCATCAACATATTTTTCATTTCTATTTTGAGTTTTATGAAATATTTCAGGTTTATTAGAATAAAACTGTTCATCCTGTAAAATTATAAACTAACAGAGTTATTTGGGGAAAACCATGCATAAATAAATAAAAGTTTTGGCAAAAAGGGAAACAAAAGAAGCATCTAATTTAGCTAGTTTTATTTGTTTCTGGCTGCTGGCGTTTTTAATTCTCAGCCTTCCCCAACAGAACTGAAAAATATTCTTTCTACACATCTTCATTTATTAACTCAAAGAAATGCAGCATGTACCTCATGTAGGTCAACATCTATGAGATTTGTTTAAAATAGACAACTTGATGGAAACGCAGCAACTCTCGAGTGCAGTTAAATAAAAGTGCAACAGAATGCACGTTATACTCAACAGAAGTGCAACTGATGCAAAACTTGCAATCAGGGGTGGTCAGTGAGACAATACTTTTCAGGGTTAAAACAAATTTTTATTTTTTATACTTAAAAATAAACCATGGCATTTTCTAAACCCTTTTCTGGATTAATGAAGGTAGTTGGCATCTAAAAATGCCTACGGAGAATATGATAATGGAACTGTTCAGTTGTGTCTTTCACTGACAAGATGTAGATGATCCCTATATACAACTCACCTCAAAACACACACTGCATCATGAAGGGAGAGTTGGGCTCAGAGACTTTGGGCTCAGGAGAGAGCTAATTAGATGTTGGTGCTATACTTCTGATGCAAGGTATAACATCCATATTGGTTCAGGCCTTTTAAATCATAAATCACATCATCATTAGAAGACTGCTAAATAAAAAGGCACGTTGTCACATAACAGCAAAACAAGATCTACACAAATAAACCAACTATTTTTTACTTTACCCATTCATTCTCAGTTTGACTAGGATGTGCATTTATTTTACTAACATCCCTTCTTGCTGGCTAAGCAATGCCCTGAATTACAACAGCTCTGACAGAAAAAAAATAAAACAAACAGAGGAAAAACAATACCTTCTCTTCAAGTTGGTTGAATATGAACTCAATGACCACATCATCCTCAAAGCCAAGAATCTCTGTCACACGTTGGGTAATCCACGGTTTGATGACTTCCAAGTTGACTTTGGTCATGTCCACCTGAGAAAAAACAGGCAAGTCAATATTTTTAAAAAGTGCTCATCTTTATACTCATTTTATTAGAATAAGCAGCATTACACAGGCACTCAGATGCAATTACCAAATGCATTTATGCAAAATAGAGTCACATTAATGGGTTATATCTATTACAGATGTCAGGTCACACAAGGAACAGACTTATTTGGGATTTTTACTTGGGTATTTGCCACAAATCCAACCTCTACAACAAATCCTATTCAAAATAAAATATTGACGTACACAAGCAGATTACATATGGAGAAGTAAGATATGTCTCAGCGGCCCTAAAAGAAAATTTTTGTTTTCATTTAACATTCAGAACAGAAAAACCTCTGATTGTTACGGTTTGCCTGGGATATGATGAATAGGTCAGAGGTCTCCAAAGCGCTTTACACTACAGTGTATCACTCATCCAATCACACACACATTCACATGCCGATGGTGATGAGCTACAATGTAGCCACAACTGTCCTGGGGCTCAATGATAAAAATGAGGTGCTACCGGTCCCTCTGACCACCACATGTTTGGATGCTATATGATGAGAAATAACCAGAATAACAGTTTAATCACCATCAGGAGATCACATACCTTCTTGTCCAAACATTCTGCAAATTTCAGCTGCTTCAGTAGTTTTTTCTGCTTGTTGCTGAAACGGTTGTCCTGCTCCGCACTCGTACCCTAAAATATTCAACAGATAGAAATTAGTGTATTCGGGTTACACATGACACTGAACTAGCAACAAGCTAGCTAGCCGGTTGCTAAGTACTAACAAGGAAGATTACATTAGCAAGAAAGCGGTGTCAACGATAACAGCGTCGATATAAATGTGCTCTTAAAGGTCTGAATGGTGTCAGTCTTCAATAAGCCGAAAGTTAAATGTACCAAAGTAACGTTGGCGTAACATGGTCGTGACTAGCTCGTTTAGGCACAACACCGGGCGCCATCTTAAGCCAAGGCCAACAATTTAGCTGCACGGACCTGTCTAATTCCTGAGAAGACTATATGAAAATTATACCAAAAATGCTGAGATGCGTTAGTAAAATAACATAACACGGGCTCAAAATAATACAATTATCAGTTTCATAAAAACAATACTAATTTCCAAATTAGCTACATTGAAAAGAGGACTGACTACAAATAGCAGAATCGTTCAAAATCAGTTGATAGACGGAGACATTACCGCACCGCTTCTATCAAGTGTGGCCCTCGACCAAACTGTAAACGGGATATTAATGCCAATTTATTAACATTCAGCGCGACACAAATTTATAAAAATGATAGATGTTTGTTTCAAACACTCACGCGGAAGAATCCCGCGTCCATTCTCGGTGAAAATCGATTGTTTCAAGCGCTGCGGAGAAAGAAGTGCGTCCCTCTGGTGAAGCTCGAGTGGCCAGCCGGATGCAGAGTGCGCCCCTACAGGATGTAACGAGTACTGCGCTTGCCCGCGTCATTTTTTATTTCTTTCCACTTATTGACAATTCTTATTTTTTATATTAATTTCTAAATATATCAGTTTCATATTTTATTCAGTTCATACATTTTTTATTCCGTTTTTATATATTTAAAATTACTTTACTGTAAACCATATACATTGAATACATGAAACCTCTAAGTGGCATTTATTAGGACTGGTATATTTAGAAAACAAGGAGTCAGAATCTTCACCATCTCCATGGTTTGGGGGTGCAGTTACACTCCCTCTGCAAGGGGCGAGGGTTGCTATGTTGGTTTGGTTCCCCTGTGCTTGGTAGCCCTTTGTGGAGTTTAGGCCAATGGGGAATGGGGTTGTCTGGCTCCTGGCTGACCTGCATTGGCGTGATGATGATGTGCTGGGCTTGGGACTCCAGGACTGACAGCCCCAAGTGGGTTCCCGTTGGCTGGAGGCTGGTGTCCTTTCGTCCTCAGGCTGGTTCCCCTTCTTGCCCAGGTTGGGTTCATCCCATCATCTGGGATGGCTGAATAGTGTTGGTTCTTTGGGAGCTGTTGGTTGTTGGAGAATTTGTGGCCACCTAGATCTGCTGCTGGTAGGACCTGGGCTGGCATGGAGCAGCTCCTCCCTCATAACATAGACAGTATTTTTTTAAACACTCCTGGTGACAAATCTTCATACAGACATTCCAATACATACTAGCAGATATCAACCAATATCAACTGGATGCATCACAGGTTGTCCTGGATGAAGGTAAATGGCAGATTAGTCTGTAGCCTGATTATCTCTTTGCAGAAAACTTGGATATCACATAAACCTTTTAGTTTGTTCACAAAGTTTCTACCTACATGTAAAAGACATGGTTTTAACACAAGGAGAGCCTCCCAAGTAACCTTTACCCTTCCATTGCCAAAAACTAATGCCCTCAAGAGAAGTCATTTACAGAGCTGTTTCATATTGGAATATCCGGCCTCCAGGAGTGGCATTAATAAATAATCATGGCAGATTCAAGAAAATTCTTAAGACTTTGGTCATCCATAACAACTTAAAACTAAATGACTGATGTGGGCTTTTAAATTAGTTTTTAATCAATTTCCCTCTGGGATTAATAAAGTATTTTTGAATTGAATTGAATTGAATTATAGTTATTAACTGGCCGGGGGTGGGGGGGGGGGGGGGGTGGGGGGTGTTGGTATTTTCTTATTTGAATGATTTTATCTTTGCTGAATTTTCTTATTAATGGATACATTTGTTTAAATGTTTTGTATGTTCTTTTTCTTACACTGTATATGTACTATTGTAAATGTTTTTTAATGATGTGGACCCCAGGAAGAATAGTCTTCACTATGGTGAAGACTAATGGGGATCCTTAAATAAACAAATAGTAGACCAATACACAGACACAGACACACACACACACACACACACACACACACACACACACACACACACACACACACACACACACACACACACACACACACACACACACACACACACACACACACACACACACACACCAAAAATCATTAAAAACAACCATATATTTTCTTTACTAATAATTTATGGATTATGCACATATTGGAAACAATAAATAATTTTTTTTCTGTGATCATTAAATTTTTACCACAAAATGCACATCTTTGAAATATTGTACAAAAGTCTGTTTATTTTGTCTAAACAACACTTGAATTATCTGTGATTATTAGTAAGTCTTAGTTCCACATACACTGCATTTTATACATTTTTTTATTCCAATGCATATCATATTATTTTCGAACCAAAGTCACTCTAGAGCCTAAAAATAATTTTCAAAATATGTAACAAGAGTAATGGCATGTATAACATCTGAGTGATGTGTTATTTTTACATTATAGTCTCTGGCATCTTACAAAATAATGTTCAGTGAAACAGGCAGAATACAGCATGGTAGTCCAGACTGATGTGAGCGAGCCATTCCAGTGAACACCTGGTCCACGTTGCCTTGGACACACACTGCTACAATGTGTTGTGGTCATGCATTAAAATATGTTAAAACCCCAGTTGAGGCACTTTCTCATGTGTAAAGTGAAATAATGCAATAACAAATAGAAACAACAAAGATGAGGATATGTAACAATGTATGATTCCCTGAATTAGACTGCGAAATCCTGACTTTGTAGATGAGTATGACATATTGAGAAGTTCTGACTGAGAATTCTTTATTTACAATCAACTTCTAAAAGATTGGCGTGATTATGCAGGAACAAATACTGGAAACTGCTGGGGAAAACCAATGGTAAACGAAAGAAGGTCATCCATGGAGCTTGGGTCGGTCTTTGTAGGGAAGGTTTTGCTAGCTGACTGGAAAGCCCTCGATGATCCTCTTGTCGCGAACAGATTTCAGCATATCTGACACGAGTTCCTCAAGCCCAAAGGCCGGCTTCCAGCCCCAGTCCCTCCTGGCATTAGTGTCGTCAAATCTCACAGGCCAGCTGTCAGCTGCAAAGTGACAAAATATCTTATAGCTGTGTTACTTTCACAATACTGTTCCAGCTTTCACCCTCCCACTGTCTTTATGGGCGACCCTGCAAGGAAAGTTGACCATGGAGCAGGATTGATGGTTTATCCTTTGAGGTCTACGTGGCAGGGGTGAGGTGGTGCTCACTCCTCACCCCTGCCACATTGAACCCCAAGGGATAAACCATCAACCCTGCTCAATGGTCAACTTTCCTCGCAGGGTCACACCCATTAGGGCCGTGGGAGGGTTAATTAGTTAAATTATCATCATACCGATTGTCTGGCGCACAGAGTCTGGATTGTAAGTGACCTTAAGGTGAGGGAGATGCTTGCGGATTTCTTGGGCCACCTCCTCTGGGGTGAAGCTCATGGCATCTATGTTGTAGGTCCGCAGCGATAGCTGGCACTCTGGAGCCTGCATGTACTCCACAGTGGCACGGTGGCAGTCTGAGATGTGCATCATGGGAAGTCGGGTGTCAGGACGCAGGTAGCACACATGGTGACCTGTACTTAGAGCATCATGGAAGATCTGAACGGCATAGTCTGTGACAAAACGAAGTTTAAATTTATGCCGATGACATCCAGATGATTAGAGCGTGAGATTGTGAGGTGAGAAATACCTGTCGTTCCTCCACCAGGGTGGGTGTTCACTGATATCACACCAGGGTAACGCAGGCAGCGGAAGTCCAAACCGTATTTGTGATGGAGATACTGCAGAAACAATAGCCTTTAAAGCTGCAATGGCATAGCTGCACACATAAAACTAATGGTTTTCATGCCTCTTGATAAATGTTCTAACTAGTATAATGATAATATATTGTGGAGATGGAAAAAAGAAAGAATAAACTATGAAGTGGTTCTCTCGCATTTGTCTAAAAATCTCAGTCAATAATATGGCTCGGTCCAAAACCAATGCCTGGACCATCCAGTTGTCAGTCTCACCGAACCATTGCACTTGCACACTTCCCTGGGTCCACCATTCATTACTTTTTTGTGTAATTCGTGACAGAACTCCACTGGTATGTGTAACGGAATGAAATGAAAGTCATTTCCCCCCTTTCCTCAGCAAGAACTAATCTGCATGAGATATTGCTCAAGGTCATGCATTTGCTTCTAAAACTTCTCCTTTCCAGCTCAAGGGAAGAATGAAGACAAAGGACTCTTTCTTTTTAATAAATCAAAGAACTCTATTTTTAATAAAGCTAATCAAACAAAGTGTTAGTCCAATAATAATGTGGACCAATCTGTGAACTGACAATATTATGATTAGTATGCTTTTTAATAAGTAATATGACTTTAATCTAGCTGCACTAGACATCCTGATCATACGTAATGTAAACGCATGACACATTGCGTTTACTCATCCAATCAGAACCTTCCTTTCCGAAGCGTGGCATAGTCTCTGTGGTGTTCATAAATCTGTCCAACTTTGATTCGACCAGAAATCAAAACATCCAGATTAATAAAACCAGTCCCCACGCCATCTTAGATCAGTTCACCGCATTCTAAGAGAAGTATCGGACCGGCCACCCGGACTTCCTTTTTAAGCAAAGAACCAACAAGCTGGATAAAATCTGTTGCACTTTACCAACCAAGCAACGGTTCCCTTCAGAATAAAAGCTGAACTCACTGACCCAAGGGGGGTCCATCTGACGCTGTCAAGCAACTGTCGATTTTTACCTGGAGACAATCCAAAGACTAGTCTGTCGTACTGCTGACGCCGTTTCATCGGCTCCGGTACCGAAAGAGGGGTCCGAGGACCTGGCAGTCTGGATCTGTACAGAGGTCTAATTTTAAGGGTATGTGGAGCGACAAAATGGCGTCTCATGTGTTTATGAAACTCCGATCATAGCTTAAGAGCAAAACATCGCAACATCATACAGACTTGCTTCTCCGGATACGAGAGTTCTGATGACAACATCACTCACACATACACCATTCATCTCACGTCTCATTCACACCAAGATCCATTCATCACTTAGAATTTAGAGTTAGTCTTGTTTAAAATTGTTTAGAAATAAATCTTCTTAAACGTTTTAAAGGTGACTCTCTCTTCTGTTGTCTCTCAGTTAATACGAAGTGTTACATAATCCCTACAATAAAAAGTTCCAATCTTCTGGTTAAAAGTACCCAAAGATCCATAAGATTAATTTCATATTTACTATGGAATCTTATGTCTTATGGTTCATTAAACAGATGTAAATTAAACCCTTACATAAGAGAGGTTCTCTGCTCAGTAATATCACAAAAGGAGAAACAGACGGCTGCTACGGCTGCTATGGCTACAACTTTAAGATGAACTACCAGAGTCCCAAAAAGAAAAACACCAATTTGAAGTCACAGACAACAAAAGACAAACGGAGCTAGAAAACAACAGCAGGTGTTAGCGCTCTCTCGTTTCCCCGGTTCCGGTACCCGGTACCCGATGAACGCAGCCCAGGGATGAAAGTCGACACGAGGGGTGAGTGTTCCGTGACTGTGTTTGTGGTTGAAAGCTAGCTTGTTTTGCAGAGTTGTTATTGCAGATTTGAAGGGAGACTAGGTCGTTTTGGCTTGCTTTAAGTACCCCCAGAGTCCGATTGTAAAACCATGAGCAAAACTTATTTCCTTTTAACCCCTTAACCTAACAGCTGAAAGGTCTCCCCAGCCTTCCTTAGTGTCTACAGGTGTGATTCATCACTAAACTAAACAAATCAGCTGTGTTTGTGATCTAAAACATGCAGGAAACATGCTGGAACAACACTAAAGCGCCAGGTGTGTCAGCTCAATGTTTTTCTAAGTCCCAACAGACCGGACAGGCAACTCTGAAGTTGCAAATGCGGTATTCTGGCCACAGGGGGCAATGGGGGCTGGGTGGCCTTTCAATACCCTGTAAAGGATCATTTTAGCACATACTGGCTCAAGAAAAATGATTTAAAATATGAAAAAGTTGCTAAGTATCCCTTTAACAGCCATTCTAAGTTGGGTAAACAATGTTCCTCGCAGTTCAAAAATCCTACCTCGCCCATCAGTTCACCGTGCACTTTGGAGACACCATAGATGGTTCTTGGGCGCTGTACGCAGAGGTCAGGAGCTGGGTCACGTGGGGATGAGGGGCCAAATGCTCCAATGGTGCTGGGCACAAAGAGGCGAAGGCAGTTTTCCAGAGCCAAGTCCAGAACGTTGTGTAGTCCTGGAAAGGCAACACCAGATTAGACAACTTCTAACACGATGAAACCTAAAACTTCGAGGAATGTAAAGTGAATATTAGAGCAAACCTGTGATGTTAATTTTTCGTGCCAAAGCCACATTAGCTTCCCCCACAGCACTGAGCAAAGCGCTGTAATGGACCAGCCAAGTGATTTGATGGTTTATAATCAGTTCTCTCAGGTGTTTGTAATCCAGAACATCAGCATACACGAATGGGCCTGAAGGAACGTTCAACAGACTAAGGAGAAAAGCTTCAAATCTAAACTACAAGATGAGCTAACCCTTGGATCAGGTTTCACTTACCGCTGGAGTAAACATGAGGCGGAGGCTTCTTGATGTCTGACAGGATTACGTTTTCTGCCCCATATTGTTTCCTGATTTTTGATGCAGACGAAATGGGACTCAAATGTCAGATAAGTTGACAAACCTGGAAGTTTTTAGGAATTTGTGTGACTCACCTCAACATCTCAGCAAGTCCGACACCTAACTGCCCCAAACCACCTACACACACACACACACACACACACACACACACACACACACACACACACACACACACACACACACACACACACACACACACACACACACACACACACACACACACATTTGTGTTTTATACAAGACTAAATTATTTACTTTGCTTTCAGACCTAAATGTATTTGGTTGACCATGTATATGTAAACAATTCTCAAACTGAGGCTTTATTCCAGAACAAATAACTCGCTCAGGGCTATTATTCACCTCCCCTTTATGTCACTAAATCTATGCTATTGTGATGGATCTAAACGGGGTCCTATAGCAAGTGCACCATGAAAACAACATGAACAAGGCAACAGATGTTTGAGGTTTTCAGATAATGGTGGAAGACGCTCGGAAACTTTATTGAATTTAAGATCAGTGATCTAAGTCACTCTCACCTAAGGCATCCCACAGCTAGTCACTTAGACCTTCTCAAATCCAGAAATACCACAGAGGAACGTGGTAGAGAATGTAACCAGAACCATACATTGGATAATTTAACTAACAGAGCTAATGATGTGGGAAATGTGTCTCACCTGTGATGAGAACACGTGGGACTTCCTCAGGAACTTGAGGGCCACAGGCGTCCTGGCTGTTCCACTTGCTCATGTACCTGGGCAACAAACCGGTCCAGTTCCACACCCTGCTGAGACAGCCTCGACAGAACAGGCCCAGCATACACACCTGAACACCTGGCAGCATTTCCTGAAGCATTTGGAAAGATATTACATTCAAATAACTAAATTTTGACAACAATCTGTGTTGTTAAAATAGGTTTTTCAAATCTTACGATAAAAGGAAAACATGTTACCTTTTCTGGTGATCCACGGCCAACTGATGCAACGCAGGATGTCCACAGCTGATCCTCAACAGAAAACTATAAGTTAAGAGCATTTAAGGGTCAGAAATAAAAAGGGTACCATCCATTTGGTTACGGCCCCAGTCCACCCAGTAACCACCGGATCAATAAGCAGAAGTATGAAGTCATGCTGGGTTGTGTGATTCGTTTCCACTTTCAGTGCGTTCTGTTGCTCTTGACCGAACCAAACTACAGTGCCCAGCTTGTCCGTGTGCAAAACATGCTGACTTGCTGTTTTTTTTTTTTGGGGGGGGGGGGGGGGGGGGGGATTATTGTGAGGTCTGTTTAGCTGAGCTTAACAAGACTGGGAGGTGTGTCAGCCATAGATGCGTCTTCTATTGATGATTGATGAAGATAATTAACACTTGATTTGCTAAATATTTAGAGACAATTAAATTAAAAAAAAGATGACATCACACATTCTCTTCAGATCTTTTATTAAAAACAACAATGTAAAACTGACTGTACATTAAGTCACCGTGGCTGCATTAACATGTGAACCGTGTTCTTTTAAACACTTTTGCATTTTTACTGAACCATAGCTCCATCGCCCTGTGCCGCCTTCACCCACTCAATCACCATGTTCCTTATTTCCTCCTGAACCTCCTCAAGGTGGCGAGCCTGTGGCGTCCATCTCAGGAAAAACCCTGGGGATCAAATCAAAGATCAGTCTTGTAATTTTAGGGATGCTCGACATCAGCTTTTTACTGATATCTGATACACCGATACAATCTAACCCTTCATTTCTGGTATGTGAACCAATTCAAGTTTATTTATATAGCGCCAAAAAATCACAACAAGAGTCGTCTCAAGGCTCTTCACATAGTAAACATTCAAATACAGGTCAGTTCATTAAGCCAATCAGTAAAAAGTCTCCTATATAAGGAACCCAGCAGGTTGCATCGAGTCACTGACTAGTGTCAGAGTCTTTACATCAATCCTCATACTAAGCAAGCATGCAGCGACAGTGGAGAGGAAAACTCCCTTTTAACAGGAAGAAACCTCCAGAGGATCCTGGCTCAGTATAAGCAGCCATCCACCACGACTCACTGGGGATCGAGAAGACAGAGCAGACACACACACACACACACACACACGCACGCACGCATGCACGCACGCACGCACGCACACACACACACACACACACACACACACACATACCAAGTAATGTTTCTATGGTTACATTGTGATTTCTTAGTAAATATTCTATTTAGTGAGAGATAAACGTCACTGTATTTATCCTAGTGAATCCATAATTAAACAGGTAAACTAGTAGTAGCACACAGTACCACAGGTTCCCCATCTCATAAGTAAAAAGATCAACTAAATAATTGTAGGTAACCAACATCACATATCTCCTCTCATGCAGATTTAAACTTTCATGTATAATATGTATTGGTATGTAAACGTTTGGCCATTAAACTAGTAAAAGCAGGTATTGATCATTTCCGATATTACATATTAATGCCAGTATCGGACAATAATATCGCCCGTCCCTAATCAGTCTACCATGGAAGCTCACCTCTCCAGAGCTGCAGGGACTGAGGGTGAACTGAGGGCCAGATGGCCAGCTCGGTGGGCTCGTACAAAGGGTTTGAGTAGTAGTTTCTCTCTGTTGGCCTGAGCAGGACCCGGAACAAACAGTGAGTTCCCTTCTTAACTCCCAGAGAACACCTGAAAGAGATATAAAACACCCTTCTGAGTTTGGGATTTCAGACTTTGTTCAGTCAAAACTGTGACGACTGAGGCCTGACCGTTCCTGGTCGTTGTTACACAGAAAGGTGCCGCAGTCGGATGAGTAGACTTCAGTGGCTAGTCGAAGGAGCAGAGCCTCAGAGAAGCCAAGCGCACAGGGGAACTGGCGCCACAGCTGCCAAACGCAGTCCAGCAGGAGCAGGAAGACCGGAGACTCCTGATGGAGACGAGCGTGGGAGAAGGCTGAGTGGGCACATCGCTGCTGGAACGGGTGTCCTGCCTGCAGAGAAGCTCGCTTGTTAAAATAAAGAACGACTAACCGTTATTGTTGTTGCGCATTTTTATGAGCCAAAATGTCGAGGCACTTCCTGTTAGGCAACATTCCTTTGACGAGATGTTTGCTCAAACACATTTTATCTGAGTTTGTCATCAGAGGAAAGTGTTGCTGCAGCGCTCCGAGGTTCGCTGCAGCTGCACAAAAAAGTTAAACAAAAAATAAACAAACGACTGATCGAGTTTAGGGACTTTTTGAAGACCTGAAATGATTATGAGAATTTTGCAAAAAAAAAAAAAAAGAAGGTGAAAAAGTCACACCTATGCTGCTGAATTTAGACTTATAGAGAATTTCTATTATGAACTTTTTTCCTCACCAAAAACGACGAGAATATCGGAAAGAGGACTTTGCTAAGAACACATTTTTCATTCAAAAGAATTTCCTAAATCATGCAGCTCTTTCAGGTGATGGTTCCCAACATGGAAGGGTGCTGAAGTATTTTACCTTGAACAAAAATAATAAAACTAAATGATAATCAGAGGTTTAAGTAAAAGTTTTATAACATCTATTGTTGTTTTATCTCTTAGAGATCATTCTTGAATGCTTGAAAGCAGCCCTGTTCCTGGATAGGTGACCAGACCTCATAAATAATAATAAAAAATCACTTTTTTCTAGAATTCTCTAGACAAATTTCATTTTTTTATCAGCCATTTTAAATTAGTTTAGTCAACCAGTCTAAGGCACACCTGTACATTATTCATGGCGTCTAATCAGCCCCTTGATATGCCATACCTGTGAGGAGGGATGGACTATCTTGGTGAAGAAACTGTGCTCACTAACACACATGTAGACGGATTTCAGAACAATATTTGAGAGTCATGGGTGTTTTGTGCATGTAGAAAAAGTTTCTGATGTTTGAGTTCAGCTCATGAAAAATGGGAGCAAAAACAAAAGTGTTGTGTTTATGTATTTGTTCAGTCTATAAAACAGTAATAAAGGAATTAAAACAAACTCTGGCCACTTCCTCCACCAGGGGGCCGTATACATGTATAACATGATCTGGAGGTTTGGATGAAGGTACTAATACTGATACTCCACCTGGAGTCCTTACGTGTTTTGATGCCAATTTGCAGCAATATTCGAAAAATAAACAAAGACAACACTGCTTAGCTAACCTGCCGGTTCTGTTTACACACGTTTACACAAGTTTAGACCTTTGGTGAAAGATCCTTAAAACAAAAATTTTGTTTGATCCCATTACATCTCTTGACATTGTACCATAAAATTAGAATTATCACTACATTGTTATTTTTAGAGCTTGAGAAAATAATTGTTTACACCTAAAAGGCCAAAATAGTTACCCCGAGGTCGAAAGTTCAAGCCTAGATGGTAACCTAGGACAAGTCCAACTCTCACCTGCACCCACTCCCTCTCCAGCAGACGCAGGAATCCCTCTAGTGTGCGGCAGCTTGGATCCATGATGAGTTGGGCCAAAGTGCTGATAAGCAAAGAACAGTCTGTCCCTTCATAGCCGTGAACGAGAGCTGAGTGACCGTCCCTCGAAGAAAACACAAACACAGTCACAATAAAGAAAATAGCACATTCTCTGGTTTTAAATTAATATAAGCTGATAAATCTCACACACAGCCTACAGCTGTGTGTTTGTTTTAATCCGGTTGTTTGTCTCACCTCTCCACACACTCCGCCAGCAGGCCAGCGGTCGACAGGGCAGTCTGGACGTGAGACAGCCACTTTGAATTCTCGAGCTTACTGAGCCAGCGATCCATGTTGTGGGACTCATCCCCACAGGCCTCCACAAGTTTGATCAGACTCTCCTGGAGCACTTTGCCCCTGCAAAAATAGAAGCAAGTGTGAGGGGTTATCTCAAGAGGAAATATCGTGCTATGGTGCGGTATGGGGGCCAAAATTAAGACTACTTCCCAGCAGCAGGAGGCTATATAAATTCGGAAGCAAACTACCGACCTGATTAATGATAAGCTGGCACCGGTAACTGAGAGGCTGGCGCTGCTCACTGAGGAATAGCACCTTTACCGGCGTTACTACTAGATATGCTAGGGACTAGCAGCCCTCGGCTGGTCATTGACTGGTTCAAACACTCCCTCTGCTGTCTATTAGCATGGATAGGCTAGCGTTAGCCTGGACGGGTTGGTGTTAGCGTTGGAGAGGCTAGCCATTAGCATACCTAGGCTGGCCACTAGCTGGATTTCCTACCCCCTTGACGGACCTTAAGCATGGATAGGCTGGCATTAGCATCGGAGAGGCTAGCCATTAGCATGTCTTGGAGAGTCACTAGTCAGCTAGTGGCCATCCTAGACATGCTAATGGCTAGCCTCTCCGATGCTAATGCCAGCCTTTCCATGCTAATGGTCCGTCAAGGGGGTAGGAAATCCAGCTAGTGGCCAGCCTAGGCACACTAATGGCTAGCCTCTCCGATGCTAACGCCAGCCTATCCATGCTAATGGTCCGTCAAGGGGGTAGGAAATCCAGTTAGTGGCCAGCTTAGACATGCTAATGGCTAGCCTCTCCAATGCTAACACCAGCCCGTCCAGGCTAACGCTAGCCTATCCATGCTAATAGACAGCAGAGGGAGTGTGTGAACCAGTCAATGACCAGCCGAGGGCTGCTGTCCCTAGCGTATCTAGTAGTAACGCCGGTAAAGGTGCTACTTCTCAGTAAGCAGCACCAGCTTATCATTAATCAGGTCGGTAGTTTGCTTCAGAATTTATATACCCTCCTGCTGCTGGGCAGTAGTCTTAATTTTGGCCCCCATACCGCGCCATAGTCCATCCCTAGATTCTTTTAAATAAACACACCTTTCCATCTGTTTGTGCAGTCTCTTCCAACCATTATAACATGATTTGGACTCAAACCCTCCCCCGGTCATCCGAGCCTGTTGGACCTGCTGACTGGAGCGGGTGTCAATGATATAACCTTTGTCTGACCCGTCAATCACAGCCTGGAGGAGGAGCTCATCTTCTTTGCAGCGTTTCCTGTTGGCACCTGTCAGCGGCTGACTGCTGCGCATGATCACCTGTCATGACACAACGAGGTTAGAAATAATCAGCTATGCAGCCATGGGACGGCCATGTCGAAGACACCTTACCATGCCGTTCTTTCTGTGGTAGTAGCACAAGACAGGGAAGCGCCCACCCTGTCTGAATTTAGCTGCTTTCTTCAGCGTGTCATCGTCGATGCTTTGTGGAACAATCACTGCCGGGGGATAGGATGGACACACGGAGTAGTCGTTGTTCACAGTGCTTAACCTCCACATTTCATGCTGCAAACACAGACAGGAAATAATAGAAGATCCTCTCAAGTTGTGTCAAGTACGATGCAGGCCAGCTGTTTGATGTAGCTGTCATGAAAGGAGGGGAGAGGAGTGGTTTTCCAGCAGGATGTGATGCAGTTTCTGTACCACACAGTTGTACAGCTGATCAGCATACTCATTGGCACTGCACTTAATGGATCCAGTTTGCAAAGGAAGGAGAAAAAATCCTGTGGTTTCTTGGCCAGTGATGCAATTTTGGTATTCAAAGAAAACTTCCCTGCAGGACTTCAAACTCCTGCATATTGATCCGGTGGTTAGAGCCCTGCACTGAAGCCCTAGGCCCTCGGGTCGGCACGAGGGCCGGGCTTTGGGCCAACAACTGTGCAATTACCTCGGACACGGGCCGGGCCGGGCGCCTTTATTTTTAATCGAATTCATTAAAAAAATTGAAACACTTAAACGCAGCAGTAGAGCCCTGCGCGGGACTGTTTTCTTCATCCCGCTCCTGCTGAATTTCTGACCATTACCGCCTGCAACCGCAACGTGTGCGTTACACTCCCGCCCGCACCTGCAGCGTACATGTCTACTCCCGCCCGCAACCGCAAAACTCTGAGAAATTATTACCTCACAATAAAAGAGATGTATTGAGTTTGCGTCCTCAACATGTCATTTTATAGGTTATCCGCTTTCACCGCAGCGCTGCGCTCCGTTTCAATCAGGCTGTACAGCAGGATTTCCCCTCGTAGCGATATTTTCTCTAACTCTGATTGCTTCATGCTATAGATCGTTGGAAGCTGCTTTTATGTACTTTTAGGAACCGTTGGAATTATTTGAATCTGATCAGCCATTCAAGTTATAAAACGGAGCATTTTGGATGACAAACTCGGCACGTCTCTGAATCAGTGTTGTGATTCGTTGCGCTCAAGACGGGGAATCCCGGTGGATACCGTAATGTATTGTATATGCACGGAAAGCCCCATTTTTAATCTTTTCAGCACTTTTGGAATTTTAATGATATCTTGAACTAGAGCAGGGATCGGCAACCCGCGGCTCTTCCATCCATCTGATGCGGCTCTCTGTGCTTGTAAAATAATGAATGGATATTCAAATAAAATATTTTATATTTTACTGAATTAATTTTATATCTGTAAGTCAATTCTATGTAAAGATTGTCTGCGTAAACTTGAACAGTTCCAACCCAGTCTTACTGTGAGACCGGGTTGGGTCACGCTTGTGCGTAATCATATCGGCGCTTTCTGAGCTGAAGAGGATGTGAGATTCTGGGCTTCTCCTCAGATGGCTCCTGGATGCGTCGCCACATTGGAGACAGGAACAAGTACTATTCAGCCAAAGTTTCATAATCAGGGAACATTTTCTAAGTGACAAGTCTCTCTGAGTGACAGGGTTTGGAAAACACTCGCTTCAGTGGGAGGAAGCTTCCCGCATGCGCTCTGGTTCTGCGACGCGCTCAGCTGCGCTGAGCAGTGTCCAGGTCAGATGTTCAGATGGGAATCTTTTCTTGGGTGATTTAGCTACATCTGCAATGTGCATAACGAATAAGAGGCATGCATGCGTCTGGGTAATTTTTTCTATTCTTTCTCCATCAAAATTAACGGTCAAATACAGGAACTATCCAGTCAACACAACACAAACCCTGCTCTTGACTGTTTTGTTTTCTTGTGAAAATTGTTGGAAAGAGGTAAAATTTAACTTGATTTACACCAGAGCCAGTGCGGTGCCAGTTATCTCCGTGACGGTAAACGAGGGAAAAACAAATTGATCGGATCCTGCACGTCTTTTAACACATTGGTCAGAATTGACGCACTTTGTTTTCATTTAGTTGTTTAAAAAAAAAGTCGGGCTCGGGCCGGGCCAGAGAATCCTGAAAACCTTTTCGGGCCGGGTCGGGCTGGGGCTCCACCCCCTCGGGCCGGGCCGGAAACGGGCTCAGATTTTAGGCCCGTGCAGGGCTCTACCGGTGGTTACTGGGTGGACTGGGAAGATCCACATCCAGGAGTTTGGTGCTGTTCAATCTTTCCACAGAGGCACAAGTAATGCTCAGTGGAAGATTCTGGATGTTCGTCTCAAATCAACAAGCCTCCTTCACATTCCCAAGATTGAGATTGAGAATTGAGACTGCTGCTGCTCTATGTGGACAGTTTGCAAACCTCATCTCTGTGGTTTGACGTGTCATTGTCGATAAGATCCAAGACTTAACAGTCTGCACCTGGCAAAATTTCCTGAAGTTCTTCAAACATCTTTGTTTACAAACCAGGCTTGTTTCTGTTACACCGCCATGAGCACATAACGACTAGTTTGGATAGTAAAGTCATTTAACAGCTGTCCTGTGCTCCCTAGCTTCTGATCTACCAAACAGCCAATCAGAGCACAGAATGAGCTCTCAAACACACAGTGACTTAAAACAAAGCATTTAAGGCCATCCTATAGAAAATAATGACCTCTGAACACTAAGGCACGTTAAATTTGACAACTGTAAGCCTGAAATATAATTTTGCAAACTAAATCACTCTTTGTAGAGTTTTGTGGAGAACAAGTAAATGTCACAGTTTGCAATTTGCAGAAGTAATTAATAATTAAACTCCAAACTTCCCAAATTGATCCTCATCCCTAATCTTTCATGCGGTATGGGCTGGAGGTGTGACACAAAAACAAGGATGCACCCAGGCAGAAGAAGCTGAGGGTCACATCTGTGGTCGGCTCAAAACCAGACTCTAAAGAATGTGGCTGAGCAGAGAACGCTAAAAAAAAATGATTGTCCATTCGAGACGACACCAGGCACCAACTTCACACCATGATCAACAACCAAAGAAGGCTAGTCAGTGACACGCTGCTTCTGCCAAAGTCAAGGACCTACAGGAACTCCTCCATCCTACACGCAATCATGCTACTATAGTTACTGTTAGATATGTGTGGCTGCTGCTCCTGCTGGAAAACACAATTTCTCAGAGGGCCTTTCCAGAGGGATCAGTAAAGTTAATCTGAGACTGAAATCCCCGTTTAGTAACAAAAACAGGCAAAGCAGAAATATGTAGCCATGCAAACTCCATCAGACTTTCCCCGAAGCTCAAGACAAGAACGTTCGCCCCGCCTTTTTAAGACTATAAAACAATGCCCTCTGTAGGACCCAACCCCTCACCATAGCAACCCCTATCCCCAGAAGATATGAATTCAAGCTGTGCAGCACATTCTGATGTTAAGGAAAAACAAATGAAAGCTAAGCAACCGGGATATCCTGGTTAGTGACCTCTAAAGTCAACCGCCCTGCCATTTTCCTGTCATAGGATGGCTGGATTGTCATATGGAGTGTTGAATGTATACGTCTATTCAAAAAGCCCATCCCTGTATGTTAGAAATATGAAAAGTGTTGCTTACAAGCTCCGTCTTTTGCCTGTAGTGTTCTTCGGGTGAGGAAAGGTCCCACTGGTCCTGCAGGCTGAGGTCAATAGGTCTGTAGAAGAAAGGATACATCTCCGACACGTTGTCCAGACTGGACAGGGTCTACGGAAAGTCACGAAGAGAGGTAGTTAGTTGGCAGTTGGCACAAAGTTGGAGCATTTTTAAACATATTGCTTAAAATTCTCTAAACATGCCGATGCCACTCAATAAATTCAATGTTTGTCGACAAAAGGAATGATTTTATTTGCCTTTCAAATGTACTGTCCTGTGAAAATCTCATCCAGTCATTGTGAACATCCCATTTTCTTTATGACTGGAACATAATCCATCCAACAAACTGCCCTCTGACCATCTCTACCCCTCTGCACACACCCCTTTTAGAAACAAATCACACATTTGTAGCTTGGAGCAGCTGAACCAGAGCCAGCTGGTGTAACGGACTGAATGTTTGTCGTTTGTAAAGGGAAACGTTAAGGTGACGGACCTGTTGTCTGTGAACACAGCCTGTCCATGTTCAGCTGTCAGAGCTGTCAGTGTGTCATTGGGCGTGTGTATGAGTGTGTGTGTCGGGGGGGGGGGGGGGGGGGCATCTGAGAGGAGAGCACATCTGAGGAGGTTCAAGTTGGGTTCTGAATGTTTTGAGCTGTTGTGGGGTCTTCCCACACCGTTGGTGGCACAGAGCTGCTGTGTTTATGAAGAATTAACCAAGAAACATAAAAATGTCACACACTATGCTACCTAATAAATGTCACATGATCATGCACATCACATTAGAAATTATGGTGAGAAAACCTAACAACAATGGGTTGAAACCAATTCTGGATCCTCGAGAATAAGTATTTTGCATCCCTGTGTTTTGGAGGTGTGGCTTAAGGGGGAAAGCCTGAAGAAAGGGGCTTGAACCTTTGAACTAATCCAAAAGTTGCTTGATCAGCGAGATGAACACCACCCATTATACCTCAATGGAGTGTGCAATGTTGAGGCACTGCTCCATGCCTGGGATGTCAAGCTGAAGCACGCGCAGATCTTTGCACTTGATGGTAATGGTCCCCGAGGAGGCTGCTATCCTGCACAAAAACAAAACAGTACTTTGGATTTTCAGAGAAAATTACATCCTTGTTTTTGGACAATGCTTTAGCAGTGCAGGAGACTCAACTTGTCAAAGAGGAAGGCAAACGTAGCCAGCAGTCTGTGGAAGGGGACGTTCTTATCCCCACAAACTGCATGTGCAACAACTGCTTTCTCTTTTGTCACTGGCAGGCATAGAGGAGTCTGAGCAGGGCTTTCACATGACGGAAAGCAGCAGCAAGCAATGCAAAAGCTTGTGTTATGGGAGAAAAAGTTTCTGCAATCATTTTAGCAAACATCCTTCTTCAGCACTGTGGGCAGCAGCAGCAAACAGCAACACCAACAATGTCCTAACCTTTCACTCTGGCCTGCTTTAGAGAGGAAGCCGGAATAGCCCAAAAGGTTTTCCACACTGGTTCAAAAAGATTTCAGGGATTAAATTACACATAGAGTCACAGATTGGGTTTCATTTGTTTTGGGAAATGTTAAATCATTTCATAGCAAAAAGCTGATTTAAAGTTGTGGAAATCTGAAGTTTAATGAGAAATTAAAATGATGACTTTCTGTCCTCCTCTCCTTCCTCACCTCTTCTCAATGGCATCAATGTTCCTGAGCAGCAAGAGCACGTGCCTGGAGCTGCCCACCTCCCTGTCCGAAAACAGCAGGTGGTGTCCGGTGATGCAGAGGGTCCCTCTGCTCGGTGGGTGCAGCGGCTGCCGGAGCTCAACATCCTCCACGTTGGCTGTCTTGATGTGCTCAGAAAACTCCATCAGCGCCTGCTTTCGTGACTTTTAATTTTAAACCTTGTCACCAAAAATCCCCTCCTCGCCTTTTGATTGGGAAAATGAAAGTAAGCTTCCTCTTACGCGCCCCGAGCTGGTTGGGCAGCGCTCTGTTTGCTTCACCACGATAAGGAGCCTATAAATAGATTTACGCTTCATGTTTCTCTGATCATCGCAGAAAGTTTCTGAGTTTCAGCAGCAGCAGCCAGCTGAACACCAGGCAGCTGTGGAAGTGGAAAAATGATCTGGCTGAGGTGACAAAAGACGGAAGTGCGCGTTTCCTCTGAGAGTCAAGAGGTCTGATCTCATTTTAACGGCAAAATTTGTTCAGCGGACAGGCAGCAGCGTGTGTGCAACATATTTAATCACCGCTAGGTGGCGGCATGAGCACGTGGTCAAAACAGCTGTGCGGTCCATCCTAGAAATAACCAACTTTTTTATGAAGCGTAATTTTATGTCACACATTTAAACACAATTTAAAATGTTTATGCAAATAAAATTGTAACGTCCTCTATTGGTGGATAAGGAGAAGGACGGAGAGTAACACAGAGGCGTGTGCTTCAGGTGTTAAAATTGTAAACAATGATTTTATTAAAAGGATTTTAAAATGACAAAAAGCTCCAAATCTAAAAGTACGTAAAACAGTGTTAAAAAGGCCATGGTTTTATGTTTAAAACAGACATCCGAATGCTCCCAAGCATTCACACACAAAGTCCACACAAGTTTGGGAGCCAAGAGGAAACCAGCACTCTGGTCCGATCTGTTAAAAACCTCTAAAAGTTGTTAAGCTTCACCAAGCTTAAAACAACTAAAACCTATTTAAACGCCATTAAAACAAAAACAATTGGAGCACATGAGAGAATTGGCGCATTTTTTCTTTCATATTTTTTCATTAAACTGAGGCTTTTCTATGAAATCGATTATTGATCATAACTTTTCCTCAGAACCCCACTTCAAAAACAGTGAACTATTTAACATAGAAAAAAAACATTATGTGCAGCATTCTAGGCATTCTCTCTCTCTCTCTCTCTCTCTCTCTCTCTCTCTCTCTCTCTCTCTCTCTCTCTCTCTCTCTCTCTCTCTCTCTCTCTCTCTCTCTCTCTCTCTCTCTCTCTCTCTCTCTCTCTCTCTCTCTCTCTCTTAAATCATCCACCCCTCCCATCCTCCGCGGGATGGGCGGCCACTCCACTTCTCCCTGTTAAGACGGCTTCATGGACCTGTTGCGCTGCAAAGAGCGGCTCCAACATGAACCGTGAAGCTTTTTCTCCTGTTGCGAAGAAGGATTTCCAGGAGTTTGGAGCTGACAGCTCGGAGGGAGACGCGGAGGACCTGGACAGCGTCAAAGCGCTGACGGAGAAGCTGAAGCTGCAGACGCGCAGACCGTCCTATCTGGAGTGGCAGGAGCGACTCCAGAGTCACCCGTGGACGGACAGGAACCCAGAGGACAGTCCCGACTCTGGAGGAGACGTCTTCTCCGTCCCTGCAGCTCTGAGAAGCGAGAACTCGGACCTGGCTGTGCGCAACATCTGCGGCTTTGATACCATTGATGATGCTCTGGAGTTTCTGAGGAAAGAGCTCGTGAGTTCCCCCTGGTCACGAATGCATTTATAATCTGTCACCGTCTAAACAAGAATGCATTTTATTTCAGTTTCATTCAGAAAGGATGGATGATCTGATTAATCCAGGATGACTCAGACTAGAGTTTGTGAAACATCTGATAACTGCTTCCTCCCAGTCTCAGCTTGCAGCTCACTCCGCCAGATATTTGATAAGAAGATGAGATAAAACCCTTCAGAGTTCCTTCCTACTAACGTTCTTCTTTCTTTCTTCTCTCTCAGAGGGAGATGCAAGTCCAGGACAACCGCCTGGCCCGTCAGCTGATCCGTCTGCGTGTGGAGATCCACCGGCTGAAGGTGGAGCAGGTGTGCCACCGCCACAAGGAGATGCTGGACGACGCCACCTACGAGCTGGAGGAGTGCGAAGAGGAGTCGGACCTGCTGTGTGACATCCCCATGAAGGCCGCCTTCGCCCTGTCCACTCCTCTGAAACACCTGGGCCTCACCAAGATGAACATCAACTCCAGACGTTTCTCACTGTGCTGAAACTGTTTCCTGGTTAGAAAACTAAAGCCTGTGCACACCGTTGGGACCGTCAGAGCTTCCTGCTGAATCTGAGTTTACTCCGAAAACCACGACTGATGTGGAACAGAATGCACATTATTCCAATTAACTTAGAAGTTGTGTGATCTGTTGATGCAATAACAACATTTTGATCGTGCCAAAGGGGCGCAGAGAGGAGTTGGAAAGGATGCAATGCACATTTTCAGATTTTACAAGCAGTTAGATGGGTTGTGACCCCAATTTGAAAGCAATCACGTGATAAGAGCTGCAAACAGGAAGGAAAAGTGCCTTTTTAAAGCAAAATATTCGCATTTCAAATTGTTTCCAAGCAGTTTTGTTTCTAGCAAGTTGCTTTGATGATGTCAAAGACTTCATACGTTGGGCCTTTTGGCATCAGATTTTTTTTAAGTTCATAGAATCTTTAAAATAAACAGAATTCCTTCATCCAGGAAGCACAAACAGTTTTTGCACCTCTCCTTAACAAACCACAAATATCTTTATGGCCTCAGCACGACAGTGAGCAGACACAGGAGGCTGTTTTGTTTCCCAGCGGCACGTCTAGATGCTGCAGAGCAGCAGTTACATAAGGCTGGAAAGTGACCAAATGCTTTCTGGAGCTTGGGGGACAATGACAGGCATAAGTAATTTGTTTTCAATTCAATTCAAATTCAAAAATACTTTATTAATCCCAGAGGGAAATTGATTGCTGTAGTAGCTCAGAATAATAATAATAATCAAGTCATCATAGAGTTGTTGTATATTACAATGGCTGTTGGCAGGAAGGATCTCCAGTAGCGGTCAGTGTTGCAGCAGAACTGAAGAAGCCTCTGACTGAAGACACTCTTCCGTTGTCGGACAGTCTTGTGAAGAGAATGCTCAGGGTTGTCCATCATTTTCTTGATTCTCTGGAGAATCCTTCTTTGCTTTATCTCCTCCAGCGGTTCCGAAACTGCCGAAACTCTGGCTGAGTCCTTGAAAGGGCTTGGAGTTCCTCCATCTTGTTGGCCAGTGATCTCACATTGCCCATTATGATCGATGGAAGAGATGGTTTGAATTTCCTCTTTCTCTGTCTCTGTTTTGCTCCCGCTCTGCACCCACGTTTCTTGCGTTTTAGCTCATTTGGGATTTGTGGCTTCAGTTGAGGTATTATTTCAGCCTTTCAGCTGCTCCCGATTGCAAATCAGCTTGTTGCCATGGTTATGCATCATAACAAATGCTCAAAAAGTGAAAAAAGCTAAAAAAAATAGCAGTAAAAATCCTCCAAGCTTCACAGCACCAAAAACAAAAAAGTAAAGTGTCCAAAAATATACAGTTTTTCTTGAGAAACTAGAAGAAAAAACATCCAAGAAAAGGCAAAACTTACATATAGTCAACAGAGCTACTCCAACATGCAGCCACCCAGAGCAGCACAGTTCCGGAAAAACCGTTCCTCCTGGAAATCCTTCTTTTATGGTTTAACAAGCAATACGATGAATATGTTTTACTTTCCATCAGATCTGAATGTTTTGTACAGTTTTAGATCACAAACACTGTAACACAAATGTATATTTGCATGCAATGATGAAAAATATATGTTGCACGTTAGACACAAGGATGAAATGACCCTTTCATCTCCGTGTTTGTTATAAAATGCACCTCATGAGGGTGCAGGAAGTTAAAAGTTTGCAAAACTCATTATTAAATGAACCGAAAGCACATTTTTGTTATTTCTTTATTATCTTTCTGTCCTGGAGGATCACATGCACAAAAGTGTCTTCTTTCCTTTTGCTGCACATCCGCAGCCAACAATCAAACATAAGGCTGCAGTCCCCGGAGGGACGTGCGGGACACACTTTGTAAAACAAGAAACCAAATATGTCTTGGCAGAGTGATCCTATGGAAAAAAAGAGGGCAAAACTAGGTCTGAGATCATAAAAGCTGCAGGACACGTGACCTCGTCAGATAAAAGACACATCAGGAAATAAAAGTTTCGCCTTCATGCTGCCCTGGGCTTGCTCAGTTTTGCCCCGAGGGTGGTTTTTCTTGACCTTTCGCCCCCCCGTATAACGTACCGAACATCCTCACGCTCAAAAGCCGAACCCATGGGTTCATCGTGCTTTTATAGCCGCTAAACCAAAAGCATCTGTCACAGCCAGGCGAAGGAGGCCAGCACCTGCGTCGCAAAGCAGGTTGTAGGAGGGCTGGAAAACTTTCCGCACGTCGATAGCATCTCAGTTTGATTGCGTAACAGAATGTGATTTCCAACCACATTTGGAAGCTGAGACAAATGTGGAACAGGAATGCCCTCAGAGCCTCACCAGGGCCTGCCAGTGGCTCATCCTCAAAGATGGCGGCGTGTTGTCAAAAGACAAAGGTTTCTGCTGCTGATAAGCAGCTTCTCCTGTTTGAATCCTATTTACGTCTGTGCAACGTGTGAAAAAGGGAAACAACCTCGCACATCCTCCAGAATTTTACTCTAACGGAAAAAAGGACTGAGTTCAGGTGTTTTTCATCGCTCTCGTAAGACATAATCTATGCTGTGGCAGGCTTCTGAGCGCGTACGGTGCACTGTCTGTGATGCTTGGACTGACTTCCTGCCAGTGCAAGCGCTATAGCAGCATCCGTTCACCACAAGAGAAGAAAAGCGGCCCACAGCTCAAGATGTCTGAAGCATGAAGCACGAGCTGACAATCTGAGAATCCTCCAGAATTCAACTGTAACGCACAAGAAATGCAGATTTCCATGACCATAATCGACACTTCTGCGTCTCTAAGGATATTTGTGCTTCATTTTTGTAAGTGGGGAAAAATCGGGGACGAAGTCTCTTTTTGAACGACATCCCGGTGAGGAACAGACACAAACCACAGGCCTGGGCCTTGTAGTTGTGTTTTCATGAAGCTGAACTACGAGTTTAAAGCCACAAAACAGGAAGTGCAGCTGCTACATATAGCCATTACAGCCTCAGATGTGGCGTCCATCTAAAATCCTCTTTAAAAACAAAAATACCACTTCTTATTTTAGTCCTGGGTGACTTCAGATTCAGACTGACACCAGATGATCCGACAGAGATCATCGACTCCCACTTTCTCTGGTTGAAACCAGGATAAAAATACACAAGTGTGACCTCAGCGCTGCCTTCCTGAACCCCTCTGTTTGTGGGTAAAGTATTGGAACATGTTTAGTCCCGACTCCTTTGTCTTGGAGACTCTAACGTTCCCCTTCGTTCACACACAGCTGCACACTGAAGCACCTGTTAAAGCCTGCAGAGCAACCCTCAAACATTTCAACGACAGGAAACACTCTGGGTCGCTCCTCCACTGTGAACCGCTGTGTGTGTGTGTGTGTGTGTGTGTGTGTGTGTGTGTTTGTGTGTGTATGACACCACATCAGCACTACTTACTCACTCAGTTATAATAAGAGAGGTGGCAGATGACATCTTCATACCAAGGTGCTCATGGTGCGAAAACTCAGTCCTTGGCAAAACGCTCTAAATGTCTGACAACAAAAATCTTGATGCGGCGCCTGAAATCTGACTCAACCGGACACCTAAGGAGAGATATTTCACTTTTCAGGAGGTGAGTTTGAATCTTTCTGATGGTTTTAGCTCTAAAAGACAAACTTTGAAACATTAAAAGGTGGAAAATTAGAGCAGCTATGGACATTTTTTTTACTTCTCACATCTTAGGAAACGCAGTACATTGAATTATTTCCTTTTAAATGTCATTTTATGGATATTTATTTTGTTTCTCTGTATTGAAATTTTAAAAATCTGGCTCTGTATTTACTTATTTAATTTAAATAAATTGACATTAAACGGAAGTTACTGTCAAATGTGGGTATTTTTTATTTAATTTGTCTTCCAAACCAACTGGCCTGTGCTATTTTAGGAGTAAAAACAAAAATTTTACCTATAAAATGATTTATGGTCATTTCATAAGAAAAATTAAAAAAAAACTTATAGATAAAGCTGCATTCCAGTTTCTCAAATAAGGGATTTTTTGTATCATTTCACAAACATTTACAAACATAAACAGTCAGCTGTTTATTTGGAATGGCCTCCAGCTGGTGATAATAAAAAGTAGAGGATAGCCACTGAATGACTCTTTGAGAGTGGGCTAGTAAGCGTAGGAGAGCTGATATTTCTTCATAATCTGGTGATCCCCTTGTGATTCAGCCATGGAGTCCCCTTTGTAGCTCTGCTGGGTTGAAGGGTCCGACTTTGTCAGAATTCTCACGACTTCCAGCCTCTGGGACGAGACGGCGGCTGAGATTAGCCCACTGACCCTTTTCCAGAGAGTGGCCCAATAGGAGTCGAGTGAGCTTGAGAAAGTCGATTCGTTGGTGTCACATGCCCGACGTAGCACATGCAGACGACAGATTACACAAGATTAACATTTCTGAGTTTCTAAAGCTTGAAGGACAGAACTTAACCCTTCTGGAGGCAGGTGTTGCAGGTTTGCAACGTTAAAACCTACCTGGTTACTCCCCGTACGTATTTCATGAGCATTTTTTAACTCAGAAGTACACCTGAAGGACTTAGTTGCTCATTGTTTTATCAAAACTTAATTTGAGCCTGAGAGGGTTAAAACCTGCACTGTAAAATTTTGTCTGCTTGGATTTTATTGTGTGTGATTAAATATCACCAAAGTGTGTCTAGACTGAAAAAAAAAATCACATTTCTGATTCTGGTCCTCCATTTTGTGTCAAGACCTTCAAACGTTTAGAAAAAACCTTCTTCCGCCTGTCGTCGTCTCAACCTTCAGATTCAGCGGTGAACCGGGCTGAAGTGTGCTTTAAGTCAATCTAAAAGCAGCAGAAAACTAACTTGGGCTTTGAAACTGCAGGAAAAATGGGATGCGCCTGCAGTTCGGACTCAGACAGCGACTGGATCGAGAACTTGGATGAAATCTGCGAACACTGCAACTGTCCAATTCCACCACAGTCGTGCAATCCAGTAAGTGCATCCTTTAGATGTGCAGTTTAGGGGTGTGACATGCATCCGTTCTATATGCATACCGAGTTTCTACACAGAAGTGTCACTGCACTTTGGCCAGCAGCACAAGCATCCTTCCCAAGACACATTTGAAGTCCAGTAATGTCACAGCAAAGCGACGAGGCAGTCCAGACTCGAAGGACCCTCCAAAACCGTCCTCAAAGGCGTCCTTGTTATCCCAACTTCACAGGCAGGTTTGGTGTATCCTCATTGGCGAAGGCTATTTCAGAACAGGGCCGAACAGGAGATTTGTGCCCTTGTAACAGTGGAGAACAAATTAAACGCTTTTCACCTTTTTTTCCACACATTTATACTCTTTTGTCAAAATGCTCATTAACAAACTTGTGTAGCGGGTCCTGTAGTTCTTCATGACCGTCCAAATTCACAGAACCACAGCCGCTCACTTCTGGCCTTAGCAGTCGAGGAAGGACCCAACCTACGTGCAAAGGGTCCTTCCTTGTAAGGGCCCAACGTATTCAGTCGACATGGGCCGGTGTCAGTACCTGACACCCTGTTCTTCATCAGCCAGGAAGACCCGAAGTGAGCAGCTGTGTAATTGGACGGTCTAGCCATCAGAGTTAATCTCGTCCTTAACTCAGCAAACGTCCTGTTGCCTAGCAACCTTGATGACGCTAAACAGCAACAGGTGTGAACACTAAGGATTGGCTCCCAGGATTCATTTTACATGACGTAACAAACACCATGAAGCGCAATCAACTGCTTTTGTTATCCAGGTTGTTTGTTCCTTCACTGTGACTTAGATGTCCCATTAGATTAGAAATTAAGGAGAAAACCACCTGTGTGTGCGTGCGTGTGTGTGTGTGTGTAACATGCTGTGACTTTTGGCTGGAAGGAAAACCCAAGCAGCCCACAGTTTACCGTCAGAGCCCCGCTGTTTTTCTTGCAATGTTCTCTACAAACGCTGGATGTGAGGCGCAGGCCTAATCTTGTTTCCCTGTCCTCCCAGTACACAGACCAGTTCATCCCATACCAATCACAGCACTCACCCCCGACATCACCTCTACCAGGTAAATCCTCCTTGTCTGTCTGCAAAATTAAATCAATAACGCATCATATTCCTTTGTTTCCTTTCTTGCCCCAGAGGGTCGAACATTCGATACCTTTCATCAGAATCTGGGATATTTTACATCAGCTCATGAAAGATTGACATTTTTTGTTGGATTACTGAACGTGTAATCTGATCGTGTTTACGGTTTTATGCCATTTCGTGTTAAAACCTGCAAACGTCTGTCACGTTTTCCATTTCAACTCTCCAATAAGAGCTGTGTTTCTCATTGGTCCAATAATGTCCAGCTTATCAATGTTTGATGCCTTAAACAAAACTGTTTAGCAAAAAGTGATCATCGCTGAGAAGACAAAGCCATATGTGACATATGAACAGTACCGTGGATCCACTTCAAAACCAGCAGGCAAAAATCACCAAAACACACAGAAATCTTTCGTTAGATCAACTGGAATGTTTCTTTTAAGTAAGAACACTGTGGTCATTATCGCACGGTCATCAGTATAAATACCAACCTGCTGGGGTCCAACTGGTCAGCTCCAGCCAGGGGTCTACATCCTGCACCAATAAAAAAAACTCTTTTACACATTTTTCAAGGATATGTAAATAAAAAACACACAAAATTTTCCCATTTTCTCATTTTCCCTTTTGTGTTGATTTAAATCACTTTGAATTCCAGCATAAGGAGATTATAGATATAAAATATGGTTCTATGTGGAAATTAAAATTTTCTTGCTGAAACTTTTCAGTTATTCCAAAAATGAGTTGCCTAGAAATGAACAAACATGATCTTAATGCATTAAACACAAAGGAGGTGGTTATTTATGACGTCAGTCAGAGTTCTTAAAGTTCCTGACCCTTAATAAGAATTATAAACATTTTTAGGAATATTTTTGTTACCATTAGGAATTTAGTGCATGACTTCCTTTTGCGTTTGACTCAAATGTGTTAAAAAATGTTAAATGTCGACCCTGTGACCAGATCACAAAGAGTGCTCGTAAAGCAGCAGCTGAAAGTCACAAGGAGCCACTTTAAGGGGCCTACGAGTCATCTGGATTCAAATGTTTTCTTTCAGACAACATCGCGGTGGCCGTGTACAGCTACGAACCACAACATGAAGAAGACCTGGGCTTCGAAAAAGGAGACAAGCTGAAAATCATCCACAAGTAAGCTTTTCACCTCAGGAAAACTGAAAACAGGTTCTTATTTCAAGCATAAATCTGACTGTAGCGCATGTTTCTGAAGATAACACGCCTCAGATTTAAAAATGTTGATTCTCTGTTGGGACTTGATGGCAAAAGTTCTGATTAAAATCGATTTACTTAAAATATTTCCGGTAAATCTTTTGATAAAGGATGCAGCAAAGACGTGACTTTACACAGTTTCCTGCATCCATGACGGCATTTTACAGAAAATTGAAAATGATTGACATTTATAGAGAACAGAAAGTTAGAAATCAGTGATGCTACAACACACAATGTATAAATGCTGCATTTTTATTTCAAAGTACAATCTTAGTTCTGCTCAAACTCATTAAATAGAAACTTGTACAAGTTTTGTTTTAGTTACATCATTTTAAACTGAAAAAGCACATTATTTTTCAAATTAGCATAAATGAAATGACAGAAGCGTTGAAATAAATTTATAAATATACTGTAAGTTTTGGACAAAACCATTATCCATCTGTCTTTTGCATAATCTCTGCCATTTTTGTAGTTTTTACAATGCAAAGGATGATTTAAAGCTAAATGAGAATAAAAGTCCAAGTTGGCACAAGCAGAAATATCCTTTTTCATTTATCTTAAAATGATTAAGTTGTTCTTGCCTTTTGAGCTGTTCTGATATTTGTGCATGCAGAAACTGTAATTTGGGCTTTCAGCTCGTTCTGGTATGTTTGGGAACGTGTTTCTGCTGCCTTTTGTTGCTGATGTTTATTAAAAAAACACAAAAGGAATTTGTGGAGTTTGTGGATGCTCAATTTACAAATCATACATTTTCAGGGTTATTAAGATAAGAAAATGTTGCTATAAAACCAAGTTTAACAGAAATCTTTAGAATCAAATAAGCATTTCAGTATTTAACGAATGTTTTAAAGTTTGCATGAGAACAATCTGCACGACGACAAAAACACAAATTAAACTTACTTCAAGGACAACTTTTCCTTTTCTTGAGTTTCAAAGTTTTGCATAATGTGGTGAAGATTCAAAGTAAAATTTCCCTGAACCGAAGGCGCTTTTCGGCTAACTCGGTATGATGTCGTTCATTTCATGCATTTAAACTGCAAAGCATTGTGGGGGAGGTAACTAAAATCTTAAATTACTTTGAGCGATCATTAAAAAAATCAGACTAAATGTTTCTGCCGCCTTCCAGGGATGACCCGGAGTGGTACATGGCCGAGTCCCTTACCACCGGCCAGCGAGGGTACATCCCATACAACTTCATCGCCATGACCACGATGGAGACTGAACCGTACGTCACACAGGAAGCATAATGTCACGGCTCTGAACCCCACCTCCGCTTGAGTGCTGTGTCCCTGAGGGAAGGGAAGTGGTTAGCTCTGCGTTTGTGAGGCTCATTGTGTGTTTGTGCTGCAGGTGGTTCTTCACCAACATTTCAAGAAACGACGCCATGAGGTACCTCCTCGCTCCAGGGAATACGCAGGGCTCTTTCCTGATTCGAGAGAGCGAGACGTCCAAAGGTGGCTACGAAAAATCTAACTTGGAATTCAACTCATGCCTCACTGGGCTACAACCTAACTTATCTCATAAGAACAGGAGAATCCTGCTGGAAACCCCCTCCTGCTCATGTAATGACATTTCATTCATGGCTGCCAACAAACAAACAAACAAACAAACGGGGCATGTTTTTACTACAATCTACTAACCCCAAAACCAGCGAACTGGCCACTTTACTAAAAGGTGCTTCCTTTTCACACAATCTGAAAAAAAGTACAGCTACTGGCAAATTTTAATTTCTAATTTCTAGTCATTTCAACATAAACGCAGCATTCTGCGTCACTTCAGTAAAACTAAATCATGAATGGACTGCGAAAAAACTGGGGTGGGGGGGGGGGGCATGTCACCCTGGGCTGCTGGTTAGAAACATAAGAAAATACTGATCATCTGAAACATCTGTGTTATGATACTGAATCGCCATTTTATTGAGAATCTAAAATTGTCACAGACTGAACTCTGAAGACATGTGAAGACGCCAATCACAGTAAAAAATGGATTAAAAAGTCTTTATTTTTAGCAGAGTTACCAGAGTAGGGCGAGGCTGAGGCAGGGTCAGAGACAGGCAAGGTCCAAATGGCAGGCAGCGAGCAAGGCAGGGGTCAGGAGAAGAAACAAGGTCCGGAGGCAGAAAGCAGGCAGGAAGAATGGCTGGAAGATCTACTAGTAAACACGTTCAATAATCTGGCCCCGGTTGGAGAGCAGGCTGGGAGTTATATAGCAGGAGGAGCAGGTGTGTGTGATGAGCTGATGAGGAGCTAATGAGAGACAGGTGGTTTGGATGATGTTGATGGTGAGTTGACTGTAGTTGCTGGGGAAACAGCTTGGCTGGAGCTTGATGAGGGGACCAGGTGTGATGCATGGTTGAATGAGGAAGTGGAGGAGGGTGAAGGACGGGAGTCATGACAAAAATGCAAACATTTAGTGTATTTCTCGTGTGTGGTGCAATTAAAACTCCGACTGCTAGGGGGCAGCGGTTTTTCCCGCCTTGCTTCTAATGGAACTACGAGATCTCTTGGTGTCACTGGATGTGTCTTAAAAGAGTCTGACTTGAGTTTTCCAAATCAATTTCAAAAAATGCAAATATTGTCTGGTTTTTAGAATCGCGATATATCGTATCATTTCCCATATATTGTGATATTTATCGCATCGCCAGATTCTTAACACACACTCCCACAGCTGGTATATCCATCTGAATTTATCGTTGCTGTTCCAGGGTCGTACTCTTTATCAGTCAGGGATTTGGACCAAACCACTGGAGAAGGGGTGAAGCACTACAGGATCCGTAACCTGGACAACGGTGGCTTTTACATCACAGCCAAGATATCCTTCAGCTCACTAAAGGAGCTCGTCCATCATTACTCACGTGCGTAAACACGTTCGGAACGTTGATCTAAACATTTCCGACTGTTATTGTTAATAAGCTGCTTCCTTTCTGTCGTCCAGGTGAAGCCGATGGCTTGTGCACGATCCTGGCGAAGCCGTGCCAGTCCAGGGCGCCTCAGAAACCCTGGTGGCAGGATGAGTGGGAGATTCCACGTGAGTCCCTGAAGCTGGAGCGCCGGCTTGGGGCCGGGCAGTTCGGAGAAGTCTGGATGGGTGAGCTGTTTTTCCGTTTGCGCAGTGATGCCCAGTCTGGCTGGAAGCAAGACGGCGTTCCTGCCAGGATCCTGGGACTTTTCTGCAGTGTGTGCAGAAGAGTTTCCTCTGTACAGTCCTAATTGTAGGCTTGAATCATGTGGTATTATCCCTGAAATGCAACATCGCTCCAACTGGAAATCTCACTTACTGATGGATCTGAGGACAACAAATCTGATTTTGCAGAGTAAAGTTAAACAAAAACGTTTAGATCCCAAGCAAATCCTTTGTGCCACAACCTCATTATTACTCAGTTGAAGGGGTAATTTTCCCTCTGTTTCCCAGCCTCCTTTCTCAGCACCATTTAACCTCAATAACAAACTCCTGGACAAAACCGTGGAACTTGACCTCATTTCACCGCCGCTGTCTGTTTGCTGTACTGTCTTATTCTGGGCTCTGGGTTTATCTTACAGACATAGTCACCACCGATGCAAATTAGCGTTAAAATGTTGACTCTGTAAAAGACAAATGAGGCAGAGGAGGTTTGCTCTCATATTGCAGCACTTCATGCATGATGGGAGGCGCTCTCGAGTGATTGAGAGGAAAGCTGGTTGTAGCTTCGGTTGAGATGATGTAAGTGAGCGTCAGTGTTCCAGAGATCCTGTTTGTGTCAGAGTCATGGGAAACCGAGTGGCTTTCAGCTGCATGTACCTCTGGTTTGGATCGAATACAATTCTGCACATTTTTGCTCAAAACAATCAAAGAAATACTGTAAAAAAACCAGAATGCATCAGAATAATTAATCTTTTTGGTGAGAATCTGTCTCCAGACGTGTTCACCCTTCAGTCAGATCTTTGCTAAACGTATGCTAAATCTGGTGCTGGTTTGTAAACGTTAGCATAAAACTGAACTCAAAAACTTCTGGGTTGCAGCGACTGTAAAATTGAAATCTGTGAATTTGTTTAGCAGTATAGGCTTCCTACACATCATGTTTCAAGTCATTTCCTGGAAAAAATGTAAATGACTTTACTTATTTAATGACACTTTACAAGATTTTTGTTGATGGAGTGAAGAACAATCAGACTTAACCTTTTTTAAAAAGTTTCACATTGGAAAGTGTTTCAGTACACATTTTAGTGGTGAGGTTTTGTTTATTTAGCTTACACCTGTTGGGCCTTGAGTGCACAACATATTGAGTATTAACTTCTCTGCAACATGCAGTGATGATTTTGTGCATTAATATTTTGGAGAGGACTTTAAATGCATTTAAATGTTATTGAAATGCATTTAAAATTATGTTAAAAACAATCCTTTAACACATGGGGATGTATGAACTCTTAACTTAAGACAGGGGTGGGCAAATCCAGTCCTCGAGGGCTGGTATCCTCCATCTTTTTGTTATTTCCCAGTTCCAACACAGTTGATTCAGCAACTCATCAAGCTGCAGAAGCCAGCTAATCTCCTGCTGATTGAAATCAGGTGTGTTGAAACAGGGAAAACAGTAAAACATATGGGATAGTGGCCCTTGAGGACCAGGATTGCCTGCCCCTGACTTAAGAGAAAGTCACCCCCTACCAGAGCATTACTCCACTCCCACTTCCTGTTTGAAAAATGCAACAAATGCTGTTGCCTAGCAGACCAAGAGGGTGGAGCCGCTAACAAATACACACACACACACAAGCTCACAACGACATTGTGACATCATATGGTACCAGCTAACGTTCTAGGGTACCTCTTAGCCATTAGCGATGGCAGATTTAAATTCAAATGAAGTGCAGAGTTTTTACCTGACAAAATCTCCTGCCTCGTAATCAGTTTTAGGCTAATAATTAAAATTTTAACTAAAATGCACTAAAGTGCAAAACTACACGTGTCTGCAGCACGATTAGACACTCATTCATTTAGTTCATCAGAAAAAAAGTTGATTTGGGGATGACTAGCTCTTTAAAGGAACTGGAAATGCATCAAATAAAGGAAATTTATGCAAAACATCCTCAGTATTTTTAGCATTTGATTCAGTAATTGGAAACTGGATTTTACTCCTTTATATTCATAAAAAAAACTGGATTATTTTGTCATTTTTGCCACTTTTGGAATATTTTTCTTGTCACTTTGTTCAATTTGTGTTTCATGACAGTGGTGGACCTAGAAAACTTTACATTGGGGTGGGGTGGGGGGTTAAAGGAAGCAAAAAAGGTCAAAGCAGGGTAGCAATGCTGCACCTCCGCCCCCCTTAAATGCAACTTGAGTCAACAACACATCAACAAAATACTTTAAAGCTAGATTTCTTCTAAAAACACAAAGATAATTTAAACACAAAAATAAAAAACCAAATGACTGTACAGGACTGAATTCAGCCATCGTCTTTAGCATGGGGGCAAGGCTCTACAGAAGGGGGGGGGCAGTTGCCCCCTCCCCGCTTCTGTAGAGCCACCCCTGTTTCATGTAAATAGTTTCTAATTATTATAATACCTATTTTCTTTTTTCTGTAGATTAATTTTAGTATTTTCTGCCAAAAATCTACTCTCAGGAGTCTACAACAACGACAGAAGGGTGGCAATTAAGAATCTGAAGATGGGCACAATGTCAGTGGAAGCATTCATGGCTGAAGCCAACATGATGAAGAACCTGCAGCATCCCCACCTCGTCCGCCTTTTTGCCGTGGTCACGCAGGAGCCCATCTTTATTGTGACAGAGTACATGGAAAATGGTGAGACAGCACTCAGCAGAGAGAAGCTCCTGCATCACAAAGTCGTCCTCATTTCCTTTCAGACGAGTTTAGTCCACTAAAATATGCCCAAGCTTGTCTGCATTAATCATTTTCATAATCTCCTGCCTCGTAACCATAAAAGCAGCTCCGTGAGGCGGAGGAGTGTTAGCACAGAGTCACAGATGTTCAGGATCAAACATGTCGATATCACTCGAGTGTTCAAACAAAGGAGTGGATCTCACCCCCTCTACTGAGTTTTCACCAGAACACTCCACTGACTCTGATGATTTAACTTCATGTGTTTTGATCACTCATTCACAGCAGACCTGTGTTTTCTTTATTTGTGCTTGCCTTGTGACATCAGATATGAGCCATTCGCTGTAACGGCGGCTCGAGCTCTCGGTTCGGCTATTTTCAGCCTCCCCTCATCAGCCTCCCTTGTTCTCCCCGGCTAAAAAGTTTCAAAACAAACATGAACTTTCACTTTTTCTGCGGCGCGCTCCAGACAGGACAGGTCAGCCGTGTTCACACGCTGAGAGGAAGTTTCTCTTGGCCACTCTGAGGTGTTAAAACAGGAGACGGTAAATCTCATTGTTATTGTTTGAATACACCCGTCATGATGTCTGGCTCTTCTCCGGGGTTTGCATTTCAGAGTATTTATAATATAATAAAAAGTATTAAAATTAAAGTATGAAACATTAGTTAGTGGTAGACCAAAATATCGGTCGGCCGATATGTTTTGTTTTCTTTATACGTTGACATAAGCTGATATTTGTGATTAGTAAAGCCGATTTAAAGTCAGGCACATCCTCGGACAACCTGGTGCTAATGCAGAATTTAATTAAAATTTTTACATTCACTAATAATCTGCATAATAAATACTCTAAATTTACTTTAAGTGTCTGATTTATGTTGTTATGATGTTATTAGTGACATTTTAGCATGAAAACGAGGTGTAAATCTTCTAGATTCTGGCCGTGGAAATCGACCCATAAAAACCAGCAGTACATTTTGGTATCGGTATTATTTTTTTGTGAAGTTTAGTGAATGTTTCTGATAGTTAAAGAGATTTAAATGCAGAGGAGAATCAGACCTGATCAGATTTTTTCCTTTGGCCCATGAATGCACCATTGCTCAGCAGCAATAAAACACAAAAATTTCCTATATTTTTTCCTGTTTGTGAACACACCACCTCTATGTGCTAATCCACGTTAGCTCTACTTCCAGAACATTTTCTTGACTTATAGGAAATTTTGCTTTTATGAAAGTTCTTTGTAATAAATTAAAACCTGACAAAGTGATCTCAGCAGGTCAGAGTTGAGAAAAATAAAATAAAATAAAAACAAAGAAAATCATGAATCAGTATCAGCCCTCAGAAGCACAATCGGTCCATTTCTGGTGAGATAATCTCTCAGCATTCAGACGGGTTCTCTTCCTCTTTTTCCCTCACTGAAAATCATAAAAAGTAATAAATGAAGAGCTGATGATGTCAAACTTCAAGCTTGATAAAAGATAATTTATCTAAATCCCAACAATCACATGATAACGCTCACAGATCTGTTTCACCTCAACATCTTGTCTTTGTAAATCTTTCCTCCGACCAACATGAACTCAGAGATTCTCGGTGACGAAGACAACAGCAGCCAGAGAGCTGAAGAGAAAGGAGTGCCTTTGTGTCATCGAGTGTGTGTGTGTGTGTGTGTGTGTGTGTGTGTGTGTGTGTGTGTGTGTGTGTGTGTGTGTGTGTGTGTGTGTGTGTGTGTGTGTGTGTGTGTGTGTGTGTGTGTGAGAAGGAGCTTGTAGCAGCAGTGACTCTTTGTTTGGGATTAATGTGCGGACAGGACACAATTGCTCCACTGTTGCGGAGAGAAAAGATGACTAGTGATCCCATCTTTACAGATCTTTTACCGTTTTTTATTATCAAAGTCAACAAAGAGTGAATGTAGAAGGTGCGTCATTCTGGTTTCCCTTTGTAGCTGTGATAAAGAGCACTTCCCTGGCTCTCAAACCTCTTCCGGAGGAGTAAACCTTCTGTCCTCCTAAAGTATTTCCTTTGGTGAGACTTTCAGACGGAGGTATTATTCTGTGCTAATCAAACCCAACACAAGGTCAGAAAGGTCAGCTGTCAGAAAGTTTGCATCGACTTCACAAATGTTTTGTTTACTTCCTCAAAACGCTGTGCTCACTGATTTCAGCAGCTATTCTGGTCCAACTTGGTTTATTATGTCTGTGGGGCCTTGTGAAGTAAAAAAAAAAAGTCATTTTTCTTCTGGTCGCACATTTTCCTTTTGCAGTTTTGAACTTTTAATGTTGAATTAGTTGGATTCATTAAGAGAAATTGTCTCAGAAGTCTCAATAAATGAAGGAAATTCAGATTTTCTGGAGAATTTTGTGGACTTTTTAGGGCCATCTTCAAAAAAACGTCTTCAAAGGCACAAATTCATGACCAAATTCTTTCTGTATTTGCAAAGTCCTCAGGAAGATTCAGGCTAAAGGCGGGTCCAGGATGTGGTGTGCAGATCAAACTAAATGATTAGCCTGAAAAACTTAGTACAGATTGTTTAAATCACCACACAAGACATCAGCAGATCTTCAGACTAACCTGGAGGGATGTTTTCAGCCTGCATCACTCACTGCACGCTCAACAAAGGACGGCTGTGAGTGAATAAAGCAGGACGTCGCAAAAACAAAACCGTTCAGGTTGATTATTCTTTAGTAGGAGCAGTGGAAACTGAAGCAGAGCCTCTGGGGAACACAGTGAACACTTAAAAAGTCAGAATAATAAACAGGATTTACGTTCTTGTGTTTGTTGTGAATCTGCTGAGGAGCACATGCTCTTTTAGAGCGAGGCACCATCCTGATCCACATTTCACAGAAGGCATTGTAGGAGAAGTAAAAAGTGCCGTTACAAGAAAAACTCAGGAAACTAAAGCAGAGTGTTTAGAAACAGGAAATGGTGAAAGGTTGTTGGCAAAGATCCACCAACAGAAATCCCACAAATGCAGTATTTATAATGTTTGATGTGTAAAGGAATAAATGCACTTTTCTGCAGGCTGCTTGGTGGACTACCTGAAAACTCCGGAGGGGAGCAGGTTGCAGATGAACACTCTGATAGACATGGCAGCTCAGGTGGGAATTCTCCTTTCAGTATTTTCCTTTTATTCCTCTGAGCATCCAGGAGCATGCACGTGGAGCTTTTTTAACGAGGTTTTATAGTCAAAGCTGTGTGTGTGTGTGTGTGTGTGTGTGTGTGTGTGTGTGTGTGTGTGTGTGTGTGTGTGTGTGTGTGTGTGTGCAGGAATGCACGTGTTTGGATTATTTCAGTCTAGACGCAGTGGCACAAATAAAACAGCTTATTGCTAAAAGGGTTGAAGAAAACCTGCTGAAGTAAAACTTTTGCATCATTTTTGCAAACTGAAGCTAAATTATGAAAAAAGAACGAATTTGAATCTAAACTTGACTTTCTTCATCTGTATTTTACTGGCACACAAAGAAAAGAAATGTACTCGAGTGATCAAATCTGAATTAATTCATTGTAAATATCTAAATGAATAGTTGAAATAAGGACGGGAAGTTCAGCATAATTAAACCATTTAATATTCTGAATGAAAAGCAATTTAAAAAGTTTTGTTTTTGCATTTTTATTTATTTGGGACGATAACAATAATTGCAATAACAGTGCCATTAATAAACATTAATAATTTAATTTCAAATTTAAATAAATAGATGCAATTTAAAAATAATTAAAGTGTAAAAAGCGCTGTAATTATTTTATCATCAGGGTAATAATAAAGAGCTGTGTTGACCTGCAAGGTCTAAACAGGATGTGATTTTTAGAGTAGGGGGGGGGGGGGGTAGTTCCTGATCCTTTCTTCCTGCTTCCTCATATTTATACCCTTGATACTAAAGCTAGCCTTTTTCTCTCACATGTTTAAAATACTTTCTGATCTTGACTACTCCGGGGGAATTTCATGAGGCGTTCGCAGCTACGTCTCAAATTCATCCTGTCTGTGAAAAGACTTTGACTGCGAGAGGTAGGGTGGGTGTGAGAATGACTAAATCAACCACAGGAAGACAGAAGTTTCAAAATCTGAGATAACGAACGTTTCTTCTTATTGGGCTCCGTACGAAGATCTACACTTCACTGGTCGCATCGTAGAAGCTCAAGGCATCAAGTAATTGTTTTAAAGGAACGTCATTTTCATTCATTTAACCGTTCTTCAAATAAGAAACGAGGGAGGAGGTTGAGGTGGTTGTCGTGACAACGGTAGGCATCCTTACAACACAACTGGACGTACATCTCAGGTTTATGACCACACCAAGGCACAGATCTACACATACATGACACATTCCAGCGCCTGAAATGGCCTCAAACAAAACTTCAGTGTGAAAGGACCAAACAGATGCATCGTGGGTAGAAGGTTCTGAGGAAATCACCACGTTATTGTTTTAGACACCTGACAGACGCATTTCTTCCTTCCATAGGTGTAGTATCAGGTTCCCTCTGCTTTGAAATGAGTCAGGCAGCGTGTGACTGAAACAGAAACACAGACGGTGAATAAGCCGGGTCCACAGTGAGGCAAAAATAATTCTGCTTTCTGAATCACAAAGAGGAGCTGGTTGCATGAGCACAGCTGTGTACATGGGGTGGAGTAGAGCAGAGGTAAAAGGGCACAACCTGTGGGAAGTGGCAAACTCCCTGCTTTTCATTGGTGTGTCCGACACACATAAACTCTTTGTGACAGCACTAAAGCCGGCCTCTCATGCTTTACCACACACACACTGTCATGTTGGGTGCCAGGTGTTTGACCCACGACATACGGAATCACCAAACACAGAAGGCAAGATAAGCAAGATTTATTATTAACAAAATTAAAGGGGAGAATAAACGAGAACTCAAGGCGCTGCGAAGCAGCAGGGATAACGGCAGATTCGGAGGACGGGAGCTCAGCGGGGCGGGAAGAGAGGAGAGCAGAAGGGTTTGATGGGGCAGAAGGTAGGAGGATGTGAACAGTCTCGCTGGCTTACGTTCTTCAGGCTGAGGGGAAGCGAGGGGCGGGGGGGGTCCGGTCAGGGTGAGTGGATGATCCAGGAGGTAGAGGCAGGTGGGGGGGACTGAGAGCGGGTGATCAGAGGAGAGCAGCGAGACGTGGTGTGAAGATCCAGAGTGTTTTCACAGGAGTAGATGGAAACAGACTGGAAGCAGACGGGTAAGCGGGTTAAATGGTAAATGGCCTGTATTTGATATAGCGCCTTCTAGAGTCCTGGAACCCCTCAAGGTGCTTTACAACACAATCAGTCATTCACCCATTCACACACACTGGTGGGGATGAGCTATAATGTAGCCACAGCTGCCCTGGGGCGCCCTGACAGAGGCGAGGCTGCCGAGCACTGGCACCACCGGTCCCTCCGACCACCACCAGCAGGCAACTTGGGTTAAGTGTCTTGCCCAAGGACACAACAACAGTGACAGACTGAGCGGGGATCGAACCTGCAACCTTCCGATTACGAGGCGAGCACTTAACTCCTGCGCCACCGTCGGGTTAAAATACAAAACAGGCAGATCACTTGAAGTAAGTGCAGGACTGGTGAACAGATCTACCCAGACTGAGTAATCAACACACACACACACACACACACACACACACACACACACACACACACACACACATTTGGGTTTATTTAGGACATGCTGTCCTCTGCAGGTGGCCGATGGAATGGCGTTCATTGAGAGGAAAAATTACATCCATCGAGACCTGCGAGCTGCAAACATTCTTGTTGCACACGACCTCACCTGCAAGATTGCAGACTTTGGACTTGCACGACTTATTGAGAACAACGAATACACAGCAAGGGAAGGTAAGAAGATATGTCCTCACATCTCTTCTTTAACCGGGCCTTTCCACTGGACGCGTAAGTGTTGCAGAACGTCCGCGAAGCGTAGTGATCAGAAATTAGCCGCGGTTACGGCCAGTAGGTGCGTTTTCCATCGGCCGTGAAGTGGAGCGTTTTGGACATGTCCCAGAAGTGTAGTGATGTGTTCAGACAGGAAGTCGGACTTGAAAATTGTACAAAAAATTTCAGAAACTTTCAAAATAAAAGTTCAGTGGCTTAAGTAGTAAAAAAAGATGTATCTGTGACACATGTAGCCCAAGTAAACAGAACAAAAAACTCACAGAGACCTTTTTGGAGACATGCTGCCATCTTTCTCCTTGCTTGGTAGTGTTTGGACTGCTGAAAACACACATGGTCATTTCGTAGCTGCATGGAATGCATTCAATGCCGTTTTGCGTCTGAAACGCTCAGTAAAAAGAGGCGAGCTGCATAGCTAAAATTCAATTCAATTCAAGTTTATTTATAAAGCGCCAAATCACGTCGTCTCAAGGCACTTCACACAGTCAACACTCCAATAAAGGTCAGTTCATTAAGCCAGTCAGAAAAAAGTTTCCTAAATAAGGAACCCAGCAAAGTGCATCAAGTCACTGACTAGTGTCAGTGACTTTACAGCAATCCTCATACTAAGCAAGCATGCAGTGACAGTGGAGAGGAAAACTCTCTTTCAACAAGAAGAAACCTCCAGAGGATCCTGGCTCAGTATGAGCAGCCATCCGCCACGACTCACTGGGGATCGAGAAGACAGAGCACACACACACACACACACGCACGCACGCACGCACACACACACACACACACACACACACACACACACACACACACACACACACACACACACACACGCACACACACGCGCGCACACACACACACACACACACACACACACACACACACACACGCACACGCACACGCACACGCACACACACACACACAACATATATACCAAGTAATGTTTCTATGGTTACATTGTGATTTCTTAGTAAATATTCTATTTGGTGAGAGATAAACTTTATTGTATTTATCCTAGTGAATCTATAATTAAAGGGTAAACTAGTAGTAGCACATTCAATGTCAAGGAAAGTAAAATGTTATAATCAGGAGAGGGAGAATGTTTAAGTGGTCAGCAGCAGTGTTCAAATCCAGACCTAACAACGTGAATGACTGCATCTATTACATTATGCACCACTTGTGCATCCAGTGGAAAGGCCGGATCAGTGTTAGGTTTCATGCATCTTTTCTTTTTTAATTATGCTTCGTCTTTTTTGTCCACATAGGTGCAAAGTTCCCCATTAAATGGACCGCACCTGAAGCTATAAACTACGGCACTTTCTCCATAAAATCTGACGTGTGGTCGTTTGGGATTCTCCTCACTGAAATTGTAACGTATGGGCGAATCCCTTACCCAGGTAAACGCTTGTTACCGATAATACATGTTTAATCAATAAAACACACATATCCTGATAACAATTGACCTCCCGTTCAGGTATGTCCAACCCAGAGGTGATCCAGAACCTGGAGAACGGATACAGAATGCCGAAGCCTGAAAACTCTCCCGATGAGCTCTATAGCATCATGCATGAATGCTGGAGGGAGAAACCAGCAGACAGACCAACGTTTGAGTACCTGAAGAATATGATGGAGGACTACTTCACCTCCACAGAAAGGCAGTACCAGGAGTAGCTGTAGTCGTGGAGCAAACGGACCTTAACTCAAACCAAAGAGGTGACTTTTCAGAGCCAGTGTTGGATTTTCAATGATTTACTGCAGATGCTAAACTTTTCCTGATTGAAGCAAACTGAGAGCATCTGAGGTATTTTTTTGTTGTTGTTGTTGATTTTGATGCGTCAAACTAATTAATGAAAACGTAACGCAACCGAACGAGAACCAGCTGGATCAGGAAGCAGCAAAAGAGAGGAAAGTGATCATTATTCTGCTTGAATAAATTGGAGACTCACTGGTGTCGCTGAAACAAACTGCTGCTCTGCTGGTGCTTTCTAAAAAACATGTAAACACCCGCTTCATTTTCATTTTTCTGCAGCGTAAATAAAGTCATAATGTTTTTTCATTGTGCCCACACCATTGATTCACGACCAATCAGAACCTTTATCGTGATTTTTTTGTATTTAAAATACACAGATGAATCTTTTTGAATGTTATTTTTTATCATTTCAAAGAATAAATGTGTTTTATATATATATATATATATATATATATGTTAATATAAATTGTTAGTCAAGAATTTGTGTGCATGGTCTGAGTTCAGCGCAGTTAGTACTAAAAATAAAGTTTTGGAGTTTTCATAAATGCAACTTTGTTCTTTGGCTTTGGTTTATTTCACATGCAATTGAGATGTTTGAAAAATCTAAAACTTTGTTTAGGTGATGAAGTAGTTAAATGGATCTTTCCATTTTTCAGTTAGAGAAAGTTTAATTGGTAGGGATTTTAATATTCGTAATGATGATGCTTCTGGATAAACGACTTTTTATCTCTTAAGAGGTCTTCTGGAAGCCAACCCATAAGGTTCAAACTTTGGATTTGTTCTTTTTTTTTGGGGGGGGGCTTAGACCTGGTTATTGAGGATTTTCTGGTGAGTGGCCCTTTTTGTTAATATTCCTCTGTTTCCACACCTATTAAAACCAGGATAAAGGGGCATCTGTAACTCAATAGTCCATCACAAAAGTTTGTTCGTTTAATCCTTTAACTCATTTAATCTGTTTGATGATGATGAGACCCCATTTTGTTTGTCCTGTGTATTTTTTTAATCAGAATCCGTTTTACAAGCCAAGATTGTTATGCAATCAAGAAATTTGCCTTTGGCTTCAAGCTCAAATCAGACTGCAAATAACCAAATATAAAGTCGGTGCAAATCGGTGTAAATGAACAAACGGCATAAACCTTTTTGAGGTGAGTCATTTTTCTTTTAAATCACGGAAACGCATAAAGTCCCGTTTGTGAGACTCTGTCTCCCCCTATAGGCGGCCGCCGGTATTACCCCACATCTAGTAGAACTCTCCCGTTGTTGGGGGTCTCTTCTCCTGCGGCGTGCGTTAAGGTTAAAACCGGACCAAAAAATGGCGTTTACTTCTCAAGGATCAAAAAAAAAAGTTTGCTACTACTATGACGGTGAGTCCACATGTGGTTGCGTTTTAGCGAGCGGTCAGGCTGAGGGTTGAAGATCCTCAGGTCTCAGTTTGTTCCACTCCGGTAACCGTAGCTACCTGTAGCTTAGCTAACATGAGACGTTGGCGTCTCTCATCATTCCAGCATGGCATCATAAACTAATTAAACTCTAAAATATACGACTTGCTTCGGTTAAGCAATATGTGGGTTTAAAATGCAGTTTGTCACATCATTATTGAGATACGAGTACTTAAATCTGACAGGTTAACTAGCTAGCTAGCAATAAGGATGTGAGTAGTTGTTGACAACAGTTGGCAGTGAGCTAAAAGCTCGTGTTTTTGCTGTAAAAAGTTAAGAAAATGAGAATAAAAATGTTTAATAGATACTTAAATCTAAATGTGCTGCAAAAAGCCAAACACGTGCTTGGGAATCTAATGTTTTTGTTGGAGTTTTCAGACCCAAACACATCAATATTGACTTCCTGCATTAATATATTTTGAGCAATAAAGTGATTCTGGCAAATTTGGTCTTTTCTTGTCTTGCACATTTAAAAAAATTCATTTTATCACCATTATTTTCTTTTCATTTTAGGTGATGTTGGAAACTATTACTATGGCCAGGGTCATCCCATGAAACCCCACAGAATTCGCATGACACACAACCTCCTGCTCAACTATGGTCTCTACAGAAAGATGGAGATATACGTATGTGAAATGAAGCAACGCCGTTTTAAAATGTCCTAGGAATCTGAGAGAAAGTTGTCTTGTGTTGCAGCGTCCACACAAAGCCAGCGGAGAAGAGATGACCAAGTACCACAGCGACGATTACATCAAGTTCCTGCGTTCCATCAGGCCAGATAACATGTCAGAATACAGCAAACAGATGCAGAGATGTGAGTTGAATCAGAAAGGTTAATCATGCCTCATAAACAGCCCCAGTAAGGCTGATTCTATGCTTTTTCTTTGCAGTTAACGTGGGAGAGGACTGCCCGGTGTTCGACGGGTTGTATGAGTTCTGCCAGCTTTCAGCTGGAGGGTCCATTGGTAAGTCTTTGAAGTTTAACTCTGCAGTGATCGAGCCCTTCTTCACCGGCGTTGGCAGACTCCTAAACTCTGACTTTCTGTCTGTGCTCTAGCTGGTGCTGTGAAGTTGAACAAACAGCAGACAGACATTGCAATCAACTGGGCCGGAGGACTGCATCACGCTAAGAAGTCGGAAGCCTCGGGGTTCTGCTATGTCAACGACATCGTCCTGGCTATACTAGAGTTACTGAAGTCAGCATAAAGTTTTGACAAACATGCATTTCTTCACATGGGTTGTGATGGATTTAAATAAAAGCCCAATGACTTGGATTACATGATTCTCCATTTTTAGATACCACCAGAGAGTTGTTTACATTGACATTGACATCCATCACGGGGATGGCGTGGAAGAGGCTTTCTACACCACTGACCGTGTCATGACTGTGTCCTTCCACAAATATGGGGAGTACTTCCCAGGCACCGGTGACCTCAGGGTATGACTTTGTTTTTCAAAACCTTCCATGACTTGATACAGTAATTATTAAATTATCTTGTGTTCTTTAGGACATTGGTGCTGGCAAGGGTAAATATTATGCTGTGAATTATCCACTGAGGGATGGGATCGATGACGAGTCATATGAAGCCATATTCAAACCTGTGCGTACATAAAACTCTTCCACCTTGTGTGTGTTTGTTTTAAAGTTTTGACCAATTTTTAAGCACGGAAGCATTCTTGCTGTTGTGTTTTCTGTAGATCATGGCCAAGGTGATGGAGATGTACCAGCCCAGTGCAGTGGTCCTTCAGTGTGGAGCCGATTCTCTCTCTGGGGACCGGCTCGGTTGTTTTAATCTCACCATTAAAGGCAAGTAAAATTCACCATTAACAAACGTGTGACGTCACTAGTAGATTTAAGTCCTAACCAGCGCAATCCACCAATCACTATCATTTTTAATCAGTGTGCAGAAGCAGATCGCTAGGGGTTCTCGTGTGAGATTTTGCTGCTTTCCAAAATGCGTTGGCTATTTGATGCATTAATTCATCAATGCTAGGTACAGCTGGTTCATGCTGTACGTCTGAGCAGAGGGAGGTAGGGTAACCCTTCACCTGCTGCGTCGGCTAAGATGCTGATCCAAAGTTTACACATCAGGGTCAGTGTTGTAAATATTTGCAGCTATTATAAGAACGCTAACGTGGTTATTGGAAAAACTTTGTAAGATAGCGATGCGGGCGCTGTACCGGTCTGTTGTGGTGAAGAGAGAGCTGAGCAGGAAGGTGAAGCTCTTGATTTACCGGTCAATCTACGTTCCTACCCTCACCTATGGTCACGAGCTTTAGGTAGTGACTGAAAGAACGAGATCGCGGATACAAGCGGCAAAATGAGTTTTCTCCGCAGGGTGTCTGGGCTCTCCTTTAGAGGTAGGGTGAGAAGCTCGGTCATCCTGGAGGGGCTCAGAGTAGACCCGCTGCTCCTCCACATCGAGAGGAGCCGGTTGAGGTGGCTCGGGCATCTGGTCAGGATGCCTCCTGGATTTACATCAGTTAGTTGGACAAGGGCTCAGTGGTTTGGCTAAATTTTCATATCACGTTTTTTAATAAGTCAGACTGATTTTACAACATTACTAATGATCACAGTAAAGCAGGTCAAAGACTTTTACGCCCGACGCCCAAATCTGCCTAAATGAGTCATCATCAAGGTAGATGCTGTTTTGAGTTTTAGGATCCCTTTAAAGCAGGGGTGTCAAACTCATTTTAGCTCAGGGGCCACATTGAGGGAAATCTAGTCCCAAGTGGGTCGGACCGGTAAATAAAAAAAAAAAAAACTCAGATTGTTTTCTTTGTTTTAATACAATCAATATAAAACACGACTGGAGCCTGAGGACAGTGTAGTACAAGTACAACACCTGAAGTGTACTTGAAAATTTGAAAAAAATAAAAAAATCAATAAATAAAAAAAAACATTCCTTAGTGATTCAAAGAGTTTACAGATCACATGGCAAGATCAGTTTCATGCATCACTTAAAGTATATTTGACTCATTTTACTTTACATCTTTTAGCTTTCACCAGCACATCAATATCAGAAGTCACATCCTGAGTGGCGGCCAACTTCAGGATGTGATTCAAGTTCTTGTGTGAGCCTTGAGCGCTGCTTTGTTTTATTCATACTCATTACAGAGAAAACTTGCTCACAAAGATAAGTTTATTTTCACTCTACATTGTAAAGTATGAAAATAAAGTTTACACAACCATCTCGCGGGCCGGATTTAATCCACTTGCGGGCCGGATCCGGCCTGCGGGCCGCATATTTGACACCCCTGCTTTTAAGTGATATTCAAGTCACATTCCTGTGTTTTTACCATCACATTATGTGTTGCTGTTAGAAAAGTGATTTGTTCCAGTGTTGTGCCGCCCTGGGCCTCTAAAAGGTGTTTTACAAGGAGCCTCTTCTGCTCTCTTCTGTTCAGGTCACGCCAAGTGTGTGGAGTACATCAAAGGTTTCAACCTGCCGATGCTGATGCTGGGTGGAGGCGGCTACACCATCCGTAATGTGGCACGCTGCTGGACATTCGAGACTGCCGTGGCGCTGGATTGCGCCATCCCTAATGGTACGGCATGTGAGCGTGGTACTAAATTAGGCGATTTCACACAAAGTCCAGCGATGTGTTGATGAAATGTTTCGTCCTTTTCTCTACAACATCCATTCTTAACCTGCACGTATGTTGGGTATAAACCAGAAGTACATTTTTAACATTTTCTCTCAACCTGACAGAGCTTCCATACAACGACTACTTCGAGTACTTTGGACCAGACTTCAAGCTGCACATCAGCCCATCCAACATGACCAATCAGAACACCACCGACTACCTGGAGAAGATCAAGTGAGTCCCGGACGCAGACGTGGTCTTAACGAGTCGGGAAACGCCTCTCTAGTTTGAGATGTCGCTGTGTTTAAACTGTGATTAGGCAGCGCTTGTTTGAGAACCTGCGAATGTTGCCCCACGCCCCCGGAGTTCCGATGCAGGCCATTCCAGAGGACGTCATGCAGGAGGACAGTGGCGACGAGGAGGAGGATCCCGACAAGCGCATATCTAGTAAGAAACCATATTTACAGTCAGTGTTTCCTTTCTCGTGATCGGATCTCCGTGTTGCTGCAGCGGATGTTGTGGTTGTGTGCGAGAACGCGTTTTAATTCAGCTCCCGTCTTCTCCAAGTACGCGCTCAGGACAAACGGATAGCGTGTGATGAGGAGTTCTCCGACTCCGAGGCCGAAGGCGATGGCGGGCGCAGGAACATAGCCAGCTACAAGAAAGTCAAGCGAGCCAAAACCGATGGAGAGAAGGAGGGAGAAGGGATGAAAGGTGAGGAAGAAACTAAAGGTACCAATCTTTTATTTTTATCTCACTTCTTTTGAAATCTTAAGATTCTACGACCTTCAAAGACTTCATTTGAAGAGGTTTGGCGATGGCTTCATTCACGGTTTATGTTTACAGAAGTAAAGGACGAAGAAAAGGTGCCAGAGGAGGAAAAGATGGACACGTCAAAGTGAGGAAAAGGTGAACGCGCGGTGGTTAACCGGTTCCTTAACGAGTTCTCGGCTCCCATCGATGCCGCTGCAGCAGAGCCGATCTTTTTGGATTGCTGGAGCAGAAACCAGTGAAGGCCTTTAAACCAGGTCTTACTTCCTCTGAACGGGATGCACATCAAACCTTTTCAAGAACATTTAGTTTTTTAGACAAATGTTTTTGAACACATTTTCGTGGCTTTGTTCTGGTGAACAGTTTTGTAAAAAGTCTCGGCGTGGGTTTATACATCTGGGCTTCATTTAAATCCAATATTTGGGTGTTTTTTTCTTCAGACCCACTTTTGTCTCGTGCCTTTTCTGATGTCGAAATTATTTGGTCTTTTTGCCAAATAACGCTTTTACCATGGCCCACTGTAAGCACGAGTCGTTTTTTATTCTAGGTAATGCGTGATGTTTTACAGACAGGGTCACACCTTGGGCAGGTTTCTGGGACTTTTAACTCATAAATATTTAGGAATGTTCCTTGAAAAGGAAGCCTGATCGTCGGGTTTGGGGTCCGGTCATCAGGCGAGACAAACGTTAGGAAACATTCATTGTGTGTAAATAAATAAATATATCCTGAAAAATGAGTAAAAGTGTTGCACTTTCTATCCATCACACATCTCAAACAAACAACTTCCTTAATAAATCATAATTTTTGATTTTTATTAGTATAAAAACATTAGATTTGATGAATGACAAATCAGTTAAACATTTTTTAAAATGTGTAAAAAACAAACCAGCATTTGAAACGAGAGTAACAGCATTCCATTACGTTAAAGCAGCTATTTCACCACTGAAAGGCATAAATATTAACATGTGACTGCTTGTTGGTGTAGACCCACGGTTTTAACCTAGTTGACCCGGTTAAGCAGAGTTTACAACCTATTTGGGTTAGACCCACTGATCACGCTGCTCTGCTCTGCTGCCGTCCATCAGGTCCTCGTTCTCCGACGGCTCTCCTTCAGCTCCCGTCTCTGGGTCTCGAGCAGCAAGCGGTGTTGGGATTTCATTTCTTTTCTGGAAGCGCACCTGAAGCAGAGTTTAAAACGAGTCCGTTACAGATAAAACCAGCCAGCTGAAGGCAGGGATGGCTCTTTAGTTCTGGGCCTCGAGAGTATCCAGCATGTTTTAGTGGTTTCTCTGGTCCAACACACTTGATTCAGTGGTTGAATCACCTGTGCAGCAGCTCATCGGGCTCTGCAGAAGCCCGTTAATCACCCACTAATTGAAATCATAGAGCTAGGTCTGCAGCTTCGCTGATGATATTCAGATTTACATTCATGAACTCAAATGTCCTCCAAAGAAAACAATACAGGTGTCATCCTGTTTGAGAATTCCCTCCCCCCAGCCACTTGGGCCAGCCCCTCCAGGGGAATCCCAAGGCGTTCCCTGTCCAGACAGGAAACATAGTCCCTCCGGCGTTTCCTGGGTCTTCCTTTAGGTCTCCTCCCGGTTGGACATGTCTGGAAAACCTCACCAGGGAGACGTTTTAACTAGATGCCAGAGCCACCTCAACTGGCTCCTCTCGATGTGGAGGAGCAGCGGGTCTACTCCGAGCCCCTCCCGGATGACCATGCTTCCCCTCCCCCCATCTCTGTGGAAGAGCCCAGCCACCCTGTGGAGGAAACTCCTTTCGGCCGCTTGTATCCGCGATCTTGTTCTTTCGGTCACTACCTAAAGCTCGAGACCATAGGCGAGGGTAGGAACGTAGATCGAGAGCTTTGCCTTCCGGGTCAGCTCTCGCTTCACCACCACAGACCGGTACAACGCCCGCATTGCTGCAGTCTGATTTTCTACAGGACATGTAAACTAGGATAAAGGTGACCATTCTAGTGAAGGTATTGGCTCCATATTACCACAGCTCGATTTAGATGACCACCGTACTGAATCAGCGAGACCATAATCGATAACCCGACTATTCTCGAGCTTTCCATATGTTTTTACTTTACAGTATTTAAAGCACGTCGGTGCAGCCCTTGTTATTAAGAGCTTTAGAAACTAAATGTACTTTTACAATTTCAGACAGAATTTTTTTTCTACAGAAATAAATTCAATAAAGGTTTATGATTTGAATTATGTGTTATTAACGCAAAAATAATTTAATTTTCACTTGAACTGAAATTTTAATTCTAACTCATAAAATTTAAGATCTTTTTCTATCTTGAAATATGAAGTTATCACATAAAAGTCACTTTTCTGATGGGGCTTCTATTGGGGCAGCAGTAGCTCAACAGGTTCAGTAATCGGAAGGTTGCAGGTTCGATCCCGGCTCCGGACAGAGAATTCTGCTGTTGTGTCCTTGGGCAAGACACTTAACCCACCTTGCCTGCTGATGGTGGTCGGAGGGACCGGTGGCATCTGTGCTCGGCAGCCTCACCTCTGTCAGTGCGCCCCAGGGCAGCTGTGGCTACATCGCAGCTCATCACCATCAGTGTGTGAATGTGTGTGAATGGATGAATGATACACTGTAGTGTAAAGCGCTTTGGAGTCCTTACTCTGAGAGGCGCTATACAAGTGCGGGTCATTTATCATAACTGGGTTCCATGCGTTTCCCAGCTCTGAGTTAAATGATGGTAACTATGGGTTTTTTTATAACTTACATTCTTAGCTTGTGTTGGCTTCTTGGGCTTCTTCCTGCATGGACACAGGTAAAGGAAGGAGGTGCTGATAGCAAAGCAGCGAAAGGTGAACACCACTTCCACCACAGACATCACAATGAGCGGCACCCACAGGATAGCTATAGTCGGCTGAAAGTAAAATATACAAAAGTTATAAAGACTTTTTATCCATCAACACAAAAACCTGCTAGTAAGAACCAAGACTACCTACATAGATACGGGTGGGGTCAAAGGGACATTCGTACGTGACGCTTGACGAACCCGTACTTTCGTCTAAAGAGCAATATGTGTTTAAAAGCTTTGTTCCTTTGAATCTGAAAACTTGAACCGTGGAAACGGACAAGCCCACAGTAGAAGCAACTCCCAAGAGACCCGCCAGGAAGCTGAAGACCAGCAGGACCCACATCTGTAGGACAACATCTGAGTCAAACACAAAGGACTTGTTCCAACAGGAGCCAGGGAGAAGCGGTGGAACGGAGAACGCGCTCACCAGGATCTTGTTCTTCTTGTTTTTAGACAGGACTATGGCCGTTATCCCACTGATGATTCCCTGAAAGAACACATGAGAAAAGATCAGGTTTCACGTGAAAGACATTGGATAAAGATAAAAACCAAGTTGAAAGTGGCCCACCATTAAGCCTGCCACCATGGCAATGACGTTGGTGATGGCAGACACCAAAATCTGGGTCCTAGCCAGGATGTTGATGCCTCTGAGCACGGCGCCATGCACCAGAGCTCCCAGGAGGAAGTTGACATGGCCCACTAGCACCAGGGCCAGCCCCATCTTCATCAGGGCTCGGCTGTCTTTGAGGCTGGCGCAGCATACTCCTGGTGAAGCAGATGTGCATTTACTTCCTGTTTCTTTGTTAGGACGGTGATGCAAAGCATCCACATACGGAGGGCGAGAAACTGATCCTGAGCCTACAAGACCAAGCCCTCGGTGTGGGGCGTTCAAACACCCACACCTGAGGGGTCGCTCAGGGGTCACATCGCTGATCTCCTCTCATGGTCATGCAAAGCGTTTCTGGTTCTAACGGTCCTGTTTTATCATAAATGACCACAATAATACACAAAAACAATAACTGTAAATATTTTACTTTAAATTAAATGTATCTTCCATCTAAATGATTCTGGTTGTTTTAAGAATGGAAGATAAGTAATCTTAGTGGAAATTACACTAAAAGTTATTATTAGTAGTTTTATTTAAGGTTAGTCTGAATGTTTCACATCACAGATGAATATAAACAAGTAGAACTTCACATAAAAAATAGCTAAAATATAAGATTATTTATCAACCTTTCCGAGCTGCAAATACTAAATTAAATTCGTGGATTAAACATCTGAGGTCTTTAGAATTAAACACGTCCAAATCTAACGACTTTAATCTCTTAAATATATAAACATAGCTTCACTTAAATTATCAAACATAAGAAATGTTCACAAAATGCATCAAAGCTGCGTGATTACTATCAGCATCCCATAATAAACATGTAAAACGTGACTTTTCTTTTCTTTTTTTAAAGACAAAACACAAACAACCACAAAGGTGGTTCAACACTGTTTTCTCTGAAGCTCCATTTGCACTTGCCACGCCTAAAACTGTCAGAAAACAACTCCTAAAAAGTCTCAGAAGAACAAAACACACACAAACACACCCCAGGTGTGTAGCTGCATACCTGTAGTCACCATGTTGGACCACAAATCCCCTCAGATGGCGGCTATTATTATGAAACTCGTATTAAAGTCATTCCTAACAGTTTAGGATCGCCACACTTCAGGTATCCTCACTTCCTCGTTCGACACTCACCTGGCGGACAGACTGGAAGCCACGCCCACAAAGAGCTGCGCAAAGCTGCATGCAGTTTGTCATATTTCTTTAGAGGCTTTTAGTTAAAGATTATGAAACAAAATTCAGAAATTCGCGCACAAATATAAAAATAACTGTTCATAAACTCATTAAGTTAAAAGATTTTAGTATTTTGCAGAGTTTTTAATGCCAAAAGGTCATAAAGTCACTGATTTCTGTTGTTTAAATTATTTAGTTTGTGTGTGGAAAATAAATAAATAAAGTTTATTTTTAAAAGTTCTAAAGCATTAATTGCTGAGTAGAAGGAATCTGATTGGGTGTGAGCCTCGTTAGCTGATTGGTAACACCTGTCTCTCTTTTCCAGTTCCCTTTATTAGTGACACACTGGGCTCAGTTGGAAAACCAGATTTTGGCCCAGTTTGTGGCTCAAAATGGGACCAATACAGCAAGTTGTGTTCCTGTTTCTTGGTCATTGCTTTGCTGCCCGGTCTTTCGGAAGACCCGAAGACACTTTGTTTCCCCAGGATTTTGGAGGATTCTTTGACAATAATTGGCTGTTTCCATTTGACAGAAACTTCGACTTCCCAACGTTTGACACGTTCTTCAGCTCTTGGAGATCCTGGAACCCCGACTTTCACATGCTTGCCGAGTTCCCTCCTGTTGTAAATGTTCCACGAATCCAGGTTTTTTGTGATGAAACTAAGCTGACGTTGCTGGTAGACAAGAACGCCTTTGGTCTGACGTTGGCCACGGGGGACATCCAGCTGGGTGATGGCTGCTATAGCAACAAAGAGCTTCCAAACCAGCTTGGTTTTGTTTATAATTTGGACCAATGTGGAACTGTGCCAGTGGTGAGTCTTCCCCCTCATTGGCTTTTTTTAATTTTCACATTTTGCTGACTCTACGTCATCTTGCAGCTCCAGAATGGTGAGCAGGTGTTCACCAACTCACTCCACTTAAATGTCAAGAAAAATTCTCCTTGGTGGCAAACTCCCCCCTCAATTCATGTATCCTGCATCCCAAAGAGGTGTGTTGCTTTTTAGTAAAGCACAATTTTTATTTTATGTCTAACTATAAACTAAACCATCTGCCCAGGCTGTTTATGGATCCAAACCCTGTTTTTCAACCAGAGAAAGCAAAGACCTTCAACATCCAAGCCATGAACCGTGAGTACCTCCCAACACCACCTTCATCTGGAGGTTTTCATTTGGCTCATTTGTTTTTGTCTTTAAGCATCCTGGACCAACAAAGCAGAGTCTAACATCTATAAAAGAGGCCAGATGATCAACCTCCAGGTTTCTGCCACAACTGGACCAGATCAGCAGCTTTTCATCCAGTCCTGTTTTGTCTCTGCTTCTCCTGAAGCTCAAACCAGACCTAGACGCTCTGTCATATTGAACAAGGGGTGAGCATGAGTCTTTAAAGCCTTTAAACTGCGTTGAGCTTTTTTTTTTAACATGGTAGTCTTTCAGATGTGCATCTTCACTGGGTCACATGGTTGCACAGTTTGTGTCCACCGATCGAGCGGATGTGGTTAACTTCATCGTGAACACCTCTCGTGGTGGTTCTGAGGTAAGGGTTGTATTAAATGGGGTTTTTACAGTGTTGAGTCGTGTTTAATGGCGGGTTCCTTCCAGCTCTATATCCACTGTAGCGTGGTCGTCGCGGATGCAGCGGTCACTCCTGCCTCGAAGTCCTGCAACTACAACGTGAATAAATCAAGGTATTCACAGGAACTATTATTTTTTCTGTTGCCTGTAGATGTTTGGAAGATTTCCTCTCTTTCAGATGGGAAGAACTAAACGGGGACGTAGAAGTCTGTGGCTGCTGTAGCTCAAAGTGCAAAGGTCCAGTTGTCTATAACCTTTCTGTTGGTGAGGCTTATTTTTTGAGTTTGACTAAAATCTGTTCAGCTTTCAGAGGAGCTTACAGCATGCTGTCTTTTCAGATGCAAAGGCCGTGGTCAGCATTGGCCCCTTGGTTATTGTTGACGACGGTGAGTCGAGTCCTGCCCTTCCAGAATCCGAACCTCAAACTTTCGGCTCTTTACCCACCACCATGAGATCCGACGCCCCTGATCCAGCTGACGACGTGGCTGTTTCTGCTGCTGATCCTCTAATAAACTTATTCCAGCCTTCCCCACAGGGTGTGGTAATGGTGAGGAAGGATCCAGATGCTACGATAACACTCTGGCTACCTGAACCGGTGCAGGCGGACCATGAGAATGGCATCCATCAGGCTGAAGAGTCCCTCAAACCAGATGAGAAGTCAGAGATGAGAGTGAAAAGCGAAGGTGACTCTTCGCTCTGGGATCTGAAGCTGCTGCCTCTGGCTGATGGCTGGAAAATTCCTCAAGACTATGAAGTGATTGCTGGAAGCTTCCCAAGTAATAAAAAATTCAGAAGGTCTGGAAGCTCTGTTACAAAAACGACTCCGGCTGAGTCCTCTCTCCCAACTGAGGTTGTAAATCTCCAGCTGGTTGAAATGCCTGAACCAGTCCTACCAGAACATAAAACAGAATGGCCACCAGCCAAGTTGACTGTGGGAGAAGATTCCTCTCGGGTGCAGATGGATGCAGCTGTAGAGCCTGCAGGTGTCCAACCAGTAATCCGTACAAAACTGGAGTTTTCCAAAGGTGCTGATGGCTCAAAGAAGCTAACTTACGAGGAAGAAGTGAAGCAAAATGTTAAAACTGCAAAAGGAAAACAAGTTCCCAAGCTGAAGGAGCTTTTCTCAACTTTCTTAGATTTGTTAAGGTAACGTTGAATATTTAGCCAGTGATTAATGTTTTTGACTAATCTTATTTTTTTCCCACAGGAGGATAAACCAGGCAGAATAATGCAACTTTATACATATTTACTAATAAAAATGCAGCACAATGGCTTTTGTACTTGTTTTTCCTCCAAATAAAACCATGTTCCTCATTTAATGTAGAGAATCAGAAATATTGGCTCAAACAAAATTGCAGTTTGTCTTAACTGAAAATTGAATGATAAACTGTAGTGTAAAGCACTTAGGAGTCCTTACTCTGAGAGGCGCTATACAAGTGCGGGTCATTTAAACTCAATGTGTGTGTGAAGCGGTTCAAAGGGTCGTGGGTTTCTGCAGCATGGTACAAGCTCCTTAACGTTTGTCAGGGACCTTAATTGTAACTCCTGCACAACAATCAAGGGATAAACTTGCATGAGGATTCATGCTTCTGCATCTCATTCAAACCCTGCATTGGACTAGAAGGTGGCAAGAGACAAAGTGACCTTAACTTAAGCAACACTAAAGAATTTTAAGCTTTTAACAAAGTGGAAAGTGGACTGAAATGGCTTAAAATGTCTTCTGCCCAACCAGTCAAGGGAGCTGTTAATCTGTGGGTCAAAGTGCAGCAATTCCCAAATTTGAGACAAATTTATGGATTCCTATATTCCTTTTGCAGATCCAGGAAGGATTGGGATTCCTTTTCCAGAGTCTTGCATCCATCAAATTTAACATTTAAAGCCAATTTTTGCACAAAATGGCCTAAAATAACTGACTAGGCTCACTCACTCCCATCGTGACATTTGCAGTAAAGCTTTTTTGCTTTCTATCTGCTGCACGTTGTTTCTGACGCAGGCGTCGCTGTGGGCAGCTGGACTCGGTAGTTGGCCGTTACGCAGTGTGCGCGCTCCCTTTTACGCCGCATGCTCCGGTGTTTTTTCCTCTCCAAAGTCTGACCCTGACCCCGGTTTCCTCCGCACCGTAACTCCCCGGCTATAAAGTGTCCATGCTTCCCTCACGCAGCCTCTTTCCCCGGCCACAAAACCACCGTGAGTGTCCAGCTCACTGTTCTCGAAGAAAAAATAAAAACGCATAAAAAGTATAAAATCTACAAAATCCTAAAAAATACCTAAAGAGATACAAACTTAAAAAAAAAAGCAAAACACAAGTTTTCTAAAAAAAAAATTGATAAAAAGGAAAACGTTTGGTGGCGCAACATTAGGACAAACCGGACCAGAGGAAATTTATTATCGTGACGCGCACTTCGGAGCCGAATTAATTCCGTGAAACCCAGAAGTGAGATGAACACAGCGACGGGGAGTTATCCGATGGCTTCTCTCTACGTGGGCGACCTGCACCCCGACATCACCGAGGCGATGCTGTACGAGAAGTTCAGCCCGGCCGGACCGGTGCTCTCCATTCGGGTCTGCAGGGACATGATCACCCGGCGCTCCCTTGGATACGCTTATGTCAACTTCTCCCAGCCGGCTGACGGTAAGATAAACCGGTCATCTGAGCATGCATGCAGCCTAATTACTCTGAAACCTGCAGCAAGGGCAAAATGCAAGTTTTAAAGTGAGATGTTTGCAACTGTTTTAACCTATGAATGCACGCGCCATTAATCTATGGGGCGCCGTTTGTAAAAACTGTTAACAACTAGACCTAAATTCAAATTTTAAAATATTTAGATTCATATCTACATTTCATTTATTCATTAAACAGCTTCATGCGGAAAAAGATGAAATGGAGAATAAAAAGTAAATAAACACAATAAAACCTAATTTACAGTTTACAGAGGTTAAATTCAATTGAACCAAGGATCCACTAAGTATTGTGTCATGAAAAATTTTAAATTAACTTAGCTTTGAAGATCTGGAAAAGTGAAGCAAATTTAAACTGAAGAAATTCCCAAACAAACTTTTAAAATGAACTCTTTAAATGATGGTTTTAATTTAAACATGAGTCATTTATCATTTTTATTTGGTTGAATTCACTCACACTCTTAACATAAAGGATTATGAGATTTTTAGACTTTTATTTTGATAGGCTAGCAGCCCTAAATCCCATGTTAGCTCAAAATCTAGTTTTAAAAACACACAACTTTCAATTTTTCTATATTAAGATCAAATTATATATATTTCTTGGCATTTTGGTACAACAGTGCAACTTCCTAAATAACTCACACTGAATTTTATTGCTACAAAGAGCAAAATATAGCTGCTAATTGTTTAAATTCATAACTTTAAAATACCCCATATCCTTTATAATGCTTTAAGCAGGTAGTTTAGGTTAAATTGTGGTTTTTTAATGGCCCAAATTCAGAAATATTCAGATTCTGTTTGATTTTAAACCTATAAAGCATACAGATTGTCTCTGTAAACAAGTCTCACGGCTTACGGCCAACGGGATCGAACCACACTGGAGCTCTGAGTAAAGACAGCAGGTGTTGTGGTCGTCGATGGAAGCTTGGTGAACTTTTCATGTGTTGTATCAACACAAAAACACCTGTCACTGCTTATCTGGGCTTGGGTTTGTGGCCATTAAGTCACAATGACAGGCTCACAGAGGGATTTTTTTCCTCAGGAAGGAGCCCAGAAGTGAGAACGCACCAGTTGTTGGGGTGTAGATGGTATCTGCTGGCGTACAGCGTTTGGAGAAGAAAGCAGCGCTGGGTGGAGTTTATGATCTCTGGATTTCCTCACTTGTGTAAACACACACAAGACCTGTTGTTGCTCATCCTGAATGTGGATGCGTGTTAAACTCCACGCCAGCGCATACCTCTCAGGACCCCCCTCTAAATATAGTGCTTCCCTCTGAGTAGCCCTATATGTTTGCCTGCTGAGTGACTCTTGAGATAAATGGTTAACAATCATGCTCGTTCCTGACCGTTTCACACCCTGAATGACTTCATTTGTCGATTATTCCAGAGATTCGTCTTCTGAACCTTCCAGAAATCCACGTGTTCGACAGCCGTCGCACACTTTCTCTCTGGTTGTGAAGTACAATTGCAGGCCAAACCGCTGATGCCAGCAGACGCAAGGCAGCTCCGTTTTGTTTACCAGACTCTTTTCAGCTGGAAAGGCCGGTGTGTGTGTACGCGGTCCAACAAAAGGAGCGTCTACACATGAGCTCGACGGGCCTAATAAAGTGTAAAATATGAAGGTGTCTCTGTGTGTTTGGGGCTGCTGTTGCTGTGAGCATGTGCTCAGTCCGACATGTGGCTTTAGCAGCTGCCCCTCACTCGTCCCAGCTGCTGCCAGATCAGCCACACGACCTCCTGCTGGATCAGAACCTTGTGGCTTTTAGCGGGGCGCGCTATCACACGGCACGCATGAAAACGCAATAATTAGAAACTACAGTGTCATCCCGCCTTTCTGTACGTGTCTCCTACATAAACAACATGTAATCTGTGTGTCCTGACTCGCCTCTAGCCGAGAGAGCCCTGGACACCATGAACTTTGACGTGGTGAAAGGGAAGCCCATCAGAATCATGTGGTCACAGAGAGATCCCTCCCTCAGGAAGTCCGGGGTGGGCAACGTGTTCATCAAGAACCTCGACAAGTCCATCGACAACAAAGCTCTGTACGACACCTTCTCCGCCTTTGGCAACATCCTCTCCTGCAAGGTACAGTTGAGAAAGAGGTCAAACTCACTTGATAAATCTAATATTTCATGTTTCATGTTGCATTCAAACCATAAATACACGTCAGAAGTGTATGGGGCACCGACTATAAAATAAAACATTAAAAATCAACATTTGGGCACATTTAGCTCCTCGTAACAATAATATTTGGGTAAGCTGATTTATTCACAACATCATTTTGAACATTTTAATGTTATCTTTCATTGTTTACACATATTTCAAAATTATAAATTAAAAATAAGTATTTAAAGACATGCGTCAGTGATTTTTTTGATTTTCCGGTCCCTCTGCACGTGGATAACTGATCCATCATTTAGGAGATTTACACATCTTTACCATCACCCCAGGGTGTTAGATATTTAAATATATATTTTATGTAAATTCTTATTTTAGTCGATTATTTACAATTTAAAGCCATCGACATCTGCTTGTTGGTTGAGTCTCACATTGATTTTTACATTTCAACATGTAAATTTGACTTTATTAATTTTGATTTTAAATATGTAGACTTTAACTTTATATATTTGTATTTGACTCAAAATTTTCTTAGACTACATACTTTTAATCACATTTAATAAATATTTAAATTGAACTTTACTTAAACATTTAGATTTTCCTTCATGTTTAATTCAAATGTAAAATTTTTAATTTAGCTATATTTTTATCTACATTTAAATCTAAAGCTTTAGATTTAACTTAATTCTTTTGATTTGATACTAAATATTTTAAATAACTATTTGTTTTTTAAATTTATTGATACATTTTAAAATATCGCTTCATTTTTGTGTTCAATAACATTTAAGAAAGAAACCAGGTTTATTTGTATAGCAGCTAACCTAATTTATTCAGATTTAATTCAAATAAATTTCCTTTTGATCTATATTTCATTATAAATGTTTAGCTCTGACCCATTTTTTAAATAAAGTTCAAAATATTTTCATTTAAGTTCATAATATAGTTTGAAGCTAATTCAGGTTAAAATAGTTTAAATGTTTTACGTCTTACTTCAAACTTTGCACCCCATATACGTCTTATTTTCATAAGAAACATATCTTTTTTACTTTGGCCCAGAAAGCAGCTGTTATTACCTCAACATGTCCTGCTGTTAGGGACATGGTTCAGGGTTAATCCGCGCATCTTCTCCTGAAGGTGGTGTGTGATGAGAACGGCTCAAAGGGCTACGCTTTCGTCCACTTCGAGACGCAGGATGCCGCCGATCGAGCCATTGAGAAGATGAACGGGATGCTCCTGAATGACCGCAAGGTGTGAGTGTCTGATCGCTCTGCTCTTCTTTTCACTCTCGACGCTCGCGCAGATGGAGCTGCTTTAGCTGGAAACTTTGATTCCACTTAAGAGTCCAGTTGCAGATCGGGGGATGTTTGTGCTTTAGCAGAAACGATAAACATTTCTGTTGAGTGAACTGACCTTTTGTGTTTTTTTCCAGTTGGTGTGTTTGTGTGTGAATAACACAACTAATACACTCATCTCTTAAGTGCACCAAACTCAGACATAACACCTCTTCCTCACCAGACGTTTTATCCGTTTCCTCATTGCCCACCTGCTGGTCTCCCATAGAGTGTCTGAATGTGTGTGTGTGTGTGACCATGCTTGTGTGTTTTAGTGATGGATCGAATGCAGAAATGCAATGCTGGATGGCAGAAGGGGAGAGGTCTTCATGGCAAGGTATATAAGATCATTTGGTCCTCCTCAGATAATCTTGTTTTTGTACTTTGAGATTCTGTTCCTCGATCCTTCTCCATCCACCTCCTGATCGCGTTTGGGACCAGAAATGAAAGGTTGTCATGACGATTGTCCAGCATGCTAATGTTTATGCTAACCTTTGGTTTTATTTAACAAAATTGGATTTTTCCCCCCTCCCTCTCCCCATTGTTGACCTCAGGAGCCTGTGAGTTTGTGTTTCGTGAATGTCGTCCTGGTTGTGGTCCTTCAAGCCGCATTCACTAAAAAAATAAGGACCCGGGTGTTCTTGCTAATCTTTTTTTAAGAGATTTTTTTTCTTAAAGTGTGTTTTGCGTCTTTTCTTCATTTTCCTTCAGCTTTGTGGGTCGTTTCAAATCTCGCAAAGAACGGGAGGCTGAGCTTGGCGCCAAAGCCAAAGAGTTCACAAACGTTTACATCAAGAACTTTGGAGACGACATGGACGACGAACGGCTGAAGGAGCTGTTTGAGAAACACGGTGAGTTGAGGCAAAGCTCATGCATGATTTCTGAATCCAGATGTTCAGCTTTGACCTTTGAGTCCTCGTTTTGGGCGTCTGCAGGTAAAACCCTGAGCGTGAAGGTGATGACAGACTCCACGGGCAAATCCAGAGGGTTCGGATTTGTCAGCTTTGAGAAACACGAGGACGCTAACAAGGTATGTCAGACTCACACGGATATTTGAAATGTATTTTTTGTTAGAAATGTTCTCAGATGAAAGTGTCTCAAATCCAAAGGCGGTGGAGGAAATGAATGGCTCTGAACTTAATGGCAAGACCGTATTTGTGGGGAGGGCTCAGAAGAAAATGGAGCGTCAGGCGGAGCTGAAAAGGAGGTTTGAGCAGCTGAAACAGGAGAGAATCAGTCGCTACCAGGTGTGCAGGAATCAGTCCAAACAGACCTGTTTTCAATCTAACCATCAAAGAATAATATTCAGATTTTTTCTCAGGGAGTTAACCTTTACATCAAGAATCTGGATGACACCATCGATGATGAGAAACTACGTAAGGAGTTCTCTCCCTTTGGGTCCATTACAAGCGCTAAGGTGAGAAAAATATTGTCAACGAATTAAACTGTAAAATAAAACATGAGTGTAATTTACTTTCCTTTGTTTTTCTAGGTGATGCTAGAAGAAGGTCGTTCGAAGGGTTTTGGCTTTGTCTGCTTCTCTTCACCCGAGGAGGCCACCAAGGCCGTCACGGAGATGAACGGACGCATCGTTGGCTCCAAACCGCTCTACGTGGCTCTCGCTCAGCGCAAAGAGGAGCGCAAAGCCCACCTCACCAACCAGTACATGCAGCGTATCGCTGGCATGAGGGCCATGCCCGCTAACGCCATCATTAGCCAGTTCCAGCCTACCAGTGGCTACTTCATGCCAGCTGTGCCACAGGTGTGGGATTTCAAATCCGACTAATGATCAAATATCAACATTACCTTGCTTTTTTGGGGAATGGCATGTTAAACAGGAAATGTGATGGTCTAAATGTCTGGGTCGTAACGTGATAGTCAAAAACACTCATTTTAATGAGAGGCTAATCAGAGGTTTTCATATGTTTGTTATCATCCCGGTTATTTATTTGTCACTTTTTGTTCCCTTTAGGCCCAAAATAGGACGACATACTATGCTCCGAACCAGCTGGCCCAAATGCGACCCAACCCCAGGTGGCAGCAACAAGGTGGCAGAGGTCAAGGTGAGAACATCATTCCTGGTGTTGCATCTGCCAACGGCACTTTTAAAATGCGTAAATATTGAATTTGATGGGAGTTTCGTCACTTCCAGGTGGTTTCCAGGGAATGCCCAGCTCCCAGCTGCGTCAGCCTGGACCCCGTGCCAACCTAAGACACATGAGTCCCGGCGGTGGCTCTCAGGGCCCAAGAGGTGTGTTTGAGATTGAAAAATAATCTCGGCTCTCTCGGCCTCGGGGGGTGGACTACTGGCGGTTGTGAGTGGGGCCCCTTGGACATCTTGGCGGTGGCCATGGGTCACTGCCCTGCAGCTGCATTGCCCCTGGACGGGTCTGGGTGGGGGCCTGGGGGCTTGGGGTGTGGGGGCGGCCGGCCCCATGGGGGGATCTGGGCAGGGCCTTGGGGGTCAGGTCCTGACATGTATGCTGCCGGGGAGAAGGCAGGAACATGCAGCAGTGCCTGACTCGGGCTCAGGGCCCTCGGGTAGACCTTGGCTCCTCTGCTGTCCCATCACAGGGAAGGGGGAAGTCCAGGAGGTGGAGGACCCAACCTTACCTGGATGTCCTATGTCTTTTATAATCCGAAAGTTGTGCAAATGCAGGGATGGGCATAGATATTCTGCTGGAGTGGGGCTGGGTTGGTGCCCTCGGACTCCGTGAGGCTCTGTGGTGTTGCTGCTTTGGGCCCTGGCAGGATGGGCTGGGGTCTCCATGCTCTGGGTGGCATTTTGACAACAGAGGTGCCTATTGGGGCCAGTGGGGGAGCTGGCTCCCTGGAGGGCTAAGCCCAACCAGCCATTCCTCCCCATCCCCACACATTTCTCTCCTCCTGCTCCCTCACATCATCACACAGTCATGCACATAGGACCTTGGGGGGTGGACAAGTCAGGGGGTATGGGTATGGACCCCATTTCCGCATTCCTGTGGCAACCTACCCCCCAATTTTATTTGCACTTCCACCAACAACATTCCACGCAAACACACACTTAGGGCCTTGGGAGTGAGCACATTCAACGGCATTTGGCAGGGGGATTTCTCAGCCTCATCCCAAGTGCCGGTGCCCACTTCCAATTTTAAACTGCACTTAAACACTGAGGGCTGTGGGTGCAAGTGGGGTGGTGTGGTGGCATCAGCTGGCATAGGCCAGACGATGCCCGCACTGCCCGCTCACCACAGCCATGGAATACACCTCATCAACACTCACTAACACCATATTGGAGCAGGCGGAGGGAGACTAGGGGTCTTAGCACACCTCTGTTGTCGCTTGGCTTCCTGGGGCTGGAGGCTAGGAGGGCGATCCGGCCGTCCGGTTGGGGTCTGGGGTGGTGGGTTGCTGTGCTCAACGTTGGGCGGGGGAGCCTGCTCATCAGCACCCCCAGCAGAAAGGGTCGAACTCTTGGAACCGGTAATGGTTGTACCCCATGTGCAGCAGTACTGGGACCAGAGTGAATAGGGTGTGTATGTGTGAGCATGAGGGAGGGAGTGTGTGACTGTGTTTGTGTATGACTGTATATGTCAGGTGGGGCCTTTGACTCCTCCCCTCTCCTGGGACTTCTTTTGATGATATAGATCTTCATCTCCCCTCTCTCTGCCACACCTGGTGTGGAGTGCAGTGCCTTGGTCTGCCTGGGTCATGGCTCCCGGGTCAGGGAGTTTAAGATTTTTGGCATCTGCCTGACCAATCCCAGTGGCTGCCTGGTGGGGTCTGGGTCCCTGGGCTCTGCTGGAAGCTTGGAAGTGCCCTGAAAACCTCACCACGGAGGTGTCCAGGAGGCATCCTGACCAGATGCCCGAGCCACCTCAACTGGCTCCTCTTGACGTGGAGGAGCAGCGGATCTACTCCAAGCCCCTCCCGGATGACCGAGCTTCTCACCCTATCTCTAAGGGAGAGCCCAGGCACCCTGCGGAGAAAACTCATTTTGGCCGCTTTTATACGCGATCTCATTCTTTCGGTCACTCTTCAAAGCTTGTGACCACAGGTGAGGGTAGGAATGTAGATCGGCCGGTAAATCGAGAGCTTTGCCTTCCGGCTCAGCTCTCTCTTTACCACTACAGATCGGCACAACGACTGCATCACTGCAGACGCAGCACGAATCCACCTATCATTCTCACGCTCCAGCTTTCCCTCACTCGTGAACAAGACCCCGAGATACTTAAACTCCTCCACTTGAAGCTAAAACTTGAACTATTTTTCCTGCATCCCCCCAAAGCTCATGTTCACAGCTTTATTTCTTGTGTTCACTGACAGCAGCAAACCAGGGCATGGCTACTCGTCCATCCATGGGAGTCTCCGGTCCCCGGGCCATGCCTCCTTACAAATACGCCACCGGTGTCCGTAACCCCAACCCCCAAGTGGTGCAACCTATTGCCTTACAGCAGGTATTATTTTACTGTCCTGTCTTGTAAAACACCCATTTCTGTAAATATTCTCTGAGGGATCCTATCTGTCCCATCCAGGCTCAGCCAGCTGTGCACGTTCAGGGCCAGGAGCCTCTCACGGCCTCCATGCTGGCTGCTGCACCTCCTCAGGAGCAGAAACAGATGCTAGGTTAAACTCAACTTTAAAATACAAGAGCTGGAATGATGTTTTGATCACTAGACTGATTTATAACTACTTCTTTTATACAGGAGAACGTTTGTTTCCACTGATTCAGAGCATGCACGCCAACCTGGCTGGAAAGATCACAGGCATGCTGCTGGAGATCGACAACTCAGAGCTGCTGCACATGCTGGAGTCACACGAATCTCTCCGTTCAAAGGTAGCTCATTGACCTCGCCATTTTGACTCCTGAAGCATCTCCTTTTGGTTGATTAGCGTCGTTCTTGTTCAGGTGGAGGAGGCCGTTGCTGTGCTGCAGGCCCACCAGGCGAAGAAAGAAGCCACGCAGAAAGCTGGCGGCATGACCACTGCTGCTGCTGCAACATCCTGAAAACTGTACGCTCTCTGTTGCTTATTAGATAAAACACCATTTTTTATTGCTATTCAGGTGATTGTGTTGTTTCAGGGTGGAGTAAACTGGGCAGAGATGAACATCACTACAGGGACTCCAAACACCCGAGTCCATTAAATGTGCAACAATTGAAAACAGGAAGTACTTTAGAAACATGTCACAGTGGAAACATTTTTAGTTCCTTCATATCTATAATATGCAAACAGAAATAATAGCATTTGCTCTACTTTGCTGCAAAGGAGAAAAACATCTTTGTTCTAAACTGCTTGAAAACTTCACATTTGCCTTCATGTGACATTTTCATGGTTGTGCGGTATTTTCAATAAAGGCTTGATGGATTGATTCCCAGTCTCTGTGTTTTAAATGCTACATGAAAAGATGTTTGTGAGCATCAGACACTATACCACTTCATTAGTCTACTCTGGATCAGGGTGGGGGGAAAGATTCTTACAAATGAGGCAATAATTTTAAGCTTTGATTCGCTAAATTGACTTTCTGACAAAAACAATGACTGATTCAACCAATGCATAAAGGATGAGTACACGATGAATGCCGATGAACTTTTATCTATAAATATCAGTTAATTTGACTTCAATGTTTAATCAGATGTTGCTGACTAAACAACAGGAGCAGTGCTAAAAGTTAAATAAACTGGAACACTGCAACGATTTATAATTTATCACTTAAAAATACTTAAATGCAATTTATAATATTATTTTTCTTTGATTTCCAAGGATTTCTTGACCACAATGATACATTTTGCAACCCGCAGAGGGGTCCCAACCCAAATTTTGGCAACCATTTCATTTATTTCATTTGTTGCATGTTTTGTTTGTATTTTATACCGTTTTAATGGTTTATATTTAGCTTTTTTATTGAATTTTGAATGTTACTTTTATTCGTATCTATTTTTACAGCTGATTGTTTTTTGGCAGGTACGTAATGTGCCGGGAAACAGTTCCTGCGCATTTAACAATAAATCATTTGTTTTTGGTCATGAAATCTGAAAATATGGTAGGCCAAAAGGCCAAACTAGTTTTATTTGAAATTACACAATTAACGTGTAGAATTTTGATCATTTCTTCACGCTGACTTACAGAATTAAACTATTATTTAACCTGAAGCTGAAAATAACGATGTTCAGTCATGATACTTTGGGTGGAGAAACTTTTTGACCACTAGAGGGCGGCAGAGTGAAGTAAATCCCGGAAGCGGCATTTGCTAGATTCGACCAATCAACGGCCGGGTCAAAGTTGAAAACTTAATATCAATATGGCTGCCAACAAACGAGTTTTGTATATCGGTAAGTTCTGAAGTTTTTTCCATCGAAAAACGTTTAAAACTTGTGTTTTTGTGTATAAAAGGTTTTAGCGCACTTGCTAATGAAACTTTGTGATATGACGTAATAAAACGCGAGCTAAGCGCATGTAATGAACGTAAAATGGCATTTTACATGGAAAATGTAAAGTTTAGCTGCTTTATTTGTTTACTATTAAAATTGATTACTTTAATTGACTTGAAGAAATGACAGAACACTCACTGAATAATAACTTAATATGAAACATGACTGTTGGAAATGCGTGTCTGTGTTTCTGTCAGGTGGTTTAGCGGAAGAGGTGGATGAGAAGGTGATACACGCAGCTTTTATTCCGTTTGGAGACATCATAGACATCCAGATGCCGCTAGACTATGAAACCGGTACGTCCAAACGTTTATGGTTTTGTGAAGAAGCTGCTGCTACAACAAAAATCCAGTTATTTTCCGTCTCTTCTTTAATTTCCAGAAAAGCACAGAGGCTTTGCTTTCATTGAGTTTGAGCTGGCAGAGGTATGTCCAGGCTTCATCTCTGCAGATTTGGCCTTTAATTACTCAAAATATTGATTTAAAAGCAGCTTGTTGTAACTTCTTCACTTTGTTTTGATAGTGATGTTATTTTGCACTTGAAAGCACATTTTATTGATATTCAGACATGAACTAATCAATCTTGTTGGAAATTTGACTTTAAATCAAAATTTAATAAATATCTGGTGCATTGTAGTCAGGTTTCTTTTTACATAAGTTATTTTTTCAAACACATTTGTAAACAGGGGCCAACAGCAGCACAACGCACCTGCTTCAGTGGTTGTTTATGAGATTTAAGAGATCGATTAATTTCTTCAAAGTGCAAAACAGTTAAATAACTCATAATTTCTTTGTTGCAGGATGCAGCAGCAGCAATTGATAACATGGTAAGTGGCTTTTGTTGCTGCATTTACGTTCAAGAATGTCCCTTAAAATTAGCTTCCTGTTTCCATTTTCAACATTTTTACTTATTTTCACTCTTTAGAACGAGTCGGAACTGTTTGGACGAACCATTCGTGTCAACATCGCCAAGCCCATGAGAATCAAGGAGGGTTCTTCCCGACCGGGTGACTAAAAAGATAAGATTTATTTGTTTCGGTTTATAACGTTTTGCACTGATCATGTTTTTTCTCTCCACAGTTTGGTCTGATGATGACTGGCTGAAGAAATTCTCGGGAAAAACTGTGGAGGAAGCTGAGGCAGAAGCAGCAACTGGAGAAGCGACGACTACAACACAGGAGGTCAGATGGGTTTCAGTCTGGGCTGGAGGCCAGTTAATAATAGGACTTAGTGAGAGTTCTGGCCATTTAATTCCTCAGATTGGCACTTTGTGGCTCTGGATTTTGCATATAGGATAGCAAACTGATTTTTTTTTCCTTTTTCAGGGAGAGCCTCCGGCTAAAAAGGGCAGAATAAATCCTCAGGTCTACATGGACATCAAGATTGGCAACAAGCCAGCAGGAAGACTGCGCTTCCTCCTGCGGGCTGACATTGTTCCTATGACAGCAGGTCAGGAGTTTAGCTAACATGTTTGTCCACTGAACTGAATGAACAATAATTGATCAAACACTCGTATTTAACAGTAATATATATATATATATATATATATATATATATATACACACACACACACACACTGCTCACAAGAATTCAAGGAACACTTATTTATTGGGCCTGGCATGAAATCAATTAAACCTGTCTGATAATTTCCTGGTTGATTAAGCAGCTGAGGGCATTGTTAATCACTTTCAGCTGTATTGGTGTTCATGGACTTAACGACAGGTGCACTAAAGTGGCAACAATTACAAAACCCTCAAAACAGGACTGGTTTAACATGTAGAGGTCATTTCAAGTTTCTCCCTCTTGATCTTTGTCGGCTGGTTTTCCACTCGTGCTAGTTTTGGCTCTCTGCTGGCAGTATGAGGCGATTCCTTAACCCTACAGAAGTTGCACAGGTTGTCCAACTTCTCCAGGATGGCACATCCACACGTGCTGCAGCAAGAAGGTTTAATGTGTCTCCCAGCACAATCTCCAGAACATGGAGATTTCAGGAGACTGGCGGTTATTCTCGGAGAGCTGGACAGGGCCGTGGAAGGTCCACAACCCATCAGCAGGACCGATACCTGCTCCTTTGTGCAAGGCGGAGCTGAGCACTGCTCATGCCCTACAGAATGACCTCCAGAGGGCCACTGGTGTGAATGTCTCTACCCAAACAATCAGGAACAGACTTCATGAAGATGGCCTGAGGGCCCGACGTCCTGTAGTGGGCCTTGTGCTCACTGCCCAGCACCGTAGAACTCGACTGGCTTTTGCTCAAGAACACCAGAATTGGCAAGTCCGCCACCGGCGCCCTGTACTTTACAGACGAGAACGTTATGCTGCCTGCAACGTCGTTCAACATGACAGGTTTGGTGGTGGGTCAGTGATGGTCTGGGGAGGCATAACCATGGAGGGACGCACAGACCTCTAAATGGTGCTCTGACTGCCATAAGGTACCGAGATGAAATCCTTGAACCCAGACCCTACGCTGGTGCAGTAGGTCCTGGTTTTCTCCTAATGCAAGACAACGCCCGGCCTCATGTGGCAAGAGTATGCAGGCAGTACCTGCAGGATGAAGGAATTGAAACAGTTGAATGGCCTTCACGATCCCCTGACTTAAACCCAATAGAACATCTGTGGGACATTATGTTTCGGTCCATAGGCAGCGCCAGGTTGCTCCTCAGACTGTACAAGAGCTCAGGGATGCCCTCACACAGATCTGGGAGGAAATGGCACAAGACACCATCCGTTGTCTCATTAGGAGCATGCCCCGATGTTGTCAAGCATGCACACAAGCTCGTGGGGGCCACACAAGATACTGAAAAGCAATTTGAGTTGCAGAAATTAAGTTTTTGAAATAATGGACTAGCCTGCCACGTCTTCATTTCACTCCGATTTTAGGGTGTCTACACAATTGAGCCCTCTGTAGGCTGATAACTTTTATTTCCATTAAAAGACTTGGCATCCTTTTGCTCCTTAGACATTGCCCTGTCCTTATTTGTATAGATATCCAACTTCATATCGAGATCTGATGTATCTAATGTGTTTATTTAAAGTGTTCCTTTAATTTTTGTGAGCAGTGTGTGTGTGTATATATATATATATATATATATATATATATATATGTATATATGTATATGTATATATATATATTATATATATATATATGCATTTAAACCTATTTTGATCTTTTAAAGTTGAGATGTGTATGAAATATTTAAAGTAACTTGACCTGATCTAGTTCTGGTATAAAGTAGGTTTTCTTTCATCCTTTAGATTTTCCTTAATCCCTCTCCTGGCCAAAGCAAATAATTTTTTGCTGTTGCAGCAGCAGTAGCTCAGGAGGTAGAGCGGGTTGTCCAGTCATCGGAAGGTTGCAGGTTCGATCCTGACCAGAGAATGCTGCTGTTGTGTCCTTCATCGTAGCTCATCTCCACCAGTGTGTGAATGGGTGGATGACTGATTGTGTTGCGAAGCACCTTCCGGGGTTGTAGAAACCTAAGTGGGCGCTATACAAACACAGGCCATTTGCCATTTACACAAGCATAGAGTGCTGACCAATGATCGCGTATCCACCAGAGCAGGTGTGGGGAACCCTGGTCCGTCAAGGGCCGCTATGCAGCATATTTTTGTTTCAACCCTGCTTCAACACGCCTGATTTCAATCAGCAGGTGATTAACAGGCGTCTGCAGAGCCTGATGAGCTGCTGAACAGGTGAATCAACCACTGAATCAGACGTCCGCCCCTCAACTGTAGTAGTTTCATGCTGCTGCACGCTCACATGAGCTGAAACAAAATGATCTTTTAGAAAGCGCCTCAAGAACAAAATCATGAGGCTCTTCACAAGAATAAAAAAATTATGGTCAAAGTTAGAAGAAAAAAACATTAGTGATTAAAACATGTAAGGAAAGGGAGAAAAAAAATAAATAGGGAAGAAGGAGTTTCCTCCGTAGGGTGGCCGGGCTCAGCCTTAGAGGTAGGGTGAGGAGCTCGGACATTTGGGAGGGACTCGGAGTAGAACCGCTGCTCCTCCGGATCAAAAGGAGTCAGTTGAGGTGGTTTGGGCATGTGGTCAGGATGCCTCCTGGACGCCTCCCTCGGGAGGTGTTTCGGGCATGTCCTGCCGGCAGGAGACCCCCGGGCCGACCCAGGACACGTTGGAGAGGTTACATCTCCAATCTGGTCCGGGAACGCCTTGGGGTCCTGCCGGAGGAGCTGGTGGAGGTGGCCGGGGAGAGGACGGTCTGGAGCTCCCTAGTTGGGATGCTGCCCCTGCGACCCGGACACGGATAAGCAGAGGAAGACGACCACGAGGAAAGAAGGAAATCAGTGGATTCCGGGAAAGGCGGAATAAGAGAATAAAATGAAATGAAATAAAATGTATTGATAAACTTTTTTTATTCTCCATAGAGAATTTCCGCTGCTTGTGCACTCATGAGAAAGGCTTTGGCTACAAAGGCAGCAGCTTCCATCGCATCATCCCTCAGTTCATGTGCCAAGGAGGTGACTTCACCAACCACAACGGCACCGGCGGCAAGTCCATCTACGGCCGGAAGTTTGACGATGAGAACTTTGTCCTGAAACACACCGCTCCAGGTGAGGAGTGGGTGTTAACCGCTGCTTTAGTTTTACCGGCTGAATCTAAAACGGTTTCTGCTCATGCACACAGGGCAGCTTTCCATGGCCAACTCTGGAGCCAACACCAACGGCTCCCAGTTCTTCATCACCACCGATAAAACAGACTGGCTGGACGGTAAACATGTGGTGTTTGGAGAGCTGCTGGAGGGGATGGATGTGCTCCGATCAATGGAGGTAAGAGAAAGATGCAACCAGAGGTGATTCAAGCTATAAGTTGTTGACGGAAACTCTCCTGCCGTTTGAGGCGCTTATGTTTGGAAATTTAAATTTTTTTTAATTTAATTTTGATGTTTGTTCTCCAATAAAATTTCTTGGAATGTAAATGCAACCAGGTTGGGTGATTTATTGTTGTTATTGTTGTTTTTGCAGGCGCAAGGAACAAAGGATGGCAAACCGAAGCAGAAAGTGATCATTTCAGATTGTGGAGAATATGAATGAAAATAAAAATGATGTGGTTTTGTAAGTGTGTATGAAGAGAGGAAGATTTTTTTTTTTACCTGAACCTGCTTCTTTTGTGCTGTAAATATTTCAATAAACACATTTTTATAAAGTTTTTTTTCTTTCTTTTTGTTAAAACAAATCAGTTTTTTTCTTGAACTATTTTTAAAATGCTTTTTGGAGCACCTTTCCTGACAAAATAGACAACTATGAGGAAATAACATGTAAAATAAATATTAACAAAAATAAGATTAGTTATTACCAGTTATATCGGGGCAGCAGTAGCTCAGGTGGTAGAGCGGTTTGCCTCATGATCGGAGGGTCATGGGTTCGTCTCCAGCTCCCGCCAGGGGCATCCTGCTGTTGTGTCCTTGGGCAAGACACTTCACCCAACTTGCCTGTGTTCGTGGAGGCCAGATGGCAGCCTCGCCTCCGTCAGTCCTCCCCAGGGTGGCTGTGGCTACAAGTAGCTTACCATCACTAGCAGTGTGAAAAGCGTCTTTGGGTGTCAGAATAGCGCTATATAAGTTCAAAGCATTATTATTACTATTATTAATTTTCCACATTAATGTCGGGTATTCATTTCAATGTATTTATTTTAACTTCATTTAAATTTTATGTCCCTGATATTTATTTGCTGAATTTTAGGCAGGAAGCGCTCCGGGCTGCTCTGATTGAACCAAAACGTTCAGATGAATCCACGTGATCTCGAAGCGCCTGAAGACCGTTATTCTGTCTCCTTTTGTTTAATCATAGTTTAATCCAGCAGACGTAAATCTGAGGCCTCGCAGCTCCACCTGATTGGTCGAGGTGTTTCAGGTGGAGAAGCCACACCTGGCGGTGGGGGAGTCGTGGCACGCGCAGCTCCTCCTCCTCCTCCCCCAGCCCCGCCACCTCCGTCCTGCCTGAGCTCAAGAGTCTCCTCGCGGTTCAGCTCCGGACTGCTGCTCCGATCCGAGGCAGAAGCTCCGCGGCAGCGTTTAATGTGTGAGTACTCAATCCAGATTATAAAGAAATAGACGGAATAGTGAAGTGAGGCGGAGTTCTAGCTCATTCCTCTTTTTTAGGATGTTTGTAACGAAACGCGTGCAATTACGCACGGAATGTCTGAATTTGGAAGTCCGAACCGCAAACTTTGGAAGTGAGTGAATGGCTGCTTCCGTCTCTGTAGGATTATGTGCTTAATGTGTCATAAATATGGAATAAAACGGATTATTCTACGTTTTAAGTTCATTTTAAGACATTTTGTGCGGGAATGTAGGAACTGTAGGAAAGCTGTATAAAACATTGTGTAAACAATCCAGTCAGACCTGATTGGTTTCTTGGTCTCCACCTTATGCACTGTCTTCTCGTTTCAGTTCCAGACGGTTACCTGAATTTAATCTGTGCCATTTAAGCCCAGAAGCGCCTCTGTCTTCTATCAGCAGGAAGAGAGGACAGGCTGTGAACAAAGCTTCATCATGAACTGGGCATTCCTCCAGGGCCTCCTCAGCGGGGTGAACAGATACTCCACAGCCTTCGGCCGAGTGTGGCTCTCCATTGTTTTCCTCTTCAGGATCATGGTGTTTGTGGTGGCGGCAGAGAAGGTGTGGGGGGACGAGCAGAAAGACTTCAGTTGCAACACGGCTCAGCCCGGCTGCCACAACGTCTGCTACGATCACTTCTTCCCCGTGTCTCACGTGCGCCTCTGGGCCCTGCAGCTCATCTTCGTCACCTGCCCGTCTCTCCTGGTGGTGATGCACGTGGCCTACAGGGAGGACAAGGAGAGAAAAAACAAAGCCAAGCATGGTGAGAACTGCCAGAGCATCTACCAAAACACTGGTAAGAAGCGCGGAGGCCTGTGGTGGACCTACGTCCTCACTCTGGTCTTCAAAATCGGCGTGGACGCCACTTTCATCTACCTTCTTTACCACATCTACGAAGGCTACGATTTCCCCTCGCTCATCAAGTGTACGGAGGCGCCTTGCCCCAACACGGTGGACTGCTTCATCTCTCGGCCTACGGAGAAGAGAATCTTCACCATCTTCATGGTGGTCACCAGTTTCATCTGCATCCTCCTCTCCATCATAGAAATCATCTACCTGATTGTCAAACGCTGCCATGAGTGCATCTCAAGCAGAGGCAGCCATAACTCCCGCTCCATCAGGACCCACACCATGTCCAGCGGCAGCACCCTGATAGCAGCAAACACTCTGAAACTGGGCAGCAAACACACCCCTGAGACACCAGCGCCGTCGTACATGGTCGCCGTGTCATGAACGCGTTGTTAAAACTCACGAAACAAAGACAGAACTCCCATCACGAGTCTGACTTTCTGAATCAGGAATATTACGTGTCATAAATCTGGAATGTGTTCATTGTTGGGAGCATTTAAAGTGTGATGAAGCTCCAGAGCTCCTCCAGAGGAAACCAGCATGAGCATGTTGGAGCTGCATGAGTCACGGCTCAGTTCGGCACATGCGGTTCCTCCTGTGTAAGATTTTCCTTGTGCTGAAGCCCAGCCGCAGTCGCTCAGCCCTGTGCTGACACGTCTGCTCCTCCTCCACTCAGACGCTCTTATTGGACTCTGTGTTTGTTGTTGTTTTTGTGCATTTCGTTATTTTTCTGCTGCTTCTGAAAAGACCGGATGTGCATATTTGACAGTGTTGAGGTGTAAGTTTACTACGTTTTTTGTAAATGAGATCCGTAATAAATAATGTTTTATGTTTTGAATGAAATGTTTTTGTTTTTTCATATAAGGAAGTCTTTGTGTAGATGAACATGAATCTGATGTAGCACAGGGAATGCACTCGAGAGCAAAGCAAGCCACCCACCCTGCAGGAGGAAAAAAAAAGGATTTGTTGACTTTACACAAGTTGGGCAAAGATTTCCGCCTCCTTTGCTCTTCGTTCTGATTTCGGTGTGTTTCATAAGTTTCCTGAAATCCTTCCTTCTAATTGGCTGCTTGATCTGTTGCCAGGGCATTGCCTTCATTGTTTGGGCAGACTGGTGCTTTTAGCCGAGCAGAGCCTCCCTCCCAAATTGACGTTGGCCTCCACCCTGCTGAAGAATTTGTGTCTGTACACAGATTCTGGATGATTGCAGCTTCCACACACACAGCAGATGCAGTGAGAGTTAAAAGCCCCCCCCCCCCCCCCCCCTTTTAAATGCATCAACTCTGCTGTGATGTATCGGCATAAACAAAACTCAGCCACTCTAATGACCTTTAGCAAACAGAGGCTCTGCAGACGCCTCTCTTAGTGCTTTGCATTAAAAGTCAGATCAGCTCTTCAATAAATATCCTTCTTGGTAGGCTCGTGATACGGGTGTGATGACCAGTTGGTTCAGGGTTCTGTTGTTTCTATCAGTGACAACAAATCTGAGGATATCATCATGACGTGTGGGATTCCCCAAGGTCCAGTTCTTGGACCACTGCTCTTTGATCTCTACAGGCTCCCCCTGGGTCAGATACTTTACAAAAACAACATGACCTATCATAGTTGTGCAGATGACACCCAGATCTGCTAGCTCTATCACATGGTGACACTGGAGCAAGTTAATGACTGGATGCAGTCAAACTTCCTCCAGTTACGATTACCAAAGAGATCTATTAGTAGATTAAAGACTAATGAGTCTCTGAGCCTCTGACCTCTCTGCTGCCTTCGACACCGTGGACCATGACATCCTACTTAGGAGGTTGGAGATGAGGTTGGGGGTAACAGGGATCCCACTTCATTGGTTCAGTTCATATTTGTCGGATAGACAATTTAGTGTTCACATTGACAGCTTTTCCTCTCCATCTACTCCACTTCGCTGAGGTATGCCTCAGGGTTCGATTCTAGGACCACTCCTATTCTCGATTTACTTATTGCCACTGGGGATGATTGTGACTAACCTTGGAATAAGTTATCACCTTTACGCGGACGATTGCCAGATTTATCTGGCTTTAAGTAAGCCTGACTCAACACGCCTCCTTGTCGACTGTATTACTGCAGTTAAAGGCTGGCTGTCGGAGATCTTCCTTTGCCTTAACGAAAACAAGACCGACGACATTCTTTTTAATCCATAAATACAAAGCATGCACCTGGTGACTACCCTCTACCGTTTTGAAATGTTAAATCTGGTGTATCCAGTCTGGGAGTGAAACTTCACTCTGATCTGTTAATGAGTTCACAAATTAACTCTACAGTCCGGTCCTGCTTTTTTCAACTACGTTGCATCTCGCACTTAAAGTCAATAGTCAAACGACCTCAGCTGGGGTCTGTTGTTCACGCCTTTGTAACTACACGTTTAGACTATGCCAACTCACAACTTGTTGGTGTCAGCGCCTCAGCAATCGAGCGTCTACAGAGTGCAAAATGCGGCGGCTAGGCTCCTGACAAACACCTCTCGACGATGTCACATTTCACCCATCCTTGCACGCTTGCACTGGCTGCCTGTTCAATACCGCATCCAATTTAAGGTTCTGACCTTTGTCTACAACATTCTGAATGGTCAAGCCCCGGCTTATCTCTCAGAACTGATAAAGCCTTATGCTCCAACCAGAAACCTGAGATCTGCAGATCATTTGCTTTTGTGCGTCCCAAAAATGAGGTATAAATCTCGTGGAGAGTGGATCTTTGCGTTCACTGCTCCTAAACTCTGGAATGCCCTCCCCATTAGTGTTTGACAGGCCCCAGAACTGGGTCGATTTAAGTCAGTACTGAAGGCCTTCTTCTATCATTTAGCTTTTATTCAATGATCAAGCTTTTATGTTTATGTTTATGTGCTTAGCAGACGCTTTTACCCAAAGCGACTTACAATTATTTTTAACCTATAGGGCTGGTGGGGAAGGAGCCGGAGCTTGTGGCAGAGGTTGAGCGGTACCGGCTAGATATAGTCGGACTCACCTCGACACATTGCATTGGCTCTGGAACCCGAGACCTGGAGAGGGGTTGGACACTCTACTTTGCTGGAGTTGCTCCGGGTGAGAGGCGGAGGGCTGGGGTTGGCTTTTTGTTAGCCCCGAGATTCTCTGCCTGTGTGTTGGGGTTTACCCCGGGGGACAAGAGGGTAGCTTCCTTGCGCCTTCGGGTCGGGGAACGGGTCCTGACTGTTGTTTGTGCTTATGGGCCAAATATCAGTTCAGAGTACCCACCCTTTTTGGAGTCCCTGGGACGAGTGCTAGATAGTGCTCCATCAGGGGACTCCATTGTCCTGCTGGGGGACTTCAATGCTCACGTGGGCAATGACAGCTTGACCTGGAGGGGTGTGATTGGGAGGAACGGCCCACCTGATCAGAACTCGAGCGGTGTTTTGTTATTGGACTTCTGTGCAAGCCGCAGTTTGGCCATAACGAACACCATGTTCGAACATAAGGATGCCCACCGGTACACTTGGTACCAGGGCAGCCTAGGTCACAGGTCGATGATAGATTTTGTAGTCGTATCATCTGACCTGCGGCCGTATGTTTTGGACACCCGAGTGAAGAGAGGGGCGGAGCTGTCAACTGATCACCACCTGGTGGTGAGTTGGATCAGATGGCAAGGGAACATGCCGCGTAGACCTGGCAGACCCAAACGCATAGTGAGGGTCTGCTGGGAACGCCTGGCAGAAGAACCTGTCAAGACGGTCTTCAACTCCCACCTCCGGCAGAGCTTTGACCACGTCCCGAGAGCAGTGGGGGACATTGAGTCCGAGTGGGCCTTGTTCCACTCTGCGATTGTCGAGGCGGCTGTTGCTAGCTGTGGTCGTAAGGTGGCCGGTGCCAGTCGTGGTGGCAACCCCCGTACCCGCTGGTGGACACCAGAGGTTCGGGGAGCCGTCAGGCTGAAGAAGGAGGCCTACAGGGCGTGGCTGGTCTGTGGGTCTCCGGAGGCAGCAGACAGGTACCGGATAGCCAAGCGGGGTGCAGCAGTGGCAGTTGCCGAGGCAAAATCTCGGGCGTGGGAGGAGTTTGGTGAGGCCATGGAGAAAGACTATCGATCGGCTCCAAAGAGGTTCTGGCAAACTGTCCGGCGCCTCAGGAGAGGAAGGCAGCAACTCGCTCACACTGTTTACAGTGGGGATGGGGAGCTGCTGACGTCAACTGAGGCTATAGTCGGACGGTGGAAGGAATACTTTGAGGAGCTCCTCAATCCCACCAATGCGCATTCCGAGGAGGAACCAGAGCTGGGAGGCCTGGGGATGGACTGTCCGATCTCGGGGGCAGAAGTTGCTGAGGTAGTCAAACAACTACACAGCGGCGGAGCCCCGGGGGCGGATGAGGTTCGTCCTGGGTATCTCAAGGCTATGGATGTTGTAGGGCTGTCATGGTTGACACGTCTCTACAACATTGCGTGGTCATCGGGGGCAGTTCCTAGGGAGTGGCAGACCGGGGTGGTGGTCCCCATCTTTAAGAAGGGTGACCTGAGGGTGTGTTCCAACTATAGGGGGATCACACTCCTCAGCCTCCCTGGAAAGGTCTACGCCAAGGTACTGGAGAGGAGGGTCCGATCGATAGTTGAATCTCAGATAGAGGAGGAGCAATGTGGTTTTCGTCCTGGCCGTGGAACTGTGGACCAGCTCTATACCCTTGCAAGGGTGATGGAGGGGGCATGGGAGTTTGCCCAACCAATCCACATGTGCTTTGTGGATTTGGAGAAGGCTTATGACCGTGTCCCCAGGGGCACCCTGTGGGGGACGCTCCAGGAGTATGGGGTGGGTGGCTTTCTGTTAAGGGCCATTCAGTCCCTTTACAAGAGGAGCGTGAGTTTGGTCCGCATAGCCGGTAGTAAGTCGGACCTGTTCCCAGTGAGGGTTGGACTCCGCCAGGGCTGCCCTTTGTCACCGGTTCTGTTCATCACTTTTATGGACAGAATTTCTAGACGCAGCCGTGGTGTGGAGTGTGTCGAGTTTGGTGGCAGGAGAATCTCGTCTCTGCTTTTTGCGGATGATGTGGTCCTCCTAGCTTCATCCAGCTCTGACCTTCAGCTCTTGCTGGGTAGGTTCGCGGCCGAATGTGAAGCGGCTGGGATGAGGATCAGCACCTCCAAATCTGAGACCATGGTTCTCGACCGGAAAAGGGTGGCTTGCCACCTCCGGGTCGGGGGAGAGGTCCTACCTCAAGTGGAGGAGTTTAAGTATCTCGGGGTCTTGTTCACGAGTGAGGGTAGGAGGGATCGGGAGATCGACAGACGGATTGGTTCGGCGTCTGCAGTGATGCGGACGCTGAGCCGATCTGTCGTGGGGAAGAGGGAGCTGAGCCAGAAAGCCAGGCTCTCGATTTACCGGTCGATCTACGTCCCAATCCTCACCTATGGTCATGAGCTTTGGGTAATGACCGAAAGAACGAGATCGCGGATACAAGCGGCCGAAATGAGTTTCCTCCGTAGGGTGGCCGGGCTCAGCCTTAGAGATAGGGTGAGGAGCTCGGACATTCGGGAGGGACTCGGAGTAGAACCGCTGCTCCTCCGGATCGAAAGGAGCCAGTTGAGGTGGTTTGGGCATCTGGTCAGGATGCCTCCTGGACGCCTCCCCGGGGAGGTGTTTCGGGCATGTCCTGCCGGCAGAAGGCCCCCGGGTCGACCCAGGACACGTTGGAGAAGTTACATCTCCAATCTGGTCCGGGAACGCCTTGGGGTCCTGCCGGAGGAGCTGGTGGACAAGGCCGGGGAGAGGACGGCCTGGAGCTCCCTAGTTGGGATGCTGCCCCCGCGACCCGGACCCGGATAAGCGGAGGAAGACGACGACGACGACGACTATAGGGCATGTTGTGATC